CTCACGCGTCAATTATACTTAGCCATCGCCCTCCCCAAAATGTTATATGCAGTGGACTTGTGGTTCCACCCAATCTATACCGGAAGTTCAGACAACCCCAGACGCGGATCAATAGGCATCGCGAAACGACTGAGCCGAATCCAACGCACCGCGGCAATTAATATCACAGGAGCAATGCGGACGACAGCTACAGATACTTTGGAGGCCCACGCCAAACTGATGCCCCTTCAACATCGCCTGCAAAATCTATGTTATCAAGCAGCCATACGCCTCGCGGCTCACCCGCCCACTCACCCTCTATACCTCCCAACTCGAAAAGCAGCCAAACGCCTAGTCAAGCGACACCAGTCCTCGCTTCACCATCTCATTCATGCAACGGAATTGGACATGGACTCAGTCGAGTCCATTGTCCACATGCGTCGTCCCCCCAACGCTACACCACCATACACCATCTCCATAGCAGCGACACGAGAAGAAGCAATAGCTGAACACGACGCAAACGCGAGCGAAATTAAGATCTACGCAGACAGATCAGGAATTGAAGAGCAGATAGGCGCATCAGCCGTACTGATAAGACAAGGACGTCCGCGAAATCGAGTCCTGAGATACCACCTGGGATCTAAGGAAGAACATACGGTTTATGAGGCAGAATTAGTAGGACTCACATTGGCAGCCCAACTACTCGCAACGGAGAGAGACGTGACGTATCCCATCTCGATATTTATCGACAATCAAGCGGCACTAAGATCAGGTGAACTCTTCTCGACTAAGCCAGGCCATTACTTAATCAATCACTTTCGTAGATTAATATCCAGAGCTAAACGCATGAACAAAGATGCAGACTTCAAAGTCATCGTGCATTGGATCTCGGGACATAGTGATGTGCACGGCCCGGCCTCAAGCCGTGGGCCAGGCCAGACCAAAGTCGTGGCCTGACGAGGGCTTTGGCCTGGCCCATGATTTCGAAAAGCCGTGAGCCGGCGGCTCAGGCCACGGCTTTGAGTGTATTTACTGTTGGCTTGTATGAAATGTTTAAAAATAGTCTGAGCGTAAATGAGTGTAAATCGGTTCCTGACGTCGAGCGCAACAGTTGCTTTGAGAATCAACTTTGATGTCACGACTTAATGTTTGTCCAATATATGACATGTATTCACCATTCACAGTTACAGGATCACTCCACAGGCATCCGGTACAGTGTTGTCCGGCTTCGATCTTTGTCCAACATGTGCACATGTTCAACCAATATTGACTTAACATTGCCTTGTTTTTATCACAGTTTGTCCAACATGTGCACATGTTCAACTTAACATTGCCTTGTTTTTATCGCAGCTCTTCGTTCAACGTTCAGGTCTCGTAACCCCGCAAATCCCGAACGGAACGAAATCCCGAACGACTACTAAGAAATGATCAAAAAATTTTATGAGGTGAAGTACTCGTCTCCATCTTGTTCAACTGATCATTATTCTATCTCGATTCTCGATGCCACCTGCTATTCTCTCAGATGGTGAGGGAGAAACTCGTATTGCTATGCGCCCAGTGCGCAAAATCAAGCCTACTGCCGCGCTTCTTCATTCAGCGGAACCAGCAACACTTTCGTTCCAGAAAAAGGCTGTCGACGACTTTCGTCTTGCTGAGGCTGCACGATGTGAAAGGCCCACCTTGTCTCTGGCAGGCCCTTCTCAAGAACCAACTTACAACACACCAGAGACTGTTGCACCATCAATTTCGCATGTCCCCAACACGACGAAAAGAGCGCACATCAACTTGGACGAAGTCTTTGAAGAAGACGACGATGACATGGAGACGCGGGAAAGCGCATATATTAATCCGAAACGTGAGTACTATAATCCACCATTGAAGATTCTTATTGACTAAAATTTCAACTATCAGCAAAAAAGAAACGTGTCGAGGCAGAGGATATTGACTTAGATGGTATCCCCATTGATGTCGATGTCCAGTCAATTGTCGATGTGTCCTCGACACGTGAAGGTAAAACGGCTGATATTGATCAATTTTTTGGGCCAGCATTTGAGCAGACAGGACCGAATGGGAAGGTTAAGAAGCACCGGAAATGCAAGAGCTGCATGTAAGATTGCGGTCGTCAATTTTGCTCACACACTCACCCATATTTCATAGGAAAGGCTGTATTCTTGTAAGTGAACCTACAACTCTTCGTCGGCATGCAGAAGCGAATTTCGCGGTACGTGCTCATTAATCACAGTGATTATAATCTAATAAATACATAAAAATAGGGGAAATATCGAACTTGGGCGAAATCCAATGGATTCGAATCAATGTTGCCCGGAGATGTCAAGGATCGCAAGGCCAAAGCCATACGGGCTCAACAGGCCATCAATTCGCATCTTACTGAACGTAAGCTTGCAGAGCGTGTGGTCCCATACTCCGACAAGCTGTTCAAGACAGCTGCTATTGAATGGCTCGTAGCAACAGACCAGGTGTGTCTTTACTGCTCAGTCATAGTGCTATCACTAATTTTTGGTGTGTTTTTGGCGTGTTGAGCCCATTCAAGCCCTCGAGCATCCAAAATTTAGAGAAATGATCGACGTGGCTGCTCGTGCGACTAATGGCGTGAAAATTCCTGGAAGGAAAGCGACACGGGCAGAGATCATGCGCATGTTCAAAACTCACTTGACGAAGCTCAAGGCAACTTTGAATGTAGGTCTACTTGATCACTTCCTTTTCTTTTCTATCTAACGGTCATTTAAATGGGATTTAGAGCGATGCTGTTCGTGGGGCTGTCAACATTACCTGCGATGCATGGCAAGCTGGTAATACTGACGGTTATTTCGCAGTGACTGGTCATTGGATCCAGGAAGACAGTCCCTTGACGTGGAAATGTGGGAATGCACTCCTTGGATTCACCAAATTGAATAATGCGCACAACGGCAAACGTCTCGGCGGTGCATTGTTTAAGGTATTGGACCGTGTCGGCATCACACACAAGGTATCTAGATTGTATTCACTCTACTCCGCACTCATACATTCCATAGCTCGGCCACATTACGTGCGATAATGCTGCCAATAATGGGACGATGATTGATGAATTTGCACGGCTTTACCATCAGCGACACAAGAAGAAGTTCCCATCGAGTGAAAGAAGGATAAAGTAAGTTCATTTATAACATTTATAACATATACTTTGTATCTAACCATATCATGGTAGCTGTCTCGCCCACGTCGTCAATCTGGGAACCCAAACTTTGATTGCTACGTACAGCAAATCCCCGCACTACACTCCACATGATCCCAAGGCACACGAACCCAACACTTCGAATACGGGCGAGCGTGACGAAGTAGGACTAGTCCGTGCTATTTGTGTTAAGGTAGGTCTATGACCATCTATCTGACGTCTTTGATGCAGTGAATTCGTTAACGATTTTATAAGGAGCGCTCATCAGCAAAGCGGAAGGAGCTATACAAACTTGTTCAAGCAAAGGCCAACGTCGTACCTCAAACCCAGCTTCTGCTTGACATGAAGGTGCGCTGGTCATCGACTTATGTCATGCTCAACCGCGCCGAGAGTAGCAAAGAGCATGTCGATGTTTTCGTATATGAGATGGGGTTGCAGGAGCGAGATCTTACAAAACGTGCTAAGACAGATTATCTGAGGCTGACAAGTGCAGAGTGGATCCGTGTTGGCCAGTTTGCGGACTTACTTTCTGTGCGTGTATGATTTATTTCAACAATTTTTGCCTAACAGATTGTTTTCTTCAAGTATGCGGACATTGCCCAACAGGCATTCTCGTCGGATACAGGCACCACGCTGCACCTAGTAGTTCCTGCACTTGAGACGCTCTACAAAGCATGGTCCTCTCGTGCGGGACGGCCGAAGTATACTCGTTTTGCACAAGCGCTGGATGCTGCTGCTGCCGAGAAGATTGACGAGTACTATGAGAAGACAACAAAGACTCCTGCATATATTATGGCCATGGGTTCGTCAATGTGGTTACTGTATATGTTATGATTGCTAACATCGAAATGCAAGTACTTGATCCAATGGAAAAAATGGCTTACTTCAAGAAAAACTGGCCCGACGATCTCCAGCAAGATGTCCTTGCATGTGTGGAACGAGTGGTGAGTCAAACAATGTGTTGTACATATCTTAATCTTTGACAAGTGTGAAAGTATGAAGCTCGCTACCTCGAAATGGGTGCACATGCATCAGCACCCCAAACTCGCATCAAGATAGGAAAGACGAGCAGCCTCAAAAAGCTCATTTGCCAAACTCAAAGCTCGGACGAAGATGAGGATATTCCAGTGGCGGCACCATCAGCGTCAGCTAAACCATGGCAGGCTGATTTTATGAAGTATATGGACACGTTGGAAGCAGCACCTCCGCCTGGGATGAGCACCATTCAATGGTGGGGTGTATGTTCCATTCATTTTCTCACTGTTTTATATTACTGACCTTTCCTTCGCACAAGATCAATGCCCAGAGATATGGGCCGGTGTGGTCTTCGATTGCGCGAGACTATTTGTCGATTATGGCGTCGTCCGTCTCCAGCGAGCGCGCTTTTTCTCAGGGCGGGATAACCATCAGCAAACGCCGCAATCGCCTTAAAGGGGACGTCGTCGAGGCCCTCCAGTGCATAAAATGTGCTATCCGCCATGACCTCCTTTTCCGCGAACCAGGGCCGTCGTCCCTTGTAGAAGATGAACTTGATGAGTTCGAGATTGAAGAGGAGTCTGGTGAGAAGTCTGAGGTTGAAGATGAGGGTTGGGATGGTATATTTCTCGAAGACACTCGCTGTGATGACTCGGAATCCGATACTGACATTGATTTACTGTAGTATTTATGTTGAATACATATCTTGTACAATACTGCTCATTTTGCATGCTTGGGCCACGGCTTGGGCCAGAGCCAGGCCAAAGCCAGCCGGCTTTCACGGCTTTGGCCTGGCCTGGATTTTTGACGAGCCAGAGCCGTCTGAAGCCGGGCCAAAGCCGTGGCTTTTGGGCCAAGCCGGGCCAGAACAACACTATCAGGACATGATGGAGTACCTGGGAACGAAGAAGTGGACGAGGAAGCCAAGAGGGTAGCAAAAGACAAGAGAAACACCAGCAACCGCAACAAACTTCCCCCATTCCTTCGAAAGGACGCCCTCCCATGCAGCATATCAGCATTGAAACAAGCGCAAAGAACTGAGTCCGCCGCAAGATGGGCAAGAATGTGGACCAAATCGCCCAGATATCAACGAGCGACAGCATTAGACCCTAATCTTCTCTCAGGATCGTTCATCAAGTTAGTCAAAGGATTGCCCAAACGCCACGCCTCGTTATTGCTTTGGTTACGCACCCGCCACATCTCTCTCAATTCACACCTCCACAAAATCGGCAAACACGTAAATTCAGACTGTACGCACTGTGCTAATACTCCAGAAACAGTAGAACACTACATCCTCGCATGCCCCCATTACGAACACGAACGACAAATCCTAAGAAACGCACTCCGGCGGAAAGCATCCTCACTCCCATATCTCCTATCCAACAGCCACGCTAGCGCTCACCTCTTTCGTTTCGTTAACAGTACCGGTCGTTTCAAAGCTATATTTGGTGATGTATCCCCCCCCCCTCCTAAAGAAAACACGCAATGATAAACTTCGCAGCACTGTACACTACATCAACTAAATTAAAATACAAACTCGCAACTAATCCACTATCTATCACGGCAGAAAGACACTCAAGATTGGAGACAAGCCGGGAGTTGCAGAGAGAACTGGAATAGACAAGCAGACGGCGGTACAGCGCAAGAATTCGCCCTCAAGTTCCAGATCCCACTATCCAACTATCGCACCCCAATCATTCTTTCCCCGTACGCACCACGTACTTGTTTCATCCTAACCACACGAAAATCACTTAATACTACGAAACGTACTACAAGGGTAACGCCTACTTAGTATTCTCGTGCGTCTAAAACGGCCGGCAGGAACGGCGGACCATTGGGGGAAACTCACAATGGGGCATTCACAGAGAAAGAGAAGCGGAGGGGACACAGGTGTCCCCTCACCTAGTTAGAATGTCCTACATAGGGTATATACCCCAAATGGACAATAATCCGACTCAAAAAAAAAAAAAAAAATCATGTATTAGCGGAAGCAAATTCTGATTGATCGATCCCGAAAAATGAATTCGACAAACTGAAATGTTACGTGTGACATAGGGCTAATTTCGACGCCGACACGCCCTTCTGTGACGTGTGACTATCGAATTGAATGAAATGGTACAGTATTGGAGCACATTACAGCTGCAAACTTTGTTCAGAAGTGTGAATAAATGTTTTGTATATATATATCTATTGCTACCATTATCACATCATTTTAACTAAGTACATGTTTCTTTGTGTGCTTGTATGGACTTGTGTTACTTTGTCGAGTTTGTCAGGCTTGTCGGCTTGTGTGTCTGTGCCATCTGTGATGTTTGTGCAGCTTTGTTATTGTTGTGACATCTTGTCACCAAATTTGTAGTTTGCTGATGCAATTATCCTCTGAGTAGGTTCTGGCAGGCCCACATACGATGGTCCTGAATCGGAGTCAAGTCGGAGTATCAAAATCACATCAGCGAACCTCCCCGGGCCCTGCATCCGAGTCCTTGTAGATGACTGAGTGGGTCGGGGAGGAGGCTCCGACAGAGTGGGACGTGCAAAAGGCGTTGAGAGCGGTGGCTAAGATGAGAGACAGTTCTTTTGGTCGATCGTGATGTACGATATTCCACATTTTAATGTCGCGTTAATTTGTTGAAGTCAGCACAGTAAGCATTAAGCTCTACCACATGTCTCACAACCACACATGCACATGACTAGTTGGCAGATTGTCTGTAAGGTTGACGGTTTCTGTTCGTCAGGAAACAAAGTACCGAGAGGGTTCCATTGCGAACCAAAAAGACAGTTTAAAATTATAGGTGCGAGGTCAGTGGAGACTCTGAGCCGCGGCTTTGGGCATTTCAGCATCTCAGGTTAGGCTAAGAAGGGAGACCAGGGAGGTTTGCTTGACAAGTTGCCCGTCAAGTAAGGATTAACTCGGGTGGCGCAATCTTGGTCGCCCAATCCTAGATGGAAATGACTATCGCGGCCTGAGAAGGAGACGGTATAAATAATATTTCAATGGATATCAGAGAGACTCACCGTCAAGTAACCGATGTCGCAGGTTCAAGAAACAAAACAGAGGAAAACAGAGACTGTCGCTCACAAAGAGGACAGGACAGAACTGGAAAAAACTATGGGCGCACTGCGAACGATAACCCGAAAATCAACTCCTCAAAGAACGAGCACAAAAAACTTTGTCAATAAATGACGACCCCACATAGTCGCAGTTCTTCTCGTGGTGTGGTCTGAGTCTATATTATGTGGCGTTACCCGTTGTTATCTTTAAACCGGGCTTTATCGTGTCGACCTTGGCTCATGAGGCTGTTGGCGAGGAAGCAGATGTCAGTGTGCCACGACCGGACCCGGCGGTACTGAGGGGGCGAGCAGAATGTCCGCCGTGAGCGGGAGCGAATGGTGATAGTGATCAGAATCAGAACTGCGGTCTGACAGCAATGAGTATTATTCAGAATCACACAAAGTTTCACGATGAATGTTCAGCGGTAAACATGTATTTAAGAGTCTACGAGACGCACGCAAGTCTATGACATTGTAAGGTCTTGGAAGATAAGATCATATGTTATAGATTAGCAGATCTCAACGGCGCCAAATATACCGTCCACGAGGACAATAAAGGTTTGACCAAGATAAGGACTGGGCTTGAGTTAGTAGTAGATCTCATATATGTGCTCGCGCGACCCAAGGGTGAACAACAACACGTAAACAGCTCACGAACACGAGAGAATACAAAACAACAATAGTTTGTGCTTTCTACAGCAGCGTCCGCCTTCTTCTATTCTCGCGGACTCTCAAGTGGAGCTCAGACGGTACACTGGCAGTGCTCGTGGTGACGCTCGTATCAGTACATGCGATGTAATTCGCATCTGTGCCAGTCTTGCATCTGCTGGTCCTCGTTTTTGGTCCTAGGGCTTGCGCCGGCGCTTGTACTAGCGCCTGGACATAGATACACTGGTGACTCGCTGAGTGCAGCTGGAGGTGTTGGAGACAATCGCCAGCTTTCAGTGGTTTTGAAGAACGCGGGTATAATGACATCGCCGAGGCACTAGTTGTAGGTGGTTGGTCCTGTCATCGATGGTGCAAAGGGGCAAAACTTGTCAATGGAGTGCAGCATCGTTCGTACGCAGATGGATAAAATACCGACTTTCAAACACCGATATTCATACATGTAGTACGCTGCGCCAAGTTGACAGTCGATGGAATACGCCAAGAAGTTGAGCAGGTCGCTGTGTGAGCAGTGGGGTTTGTCCGAGTCTCATGCTGAAGAACTATGAAAAATTGTTCAGAGTTGTAGAGATTGAAAATTGTACATGGGTTTATGTGGGATAGAATACCGGATTCTGAGGGAGAGAGGATCTGATTGCAAGCCATGCAGGACGGGGTACGACGGATGGAGAATATCGTGGACGATTCGTGTCCCGGCGCTTGTTTGCGACGGCAAACCGGACCGAAAAATATAGTGTGTCGTCCCGGTTGAAGCAGTGCTTAGGTTGTAGGCACAATGTTGCCGGACCCAAGCGCCTACATGAGGCGATGTCGTTCTTCTTGGAATAAGGTGCATGCTGTAGACGCATTTCACCAGCCACGCACCTTGACCAAAACCATTAATCAGCAATAGGTAGATCTCTCGCATTCTCCTCTTTGGCGTCTCTAACTTCCAGCTAGGCATAACAGACGAGGAATTCAGCGGCCTCGGGAGAATAACTGAGAATGAAGGATGCCAAACAGCTACCTGGATCACATCGAGAGCCTGTCAAGACGTTTCAGGGTCATGATCATAACATCACTTGCATTGCAACTTTTCTGGATGGCAAGAGAATAGCGACTGGGTCTCCCGACAAGACAATACGGATATGGAGGCTCGAGGACGGCACGGAGATGATGAAGTGGGTGGTGAAGCAGTTGGTCTGCGCACTTGTAGTCTTGGGAAACGGGAAACACGTCGTCAGTGCTGAGGAAGAAGACCCATTCCCAGATTCTGGAGACGACTCCGATGAAGAAGATGTTTTGAATAATGTGGTGTGTTGGCAGTTATGGGTACGTGATGTTGAGAGTGGGAGGATCGTCGCAGGTCCCTTGGAGGGTCACACCAACTATGTGAATACTTTGGACATTTCCCCTGACGGCAAGATATTGGCCAGCGGGTCATATGATCGCACAGTGATTTTATGGGACACGACCACCTGGCAGAGGAAAGGTCATCCTCTCGCGTGCGGATCACCCATCAATTGGATCCGATTTTCTCCGACCGGTCAACTCGGCGTTGCTACTATAGAAGATATCCAAATATGGGACTTGGAACGAAGGAAGCGTCTTGCTCAATTCGACGGCCACCGCGGCTTTAACAATGCATTCAACAGCTCGCTCACCTGGACTCGTGATGACGCACATCTCTTCTCAGCCGGTGGTGGAGATGATCCTGTCATCCGCTGTTGGGACACATCTACCTGGAAACAGGTTGGTGATCCTTGGATTGGCCATAACGAAAATGATATTATTCGTCATATCGTCGTGAACCCAGCTGGCACCCTTCTTGCATCAGCATCTGACGACTGCACTGTTCGATTATGGCAGTTCCCCACAGGCACAGAAGTAGCCCGATTTGAGCACTCAGATGACGTGTTTCGTGTTGCATTCTCGGTCGATGGACGCTCCATATTCAGTGGCGGTTTGGACAAGAAAATCTCGCAATGGGAGATACCTGAGGATGTGCTCTCAGCAGCAGAAAGTGTTCCTCTGGCCAGCGCGAAGAACGAGGTGACTACTCCCCACTGTGATCTCACTCCCTCGCATGCTCACACGCACTCATTCCAAGGATGGCCGAGCCAAAAACAAGGTGTGTTTTCTAACCCCGCGTATAATATACATCCTGACTCTCGATCAGATGAAAGGACTGCATAATGTACGTCGTTTGAACCCCATTCGATGGTCCTCGCTTCAATAGTGTCTGATTTACTTAGTCATATATTCATGGCCAGCGCCGAAATCAGCCAGTGAACTACCAGCACGCCACTTACTCTGCATCGCCACTCGCTCACGCGGGAGGCCCTTCATCATCTCGCTCGCTTGATGTCAGGACCTTTTTCAATGGCATGAGGCCGACATTTGACAAGAAGGGAAAGAAAAAGGAGCATCAACCTAAACGAAAAGCTCCGCGAGTCGTCGACGTTCCTCTCGGAATAGCAACACCTGTTCGTTTCATGCAATTTATCAGATTCTTGAGAACTAACCCTGTCCTTCGCTAGGGTGATGCTGTTGGTGTGGACGACGGGAAACGACCATATGTACTCTTCTTTTGCCTTTCTTGGTTCCAGAAAAAGGAGAAGAAACCAGTTCCACGGCCAGTTTATGATGACGACCCTTCGGATGACGAATCTGAGCATTCCGTTGCTAACGTTCCCATATCTACTACCAGGTAACTCCAGATGATTTGCTTGCTAAATAGTTTTACTGATGTGCCGCAGTAGGGCCCAATTCGACGCCTCCCAAAAAGTCAAATTGAACCCAGCGACCTTTTTTCAGTCACAGCCCAAGGCAGGACCATCTCGACTCGCACCGCCAGTCGACAATGAACAAGAACTAGACATCGTCAATGTCTCGATGCCTACCCCCAGGTATAAAAACCTCATTCGTTTGTTCTACGGGTGACCTGATGCAGTGTATCGTAGGATCCAAATCTCCCAGCGCGAAGACATTGAATTGAAACCGATGGTCAGTCAGTCCCAGCCAGAGGCAGGACCATCTCGCCTCGAGGCACATGAAGAATACAGTCGTCGTAGTCAGTTATATCTTTCGAGCTTTACATCGTAATTACAGCTTTATTTGCCTGCGTCCGCGACCTTGAAATTGACCGCCCGCATTCGCTGAGGTTATCTGCGGCTCGTGCGGTATTTCACTCGGGCATCAGAATATCGTTGGTCCTATATTGTCCTACGTCAGTTTGATACTCTTTCATGACCCGAGGGAACCACTGTGGTCAACAATGGGAGATATAGCCCGACCTTTACATTTGCTATTGCTGGAAGGTTGAGGGTAGAGTCGTGACAGCATGCGGCGAAGGCTGGGCGCTAGGGAGATGATCAAAATCCGCGATGAAATCCCGTAGCAATATCACGAATAGTGAACAAAAGCCGGCAACGGCATCAAGACAGCTAAGGTGTTGCATCACGTGCGCTGGTCAGTTGGAGACCGCAACCCTAGAGTAACATGAGCAGTGCACGACAAGGTTCTGAAGTTCCTCCGTTGCAGCCGACGTGTAAAATAGCATGAGATTTCATGACAAAGTCCTGACACGCGGCCGTGCAATCATTGCAATGGACGTATTCCGCGCCACTGTAATCAAAAGCAAAATATATATATGCAATCAATAAAATTCTAGCATCATATTAGAGAGTAGATTCCGCTATATCAAACTGGTACAACATCGACTCGCGTCAAGCCATGAAATGGATGTCTCCAACCACACCTCCACCTATCAGCAGGATACCTGCGATTTCTCATGGTACTGGCGCTTCCGCCTATATGATCCATGACGAGACGAGATGTGATAACAAGTGAGGGCTCCTGGGTGTTATGTGGACATAACAAGTCCGTTCCAAAAAGGCAGTCTTGTATGATGATGTCTGCAGGCCGGCGCGGCACAGAGGGTGGCATCGGGGAGTGCTGCAGACCATGTATACGCAATGTGTGCGTGAGGATGGGCAACAGGCTCCGGTGGATGATCAGACCACTGACGAGACGAGGACTATCAAGACACAATAATGTTCGCGTGAGTATATGCGTCACGAACCTGCCACCGGTTCCAACAAATCCTCCATATTTACCATCACGCTGGAGTTCGTTCATGACGTCGAGGATGCCTCGCCATCCCCACTCGCCGCATACTGGAAAATCATCTTCCACGAGCATGACCCACTCTGCTTGAGATGGGCCCTTCTCAGAAGCCCACCGGAACGCTTCTGCAACATGTAAATATTGACCTGAATATGAGTCCGTATGCATGTCTGCGTCAGTATAGAATGTAATAGGTGTCTGAGCATAATGCTCCTTCGCGTGAGCAAATGACACGTGTGTAGTAGTATGTGTGAATACGGAAAGCACCGTGTTGGAGTCGGTATAAGGAAGATATGAGGAGATGGTTTGCGACAGTAGTGATTCAGGGGAAGCTGTGTCGCCCGGACGTGGATAGGAGAGAATAAGAATCTCCAAAAAGGGTTGTGTTCCATGGGGAGAAGCGGGCATGTGTAATGGTATTTTGCTCGAGAACATGGTGGTAAGGATGGCATGCACGGGTATGAGGAGCAGGAAAAGCATTGCAGTCTGTAAGACTGTGCGCGACTGTCGCGTATCCTGCGCCATAGGGTAGGGATGATATCGTGGAGATGAAATACTAGTACCCGTGGCCTGAATGGGCCATAGCACTACCGAGGCTATGGAGGCCATGGCATATGTCCACGGCGCATTGTCCAGCCAGCACAGGATCAAACACGAGCATATTATCGCCAGTAATTCCACAGTATCACTGCGATACTTCTGAAGCCGAGAATTTGTCCATGGCCAAGCACCATACGTTATGAGGTATGTTGCAAGTGCAGGACCTATGCCGCTTGATGTCTCATATAACGCCCAGTGGTTGAATAACCGGGGGTAGGCCCATCCTACGCTTCGCGAAAGACAAATGCCGGAAAGTGTTCTTGCGAGAGCAATGATGATCCAAAAGGCGACCATATGAACTGGTAACGCCTGCGGGAAGCATGCTACTACGGCAGCTTGAAGAAATCGCGAAAGGTGGCCGAGGATATGTGTTGGAGAGGCCCAGAACGCTGTAATGAATGGCAGAAGGTCCTTCCCATAGATGAGTTGTCGAGGTGTAAACTGAGCAAACCGCCAGGTGGGATTCAAGAAAGAGATAACGAGAGGAAGAACGAGACTGAGAGCAAATACAGTATTTATCTTCAACGGTCCACGTCGAGACGTATTACTGGGCATCATCCTGGCATCCATCGTCGTACGAAAGGAAATTGCTAAGAGGTCCGCAGTTGGCAGGTGACCATCACCGCGGGACCGGTGTTGAACGTTTGCCTGAGCCACACATCATCGATTGGCTGGCGTTCTGATACTTATTATTAGCCTGTTATTCTATTAGCCTGTTATTCTATTAGCCTGTTATTCCGTCCGCTATATCAGTGCTGGCGCCAGTTGTACTAAATTCAACGATGTTGTTACCCACAAGCCTCTTCATGCGCACGGTTGTTGTCATGTCGAGGAAATGTCCGGCCGCCAGTGCGTACATGGGCCGCCGGGGACCCGTTGGCTGTCCCAGTGACCCCCTATTCTACATCTTGCATTAGTCATCCTGGGACAGTTCGTGCGGTCAGTGGGGCCGGCCTGAGTTCTGGCATCTTGAAATATTACGATGGCGTATTGTACTGTAATTTCCGAATCGAATTTGAGATGCGGCGTATTGATAACCGCATGAAACCAACCCTGACTCGGACTTCGTTCCAGGTAGACACATACGTGGAATTGGAGGAGGGTGTAGTCCTGTAATTGATATGTACATATCATAATACCACCTAGGTCGTGTCATCAATGAGATCTGGCAATACGAATAAGAAAACGTGCGACTTGTAGTAACACATATGTGCAGAACGGGATCAGGCATGCTTAGTGTTACAAAACGTATCTGAAGTCCCTGTTTTGCCTATCCGTTAGATCCAGGAATTCCTAGTACAAATTATCAGCCTTGTACTTGAAAACGCGACCATCGATTCGGAGAACCCACCTTGTCGACCTTAACATCTACATGCTTCCCGTCCTCAGTGATTCTCTCGATAACGTATTCTTCTTCGTTATCGTCAACAGGTTCTGCGTCGCGGATTCGGTTCTCTCGGACGAGAACGGCACGGATGACAAGGAGAAGTATCGGACAAACAACGTAGCATGCGCCGATCACAGCCCATGGGACGTGGTTACTGCACATTAATCATGATCACTTTGAACCCTCCTAGAGTCAGTCGAAGAAAGACCTACCGCGGCTTGTATTGTGTCTTCCACATGAAGGGACCAGCTGCATTACCAATGCAATAAGCCGAGAGCATGATGGCGTTAGTAGCAACCTGCAGATGTATTTTCACTTGAGGAGCGACTTCAATCACTGGCAAAATATCTACCTTCTTCGTATGGCCAGCAGTCACGCTATTAAGCCACGACAACGCCAGCACGAATCCAGGCACACTGACCCCAGCTGTGGAGCGGTGAGCATACAAACGCACTACGGATGTCAAACTCACTCAGGAACTGGCTGATGAGAAGTCCAACCTATTGTCATGCGACACGCGATATTAAGGACAACTAAGTAGACTCCCAGAAGTAAGCCACATACCTGATCCGACCAAGGAAGTAGGTTTACAAGCAAGATGCCCAACCACGCCGGGACGAAGTATATAGCACCGACATAGGCTCTGGAATTGGGCCGTCGTGCAGCAAGCCGAACACCAGTGAAAATTGTCAATATTTCAATGATACCAGGAACACAAGACAATAGAGTGGTCTGTAGAGCGCTGAATCCGAACGAAGCAAGGATGAGCGTTTGCTGGTTCGTCAGTGAGTTAGGCACATTGTCCAAAGCCGAGAAGAGGGCGAATAGCCATGTCTTAGGGTCAGTCAGGGCTTCGATCAACCTATAGATATGCGCATGGGTCACGGGATATCAAAATTATATCTATTACGTACTGTTCCATCTTGAAGTGTTTGTTTTCTACACCTGTTTGATTTTCCTGCACTAATTGTAAGATAAGAGTTTATTTCACGTCGTGTGACAGACGTGCCTTGATGCGTTGCACGGCTTTCGCCCTCTCATCGGGAGTAAGGAACCAGGCGTTCGTAGGCGAGTCGGGGAACAAGAACCTTCATGAAGCGAGGATGACTTGATAAAGGGGCAAGGCGCTGGGAACTTTCATACACTCACCAGAATGAAATGGCAAGGATCAATGTCATTAAACCGGTGATAATCATGAGCCTGTGATCTATCAGATAAAGTTTGGAGTAATGAAAATAAACGCCAAACCATTGCCATGGTTCAAATCCTTTGGTATTGATGTGCAAAGTACCGAAGCTGATGAAACCGGAGATGATTTGTGCTGAAGTTTGTTGGTTTGAGCGGGAAAATCAAGCATTGCATTTTAGTAAGCGCACCAGTGCCATTCATCAGAACTAGGTTTCCCGCGCGTTTAATTAGTTGACTCTGCCGATCACTTGCGAATGGGAACTCACACCAATAGCCAACCCGTAGCGTCTGTTCATTCCGCGTGTAGAACATGGAGCTAACGATCAAGAATCCGGCAGTGATCGACCCCTCACATACGCCAAGCAACAAGCGCACAACAAGAAGTCCAGCAAAGTTTTTGCATGCTGCATGAGACGCAAGTGCAACTGCCCAGACGAATATATTGATACTGATTTATGATGTCATTGATATTCACATTGATTATGTTTTTGAAGCCCACCTCATCCACTTCCCGACCGGGAATCTTTGAAGCGCAAGGTTCTGAGGATACTCGAAGACAAGATAACTGAGATAGAATGCTGTGCCAAGCCTGAAAGATACTGTAAGGCACACACGAGCTCAAGTAATGCATATCTTCTCACCAATTGTACCTGAAGACGGTTTGGCCTCAGATTTTCAAATCCTACGATAAGAACGGCTTACTCATTTGTAGTCAGGTGCGTGGCCTGCCTGATAACACAAGGAGTCAGTACCAGGTTGACCAGTCTCGATACACAGTGCTCACTGAATTCCAAGGATAGCAGCAGAACCCAAAGTTGTCTTGTCCATGAATTGAACCCTATGGGAATATGAGCGCTGATCGATGATGAATACAGTCAACCTACCAGTAAAGAACTGAACAATGATCATCAGATGCGATCATTATCGATTCAAACAACTGAGTAGAACAGTTGACTCACCACACATCAGAGGCATGATATGTCTATCGATCTTCCTCCTGAAATGAGATCAAACAATGTTGATGTGAATGTAGTTTCACAGCGCACCTTATTCTCAAAGCCTCTTCAGGATCAAGAGTTGAAGTTAACCCAGCGACGAGCTGAGCACCAGTGTCAACATCCTTGGTCGACACAGCAAGCCCTGCATGTTTCTGGTCCCTGAGTACAACGGAGGATTCCAGACTCATTCTGAGAGGACGTGAAGGTGTAGCCGAACTGTGGACTCAGTCAGGAAGAAGAGCTTCCGGCGCTTGTAAGGAGTTTGAGAAATTGATTCGCCTATTTTATGTTGTCTCCTTGCGCATGTTAAAGCTTGGCGCATCGTTGTCGTAGATAAGGAGTCCACAGAAGTATATTGGGTGCATGGGCGTGTGCCTGGTCCTAGAGTCGGATGACCCAGACCAAATTTACCCCCTTCATGATTGAATCATGTATCAGCAAATTTGCATACACGACCGTAACAGCAAACCAATACGCAGGATACTTAAAAATATCATTCATCTCGGAATCTCGGATCCAAAAAAGCCACTGTTCAATTTGACACTTTCGCAGGATCATCAAGATTATGTCGTCGCATGTACAGATAATGACCCAGCCGAAGTATACGCTAACATCGGGGTACAGCCTGGTAGAGCAAATATCGGTGGAGAATAGGTGAGCTCTGAGCCTGTTGTACTAGCTAGTGAATGTGCAAGTTACGGCCGGGCTGGGTGGAGGTCTTTGCAGACTGGTCTGCGACTGTCACGTGCACCGGTCACCGACTTGAAAATCCAGGTATTCCGGCTCTTTTTTTGGATTTTGATGTTGATGTAAGCACGTGATCATGGCCTGCTTTCAATTGAAATACAACTCAATTATGTAAAATACCTCACAACATTGAAAAATTTGGCCACTACTCAACAAATTCAGATGTTTTGAGACGTATTTTCACTCCTGACTCAGTTCAGTTTGGCCCAAAAACATTACCCTGGCTGTTAGCAGCCATAGCCCAGCTCACGCAGTTCGGAGCAAGTAAACTGGCAACAATTGTAAACCTAATGCACTAAAGTAAGGGGGTGATACTGCTAGCAGTGACATCGTCATCCCATACTTCTTCGCGGTCGTCAAGATTTTAACTACATACTTGCTGTGCAACAACCTGAATTCATCGTCATACATGCAATGTTCATGGGGGTGGTCATTGGAATCCCAGTACTGGTAGCGGAGCGGAGAGGGTCGTTTTGCTACGTTGTGTCGTCCCCATATGCCTCGAATATCCTGATCGTCGATTTGATGGCCTCTAATGCACAGGTGTACAGATCTAGAAGCAAGCTGCAACACGAGGAGAACAGATATTGCAGGATAACTGACCATGATCGTGGTATGGGCCTAAGTAGTGAAGAGCTTCCGTCTTCAGGTTTTGGTACGCAGGCATACTCTGCAATTTCCGGCGTATCGTTCCTGAAATGTTTGTTAACTTCAATCACGGAAATAGGTGAGTTTCGATTTACCGTCTGACGATAAAGATTCCAATATGGTAGTCACGCGCGGAACTTCGGCAGGATCATGACTGCTGAACATGTCAATCAGTAGATTCAGTACATTATCTGTCTCGCTGATTTCACGAAATAACACCACTGGTGTTTTCATCAGCATATTAAGTGACAGGGTGTCTTGAATCACTCACCGTCACGCCAAATCTTCTTCAAGACATCCTCGATAACCCGGGTATCCACAACCTTGATACAACACACGAGAGCTTCTACTATTTTGGTGCCACGCATACTCGGCAGTGCGTCGTCTGTGTCTCCATCAGTGTACATTCTCGAGAGAAACGTCTGAGCCAACCGTTGTCAGCAATGATGTTCAGGTATTTAATAGCACTGCACTGGACAGCGTAGGACTGAGTGATTGCGAGCATATTGCACAAAATGTCAAAGAGGTTTCCCGCCTTGCACGATTTGTGGTACTGTTGATCCGTGTATCTGTTTGACGGTAACATTATGCCTCGCAAGGCACCTGCACAGCTCATAAGAATGTGAGAGCCTGCCGCAATGAGAAATTTGCAAACTATTTTTCAATATGTCTGAAAGAATATCTTTACCCTCCCTGGGAAATTTTCTGTCAAAAACGCGTTTCTCGATCATCTGCAGCAAATGTTGGCCTGTGTGCGTATTCTGCACTAGTAGTTCCGCAGTGTCGCCTGAAGGCAGCTCAGTTGAACTTGTTCATAAAATGCCTAACTTAGAGAACTCACTGTATCCCATGAGAGTCAGCAAAGCTTCCGCAGCAAATAATGCGTGATCCGATTTCGCCAAATTTTCAATCACGCTTTGCACGCCTCCTTTGTCAATGATTTGCTTGCGAAGTACCTCTGAGACAACAACATCAGTTTTCCTGGAGAAAATATGGAAGAGACCAAACCGTGTTTTGATAGCTTTGTGAGCTCCTCGGTTGCCTCTTTGCTCCTTTCCACTGCTTTGCTTTTCGCAAACGCAACTAACCTGTTGATGTGCGAACCCTGTGCTAATTCATTACGCACATCCTCTGAATGATGGAAATCTGGTAAGTAGGGTCTTCTTAAGTGATTTCGGATACGAACCGCTTGATTCAGCGAGCTCCGTTAAGCCGCGTAGTCCACCACTCAGGCGTTGATTATCGTTGAATAGCCCAACCAATGTGGCCAGGATATTGCCTTGTATGACCTCCGTAATGAGTTCTTTGTCTGGAAGAGCATCGGTCTTGAGCACATGAGTGAAAAGGGTACTTTAACCCTCACTATTATTGCAAATCGTGCATAATGCTGCAATTGCAGCCGGGGTGACAAAGAAATCACGACGTTTTATTAACCTCTTGAGTTTTCTGACAAGCTTTTCCCCTGTAATTCCAGACAGTGTAGCCCTCCGAGTCGCTAAACATAAAGTGTTAGAATATCGTGATTTCAATGAATCTATGTTGAGACCGACCTTCACTGAATACAGTTTTCAAGATTCTTGACGCAACAACCACAACGATCGTGGCTGAGATACAAGTTAGGAAGGGCGAAAATTTTTGGAGGGGAAGACTCGCATCTATCTTTCAACAAATCGATGATGTTTTCGGTATATCCTTGTTGTGAAAGGATACAAGACACATCATCTTTGGTTCCACCGCATGAGAGGGAACCTTTGAATCGATTGAGAGGCATAATGAAACTAACCAAAATCTTGCGCAAGGAAAAACAGTGTCTTCACTGCAATGAATTTGGTTTCGTCGGCCGTCTGACAAAGGTCGATAATTTTATGAATCAGATCCTCTGTAAGGAGTTTGCCTCTTATGGTTTCGATCTTGCAAAGAGGCGGAATAGCTGCGCACGCTCTGCCTTGGCATATCGGGTTCCCATCTTTGAGCATGCCTGGAATATCAAGGTCACCCAGTACGCGTTCCGCGTCCACCTCTCTCTCCCTGACTGTGCATTTCTGAAAATCTGTTAATGTAATGATGGAAAGACAAGACATACCAAGTTGGCAGTACGCGACTAATGCACTAAGGCGCACTCGACGACATAATGCCATATCGGCGCTTCTGCTGGGTTCGGCATCCGCCGGGGGACTTCCCAAGATACCTCTGCCGGTGGTATCATATACGTAGGTCTCGAGCTTGTTCAGCGGATTGAAGTTCGAGTTCTGGACTACTTCAACTCCGATTTCTGCGATCCATCAGAACAGATCAGTATGTCACAATCATTTGACATCTCACCAAACGAGCAAATGTAAGCCAAGCGATCGACATAATCAAGGATGTTCCTGCCGTGAATTGCACCGTTACGGATAAGAGCTTCAGCAGTCGAGCGTTTGAAAGGTGATTTTTCCCAGGCATGACCAAGCTTTGGTAACTGCACGTTAACGGATGCTATGTGCCAGTGCATTACTTCAGGCCATTGCTGGAAATTTCTCAAGAAAACTGCTTGTGGCCGGTAATTGGGGCGAAATAGGATTGACGAGTGGACCTCTTGACCAGGCAAGATGATACGGCCTCTTCCGAGATGCGGCCTACACGTACTCAGAATATAAGTCAGATGGAGGAACGTTGCCACTTACCGTTCTGAATGCTTATCACAGCTACCATAGCGAAGATGTCTGATCGGACAAACCTCAAGCAGCCACCACGGGAAGGTTAGAGAGTTTGTTAACTTAGGTTCCGTAAAGTCACTATGTCTGAAAGCAACCTTGGGAACATCGAGCCGAAGCCCCGCCTCGAGAACTTCTTCACGCATCCATAGTAGAGGCGTGTCTCGAAAGTCGAGGGGATGGCCCTTTGGCCTGCCTACACCCCCTCTGGAACAAGACGTCAAAGGAGTGCCATCTGGGTAAGGAATACATACACATCTGAATGGCTACCAGCAAACCAAACCTCCTTAATATCCGCGGTCTCGTTGCATCGATCGCTCATGCTGCCGTGGACATACTCGGGTAGGAATTTCACCCGGCGCTCATCTAACGCGAGTGCATGGCGAAAGTAGCAAACGTGGCTGCATGTATCGGTGGATGGCAAGTTTTTGGCCTTCCTTATACCAACGGACGAAACGGTATCCCTAAGCGGTGCGTCAGGTATGCTGATCAGTCGCACTCAGGGATGATACCCACCATACGCCGATGAAATGTATTACTACCCTTTTTCTCGAGAATGTCGCTTTGAATCCCTCCGCCAGTTTTCTACCCCTATTATTGATGTCGGAATAAAGTTGGAAGGCACTGTTGAAGTCAGCTGGCCAATCAAGAAAGATCATCAAATATACTCACTAGGGGATCTGTTCATGGTTGCCGGGTAATATGAGCCCTACCTATCAAAAGAATAATCAACAAGAAAGATCATAGGGCATGGATCAAGTCGATGGATACTTCGTGGATCATTCCTGCCAAAGCACGAACTTGGTATGCACCTCTTGAAAACCCTGGCCTCGCATTTCAGTATAGCTGACTACATGCAATATCCAGGGGACTTACCAAACAGGAAGATCTTATCGCCGTCCTTGTATCTGTCTGAGAGCCATTTATAGGCGTGTATAATATTTTTGCTGATCTTACTTCACGGCCGTTACTACGAGCCATAAAGGGCGAACATCCAGCGAGCTTACTGAGCAATGGCCAGGTCCAAGATACTCGAGAAGTGCTCCGCCATGTGTTTGTGTGCGAGACCGTAGGGCCTAGAAAACGTGCCCACACCACTGTTGTAGTACGTTAACTGTGTGTCATTCTTGATGATCTGGCTATATAGTTCGACGATATTGGTGTTCTAGGATCGAATATATATTCATAAAATATCATCGCAGAATGAGTGGCGCAACCTACTTTATCACCATATTTGTTTGATGTCCCGTCTGTAGAGGTGAATATTGACATCTGGAACTGCACGATGTGACGCGCACCAATGCAGATAACCAAATTTCTCCCTGGGTGTGTGTCGGCGCTTAAATGTATGTCGGCGGGGCATTGACACGATGTCTGCAATAGAATGTCAAGAACCATAGCTGAGCTCTGACTCCATTTCGTACCTTGTTTGATTTGGCCGACGCCACAGTGACGGTGGGTGAAGTGGAATCGGTCCCGCGGTCCTGCGATCTCGAGGCGTCGGCGTCTGCCATGATATCGATTGAGGTGTATGGGATGTTGAGAGGTTTCTCTTGCATCAGCCAGGTTTTATACCTGAACAGAAGATGCCCATGAACACAAGGCGCACTCATACTAAAACCTGTGCATGGGTTGCGCTTCACATAAGATGCTAAAAGATTGGATGCAATAGTTTGCTGTTTCGCACACCGCGTTGCAAACCTTATGCTTCATGCAGCTGAGGCAAGGCAAGTATGCACAGCACCCTTGGTGTCAGAAGCAACGTTGGGCGTCTTGTTTTTTTATGAACGCAGAACGTAGGCATGCAGGGGCTCAATCGGGACGTGATAAACGCCAAGTAGAATATGATGAGGCTGTATCACGAGGACAGTTGTTCATGGGAGGTGCAAGGGTTGCGTGCAAAGCTTATGTAAAATCATATTACGTCCCCAAACTCTGGTAGGGTAGAAGTGATTTGGCGGCTTACATGACTAGCGAAGCTCTCGAAGATCAACCGATCTTTGCCCTCAACCCAGATGAACACAAGCTGGCATGGAATGTCCCTTGAAGTATAAGAAGACAAGCGCTCACGAGATTCAATCGAACAACGCAGGACTGGCGATTCTTGAGACGCGCAGACTATTTCTGGAAGTTTTCCCCTTCGTGCTGCGCGGGACCAGGTGTTGCTTTGGGCATGCACCAGCATGGTAAAAGAATGCTCAGAAGTCGCGGGAGTAGCCGAAGATGCAACCGTTACACCATTAATAAGTGCGATAACGCTTCGTAAAGCGCTTGCCAGAATGTCCACAGATCGAGCGCCTGGAAATGCATGATGCAGCGTGTTTCGAGAAGGCATGATGTTCTTCAAGGTTGGGTTGGAGATGCGAGCGAAGGTCTGGATGATTTTGAAATTAATAACTTGCGTAAAGGCCTAGAAGTCAACCAGAAGCATACATCAGGAAGCCTGGCATCCTGAAATGACCAACCGATGGCCCAACGGCGAGTTTGACCCTGAACAAACTCTGTTATAGCATAGTTGTCTACCTTAGGTGACCAAGTCAGATAGGAGACCGTAGAGTTCCGCAACGCACGCACGCTGTGTTCGCGAAAGAGTGAGACAATATCAGGAATTGATGACATTTTCCCAAGCATAGAAGTATACCACCTAAAACGCACATCAGCACATCTGAAGTCGAATTGTGGATACAATCACGTCACCGGCACTTCGTCCTCAACTGTAGACTTTCCGAGAAAATTCGAGCAACGAAACTTGTTTCTCCCCCTGGAGTTATCATTTCCACTTCTGCTCCGGAGCAAACCTGAGTCAATTGGTCAAGTTCTCTTACATGCATGAACACCATATTTCTCACTGCATTCGGACCAAGCTCCTTGAATTCGGTTGAGCGCGAAACGTCCTCGGCGCTGCTATAAAACGGCGGGTTGCACATGGTAAAGTCGAAACCCGTTGAACTTGTATGCAATGGTTGCAGAATAGGCCCATCAGCCGGCACGTGTTCGACAAAAATACGACTGTCCATAGAATTCCGAGAGATGTTTTGTTTGGCGAACTGGACGGACCGTTCATCAATATCTGAAATATATGTCCACGTCACATTTCAAAAGTATACCGACCACGGTGCTTACCGGTAGTTACGAAGTTCCAAGTAGGTTCAATGCGACACGCCAACAACGGATAAATTGCTGAAGCGCCAGTACCACTGAGTGATGTTTGCTCCACTGCATTTAACAAGGAATAATGCGACGCACATGTCAAGCCCTCTGATGGTGTCGGAACCGCAAGTGGATTTCACTATGTCTTGTAGCCAAAGAACATAGTTCAACCTGTATATCAAATTTCCCGCGATTCAGCCTTCCTGCTTCGAACCTCGAAAGGTGAAAGTACCTGTTTGGGACCTAATGTACGTCTAGTGTGAGATAAATTGAGGTGTGCAACAACAAGGCTCACTGGAGGGCAGAGTCTATCATCTGGTAGGGTTAATGAAAGGCCATAGTCAAGATGAAAGAGCGCTTCTGTTAAACGCCTGCCATCATTGATATACCGCGACAGACAGAGAATTGACCACCGCTCACCTTTGCGCCGGAAGGCTTTTGAAGTTTATCGTACTTGATCCTGTATGGTTGATGAAGACACTGGTTCAAATCGGGAATTTTCAGTATCTCTCTGGGGCTTTGACCTGACGACCGCGTACTGTGGTCTGAGGGGAGGGTAACGCCTCGCAAGGTCAGCAAAATCAGGGGGTTCGTTGTACGGATTACGAGGATGCATGCAATTAAAAAGTTCCCAAGAGGAACGGAGGCGACTCGATGACATTGTCTCTGATTGGCTCGTCTAACACATGGTAGCTTACTAAGCGAGAAGAGGTATGTTCAAGTTCTTTCAAGCCTAGCCTGTGTCTTACTCCGAGTCCCACCAAATGCATGCACGGAACAGCCAGCTTGGTCCAATGGACGCCTTCATCCGAAATTAGCCACTCACAAAATTAAGAGTTTCTCTCGAATGAGTGAACTCTAATAGCTTTGGGTCAGCTGACGGCCTCACATGAACGCTGAGCTCCATTCTCCATCTTTCACAGAGTCTTATCTGGTATTTACTTGACCACAGCATGGGTTTTTGCCACTTCGACGGCCTTGAGGGTGTTCAGCATCTCCCGCATGACTTCGACATGGATCACATGAGGTTTTGAGGTCCGGATCTATCGGCGTCTTGCATTTGGACAACAATATATATTCCCATTGATGGCCCAAGGGCGGATATGAGGTCACAAGAATGACAACACTATCGCTATCAGCAAACTGGCTCCCAAGTGATGAATGTGACATAATTCTACCACGAGTTAGTTCTGATTTCGTCCTACATAAATGTATCTGATATCTCAGGCACATGCACGAAGATGAAGGAATTTGATACCTTGGCACAGGCTTCTCTTATGTTCATGGTATGTAATAACAACTTATACCCTGTACTAATCAAGTGACTGTAAACCTGGTTATATAGCGGCACTTTGGTTGCAACACCTGTCCACGCATCCGAATTGCATGCGTCTGGCCAAGTCTGAAGATGGCCGGAAGCGGGGCCAAAGGTCGGCACTTCTCGACCTCAACTGGTCCAAAACTATGTTGGACATGATGCATCCATAGGGTAACTCGACGTATCCTCAGAAGTCTCCAAACACCTATGTGCGGCAGTTCATCCTTTTCGTCGAATTGAATCTCGTGTCGCCACTATCTTAGCGACGTGTGTGAGTTGCAGGCTTTGCTCCAGAAGATGTCTCCTTTGCTGAACTTTTTTTGAACAACGGGAGTTCATAATTTATCCTCCAGAACCAGTTGAGCCTATTGAATATAACAGTACTCTGTGATAAAATTCGACAGTGCATTTGTCACAGAAGCTCAACTGATCTGAATCCGATCCATACATTCTGCGACCCGAGGCAAAGGTGAATTAATTATTCAGGTCCACTTGCTTCCAAGATGCCCGAAATCTTCCCTGAAGTTCGGATCCTTTGTGGAAGAACCAGGTAAGCCCTCATTTTGCAAGGCCGCTCATAACTGTGGGTTGACAGGCACCTCATCACCTCACGACTAGATTGCGTGGTACGCCCACGATACGCGTGGCGAAACCCGGAGTTTCAATGGAATGAAGTTTGCATTTACAACTGACGTGGACCTTAGATACTTAATGCAACCCGTCGGGTCTCGCATGCGCTTCAAGTTTTAATGTTCACCCGTTCACTGCGTCGAATTTTGCCGCACCCGGCATATAGCTTCCAACGGTAGCCGACACCTCCCTTGGATGCTTCAACTGTTCTCCATTTCTGATGCAATCATGAATGTAATATTGCAGCTCGAGTTTACATGCTCACGCCTATTCACCCGCTGCGTGCGGGATTCCTGCTGCAGCCAATGCCTCGCGCTTGTGCTGTTCCCCACTTCGGCTGGTGCGGTCTAGGCGACCTATTATCATATTTAACAAAAGCAGCTGTAGGTCAATGTGAACAAAAGATTCAGTAGCATAATGGCAATCAGTGGGAAAGATATGCTAGATGAAACATGACACACAATATAATGGAATGCGCACTGACCAGTGTTCTGTCACTGGACTTGGCGTGAGCGGCGTCACCGCTCAACCTCCGAATAATGGATGACTTTCCGTAGGCTCGAAATATGTTTATTAGAATATTATATCATAAATTTGACTACATTAGGAAGGTGTGCCGCGATGCCGCTGTTCATTTGAGCTCAATTTGCAAAAGTATTTTCTTTGCCCCCCGTTTTCAAACCTTAATCTGTAAGGGGGGGTACCCCCCCCTCTGCAGACTTGAATATCCGTCTTCTTCCGTTTTAGGCCACTACGCCAGTGATATTCGCTGACATAATCATTGAGCCTTACTCAACGTGCGGTCAAAAGGTGCGTCGTCAACATTTGTTGACACCTCTTTCTCCCTCGTCTTTTTACATAAGCTCTAGTATACCAAATCCTCCATACGAAATTAAGACCTGACAACGCCGCCTCCGCCGGTGCATCCAATCTCACCCAATCTGTCCCAGCGCCTACCTCCAACCAATCCTCAAGGTCTCACCGGCACCCTCCGTCAACGAAGAGTTACTTACCATCACTGTATTTAGGCCGTCGTCATCAAAAAGTTCTGCCTCGTCTTCATTGAGAAGCAGGTACTGGATTGCAAGATTGCCCATCAAGGACTGGACTAAATCTAATGACTGAGCCTACGGGGGATTATTGTTGCATAGACTAAATTTTCGTCACTATTGCAAATGTATTTTAGACTCCGAAATATTATATTCTGGATTATTTTGCCTACGGAAAGTCATCCAATGAATTAATATTCCAACAATGTATATAATAGGATCAGCGCTACAGCCTTGAGTCAGCTGATTCTGGCCATACCATATGTCACCTAGTAGTTAGTACGTGTGCACCCACATGGGCCTAGCTCTTTTTGCCCACCAGCAAGCAGTGGATCCGAACCTTGTCCGAGGGGACGAAATCGTTTATATTGGCCCGAGGAAAACCAACCGATGTTATCTCGCATACTTTTTACCCTCTCCTTTTGTCCCAGGAGGACGCAGCTACTGCACTGGCAAGAATGCCACGTCTAACCTTCGCAGTGCTCGGTAGTTTACAGCTACTCGCTGGTGTATCAGCTCAAACATGGTGAGTTTGTTCACTTCGATGTGCCGACCACGAACGTGACCAACATTTTTGATCCCTTCCGAAGGTGTAACAAGCACTACATGGCCAGCCAGCCTATTGTTCCGCCAGGAGGCAACTTCCCGGTCCTAGCTGTATCAAATGACCCACTTCTTGCCTTCCGGTGTGCGGCTGCTATGAAGCCCTATTTGGCAGAGGATGTAGGCACACCTGCAGGCGTCCTCATTGATTCACCCGTCGTGTACTCAGAGATATTCGGAGCACAGCCAATTAACCTCCCATCAGGACCTCTCTCCAGTGCTGGCACATTGGACGTCACTGTGAGCCTGAACGGCAAGACCCTCGTCAATGCACTCGTGCCACTCAATGCTTCTGCATATGAGCTATCGTTCAGCCTTGATGGAATAACTCCTCAGATGACTGCATACAACCTCTCTTGCGACGCCACTTACAACGCAGCAAGCTCACCTCAGACCTATAGCGCTTCAGCAGCTCTTTCTGTACTCCCCAATCCGACCAACAGCTCCGTGACCAAGATGGATCTGAGGACTGGAGCACTTCTGGCAAAACCAGCAACCGGGCTGGGTGGAGAGTACGAGCCAATCTTTCCGATTGGCTTTTACACGACCTTTGAATACATCTCAGCAAATCTCTCATTGATTGATACGCTGAAGGAACAAGGGTAGGCCTTTTCTTATGTGACCGTCCACACAAAACTGATACTGGCCTTTAGTTTCAACATTGTAGGTTTTCCTAATGTTCGCATAAAAGACTCAAGTGCTTACGACCAGCACAGATTCATATTGTCCCCACGTTCGACAATACGACTGCCTTTGACATGGTTCTGGATCGTATGCAACAAGTCGGCATGTACCTCATGTACGACATGCGATTCACATACATGAACAACACTTCGGTGATGGAGGAGGTAAATGCTATCAAGTACCGCCCCAACCTCCTTTTATGGTACACCGGCGACGAACCAGATGGAACCTCGGACCCACTAAACGCCACGACTATTGCATACGACCTCATTTACAGCCTGGACGGTTATCATCCTGTCAGCCTTGTGCTGAATTGCCAGGACTACGAATGGACCTCGTACACCGCAGGCACAGATATCGTCATGCAAGATGTGTACATGATCGGAAACAATGTCACCTGGTCCAACGAGTGGAACACGACTTGCACACCCGACTATGGTGACTGCGGTTGTGACAATTGCTTCAGTATTCCTGCCGGAGATAGCGCTGCTGTTCCGCCCAACTCCACCTATTATGGAACCACTGTTCCCGCAAATAGCGGTGTCGGTTCTTACTTTGATATCAGCGACCGGGTTTCCAGCTTTAAAAATCGACTGGAAGTGATGGGATGGGAACGTACTAAAGCGGTATGGACTGTCCCTCAAGCTTTTGGCAGCGCGGAGTTAGTAGTCTTTGTCACTTTCCTGTATCCGCTGTTGTTGACGACATTGGTCAGGTATTGGATGCGCACTCCTTCAGGCGAAGAATGGGTTGTCCAGAGCATCATGGGCATTAATCAAGGTGCTCTGGGTGTCGTCCCTTGGGTAGACCCGAACCCCGAATATATCAAGTTGGCAGCATCCGCGTTCGCGCTGAGCTTGCCGAAGCTCACGCCATATATCTTGAATGCTTCCTCAATGCGGAGCAACTATTTGGTCGGGGGCATTGACATTGCTACTTGGACAGCAGGCACTGAGACGCTCGTCCTCGCTACCAATACCGACTACGTCACCTCGAAGGTGACTTGGACGGGTCTCGGACTTCGTGATGGTAGTAGTGTTGAAGCTCTGTTCATAAGCGGAAGTGTTAAGAGCACTGGCAGTGGTTTCACGCTTGGTAGCGTGGCATCTGCGGCCTTTTTGGTCACACCGAAATAATTTCTAGGGCGTTTTGAGGGGTTGATTTAGATACCAAAATGACATGGACATTCATACTTAATTTAAAGACCTAGACAATGGGTGAGCATTATCATTGGGAATACAATGGGGCATAGGCCCATGTAACATGCGCTGCTCAAAGGCATTTGCTCCCAAAGAACATAAAATACATGAAAGTAGCTGTGATGACATTGCAAACTATGTCTATAGCTCCATGACATGCATATAACGTGCGATACCTCCCAAGCGGCGAGGTTTGTGCCAAATTGATCATCGAATACCTGGACATATCGACATTCCACAAGTTCGTATGCGCATGCTTGGTCCATGACGCATGAGGTCGAGACAGTTTTCCAATGTCGTTCGAAAGTGACCTACGTCTGAAAAGCGAGATAAAGTTAGCGAGAGGTTTTTGCAAGAAAGCACGGGCAGAAAGAGGTCAGGATTTCATATCTCGACATGAATGTTAAGACAGGGATAACTGAAAGATAAAAATCTCATCATAGAAATATAGCACATTACAGCACCGAGTACTGGTACTGGGCGCAAATAGAACATCAGACTGAATCGAAGTACTAACATTGTGATTTAGTAAATGCAGCACAATGGCTTGATGACCTGCATTTGGCCAGCTAAGACGATAAAACGGCTTCAATAAAACTGGCCTACACTTATTTGGAGAGATGGTCGATTTGGAGCGGAGTGAGCATGGGAGCATTCACTTGAAAGGCGACAAACTCGTAGAAAAACGAAAACTGCAGACGATGAGGATGTGGGACATATCTGAGATGAAGATCAACAGAAAAAATTGCACGCGTCTTTTGAGGGTAACCTCGGTGGCAAACAAATAACAAACAACTGTGGGAACTTCCCGCTTCACGGTTCATTCCAATCTGATCGGCTTCTGCGCTCTGACGTTATACCTGTTGATGCGGCAGACAACGAACGCAGAACTCGCCAGGGGCAAAAGGAAGAGCCAGGAGGTTCATATTATCCTGTGCGATCACTTATGTGTCTTTTGACTTTGATTTAGTGTCCACAGACTCTGCAGCTTATTTTTCCTCATCACACCCAGAAGTTAAATTCAGCGCCAACATATTGCGTTGGATCAAGCACCGCTACCAGCAGTGACCCTAATGCCCCTTCCGACGGCGGCTGGAGCCCTCTGGAGCCGCCTTGATCGCCAGAAGCTTGGCATCAGTATGGCAAGTATGGTATGGCGTTCCTGTTAGCTGCCATTCATTGACTCCTCCGAACAAGTGATCACCGTGACATTACCGCACAGGAACCTACCGACAGGGACGATCCTAGTCGCTCTAGCCTCTATTTACCTGTGCTGGGCTTACTAAATGGCCGGGCATCGCATTGTACTAGTAGGTTGTATAAATCCTTCCTTTGTTCCGATCTGACTCCCCCAGCCTCTCTCTCTCTTACCAGGCCTGACGAGAGACAGAAAATGAAGCACAACAAAATATTCACGGCTATAGTTGCCCTTGGCGTGGCTCGAGGCTCGCTCGCTCAGAGTACGACATGGTTCGTATAGTTTCGACCCTGCACCTTGATGGCTCTTTACTAAATTTTTCCAGGTGCGGAAAGAACTTCATGCCAAATCAGTCTGTCGTACCCCCTGGCGGACAGTTTGTCTTGCCCACGCAGAGTGCTGAACCGCTTCTGTCATTCCGCTGTGCCCCTGTCTTCCGCCCATACCTCGAGGAGGATGCGAAGAGTGCGGCTTTTGTAGTGGATACCCCGATTGTTTACGACTGGGTTTCCGGTGCTGAGCGCCTCTCACTCCCTTCCGGCTCTGGCTCTTCTGGCGGCTCCAGTGACATGGGAAGTCTCTGTGTGACAATTAGCGTGGGCTCCGTCCACACCACCGCAAACGTTGCTTTGAACTCCACTGGCATTCAAATCCCCATAGATATCAGCGATCTTAAGGCTCGGAAGACCGCGTACGATGTCAGCTGCTCTGCTACGTATTCTGCCCCTTCGTCTTCGAAGTCCCAGTCTGCAAACGAGCAGACATTCCACACTCGCACATCCCTTTTGTATCTTCCTGATACAGATGCTTCCGTCACGAAGACAGACTTGCGCACCGGTGCACTGTGGGTCCGGCCTCTAAGCGGTGCTGGTGCATTTGCGCCCTTCATCCCTCAAGGATTCTACGTAAATTTCGACCTGCATCTCGCCTCAAATTTGTCTATAATCGATCAGTTGAAAGCCGATGGGTTCGTCTTACATCATTATTACCTCTTAAGCAATCGCTCATCTTGTCCAGGTTTAACACGGTATGTTTTGCGATGTTTGAATATGTTCCGTGCTGAGCTTCTATTCCGTAGCTTCACCCAATTCCTCCTTATGATAACCTTGCTATTTTCCAACAAGTCATTGAAAAGACCATCAGTGCCGGCATGTACATCGTTTATGATATGCGATCGTATGTCAGACTCTGTCACCTCATCTTATCATCATTGATGTCTTTCTATTCAGGACCTACCAAAACCTGACCGCTGTTGCTCAACAAGTGAACACCTACGTCTCGATTCCTAACCTACTGAACTGGGAGACCGCACACGAGCCCGATGGCAACTCTGATCCCCATAGTGCGGCGCAGGCAGCGTATGACTTAATATACCAAATGGATGGATATCATCCTATCTCTATTGTTCTGAATTGCCAAGACTACAACTTCTCGCCTTACGTCAAGGGAGCGGATATCGTTCTGCAGGTGAGCCACTCATTTCATTTTCATCACGCGTTTCTAATGCCTGGTGTAGGACGCTTATCCCATTGGTATCAATGCCACATGGTCTCCTGTGTGGCACACAGAGTGTACTCCGGACTTCGGTCACTGCGGTTGCGACAACTGCCAGGGGTACATGTGGGATGTGAGGGCCCGCGTGCAGACCTACAAAGACAGACTCAACATCTTGGGATATGACCGCACCAAGTCTGTGTGGACAACGCCACAGGCCATCGGCAGTGGCGCGTAAGTTCCCGTGAATCGTCAATACGACTTCTGTACTCACACCAATTACAGGTACTGGAACACGACTCCCACTGGCCAGCAATGGGCTGCCATGGAATTTACTTCCTTCACTCATGGTGCTCTAGGTAAGTTTGTACTAATGCTGCGCGTATGAATAAAACTGACTTCCACTACCTAGGTTCCAAGTCCTTCCAATACCCAACCACAACCGGCAATATTGAGACGATCGAGGGGACAGCGACTAATCTCAACGTTCTCATCACAGACGTCGTTCAGCCCTTCATCGTCGACCCGACCGCCACATATGCCAACTACGACTACCAAGATGTGGATATCGGTGTCTGGTACAACGGTACTGCATACTTGCTCATCGTTGCCAACTTGGGCAACGCGCAGGTCCTTGTTCCATGGAAGGAGACTGGGGTGCCGATCACCTCCAACGCGACGACGCAGCTACAGCGAATATTCTCTGTTAGCCAGAACACAAACATCACTGGTCTGAGGTTCCTACCTGGAGGTATTGGTATTTACACTGCGACGCCTTGATCATAAGGAAACTACGATCCCGTTCATGATAAATATGACGACTATCGCATATGCGTCAACTTTCGTGAAGTTGTGTGGTCCTCTGAAGGCACTTTTCCAGGGCAGACTACACTTTATGATATGCGAAGAACTGTATGAATGAGTCTACTACCAATAATGCATCTGCGAGACATATCCATAATCTTTCAACTGCGCGGCAGATTGAACAGTTAGTAGATTGGCATGGAAGCAATCCGTCTACTCAAGCAACACGCTATGGCATTTCAGATTCGAGTACAGGTAGATTTACGGAGAATGCTGCATACTGATATTCCAATGACCTTTGTTGGTGCTGATGCAGTCGCTGTTAACCAGAATTTGCAGTCGCTGTTAACCAGAATTGCAGTCAGTTGAGTCCCTTAGAGAAGGGCGCTAAAACTTACGCTAAACAGACCGGGCGCTCAGTCGAGAAAATCCTCCTCGGTCAGAATGCGACCACTGAGCATCTTTCCAAGGTGAGTCGGCGAATACCCCATGCCTTTTCTCCTCATTCCGAACAACTCCTTCAGTGAAGGAAGCTGGGATCGCTTGAACGAGCACGATGCTCTCGCTGAAGGGCGATTCTCCTCGCGTATGAACCCGTCGCTGTCCACTATCAAATCGTCCCCCAAATCCGGTGCATTGAGCCCTAAAAAGCCGCAAGCGCGGAGATACATCTCTTGGTTGGAAAAATAGAGTTGGCCAGCGAAAAGGTTAAGCTGGCAAATCAGTGGTTTCAATGGTGCCAACTGTGGGGTCGAAGGAACACAGTAGAGGCGAAGGTCATCGCATGCCTGCATCGTTTTTGTGGTGCGAGGAGTATAGATGCACAGCTGAACTACATTGCTTCTGCGGATGACAGGTAGCAGTATGTTCGCTTCGTTCGGGCTCAAGACCACCAGCAGTGGGGAGCGCCCAACATTGCTGGATACAACCCAATTCACTGGTCGCAGATAATCATCCGCTTTTTGAACGGAGAGATTCCCCACCGTACGGGCGAAGTCAAAAGTGACTAAAACATTTTGTGCCCACTGATTGCGCTCATGAAATACAGCGGCAGTGCCGACAAGGCTGGACAGCGCTTGAATGAACGCAGAGGACCCAGTAGGAATTCGGCCGGTCTCCACGAATCGACAGACGTCTGCATGCAAAACATGAGTTGCAGGTTCGACCCTGGGTGGTCTTTCCACTCGACGCTCTCTCTCTACCTCGTGAAGTACCTCCCTTTCTTGTTCCTCATCCATATTTCTTGCCGATGCCGATAGGAATCCGAGTTCTTCGCACTTTCTTTGAATGTCTGGATCGAAAAATCCGAATAGTTGTGAGGAACTACTTGGTGCATACATATCCTCCAACGAACGCTCCTCAGGCTGCAACCATGTGGTCTTCAGAGTAGAAATCGAAGTAGGGGTACGTGAGAATTTAGCCCATGCGGAGTGTCGTGTATTGAAATCCGATCCCTGTTGAACCCAGTGTGATGCACGCATTTGAATGTCACGACATGTTTCGAGCATTGTCCAGTGTAGGATATCTGCCACATCGACATTGTTGATGTCAACTTTCTGGGTCGCCGAACGAATGCTCCGGTCAACATCAGTTGGAGCGAAGAACATTACTGAGTGCCCATTGCCCAACTTCCGCATTCGCATACATCCTGCGTCATTGATGATTATCAAACCTGATTCGCATGAACTCTGAATTCACGAACCTTGCGTTAGGCGGTCTTTCGTGACTTTGGGGCCAAGTGTGACAGCAGCTCGGAAGCCGGAAGGCAGCTTGACATCCGTTCCTCTAGTGTGCGCGTCATCTAGATATATCACACACTGGTCAAGCTGCTGGGCAAAGGGAGATGACACGAGAGGCTCTACTGTCCCATCCCGGCTGACAACAACAATTTCATCGTCGTCATTCACGAAAACCGCAGCTTGGGCGTCGTGCTTGACTCGAAGCCATGTTTCAGCCAATTCCTGATTTCTCAATTCCAGCATCTGCGCACCCACGTCAAGGAGCACGCGGATCTCGGGGGTTTGCGCGACAAGGGCATCGATGAAATCCTGCACCTTTTGGCCGGGTGGTATGCATGTGTAGCAATTGTTCTCCGGGCGCAGAAGAAATGATAGGACTCGGGCATTTGTGCTGCGCTGGTAATCAAGGTCATGCTGCACGATCGAGCTTGGCAGTAGATAACGATTGTCGTTGGTACCGGAAAAGCCAGTCGTAAAATGTCTCTTCTCTTGAGCGAGATCCCATCCGGAGCAGGTGAGCTTACTCGGGAATGCCTTCGCTTCCTTGGGGAAAACCACTCGAGACAAGTAGAAATCTATGACTGCCTTGTTGAATCCGAAGAGTTTCTGAAGGTCGCGGAGCTGCTCTGGTGATTTTGTGTTGATTCCGCTAAGGCGCCGGAGGCTTTCTGGGACGGACTGAAGTCCAAGCACCCATGATTCATACTCGAGGGTGGGATTATCCTGCTTCAACAGGAGCTCGAAGCACAACATGAGCTGCTGGAGCGTGAGACCTGCATAGTAGTATGACAGGCACGTGAGGGTGACAGCAACGTCTGGATGGCCAAACTCTGCCCGCAGTGAGGGCATATCTTTGGCGCGGAATGGAACGGCTAACATCGTTCGCTTTGGGTCGAGGCCATAGTCCACGCGCCAGCGACGTTCTTTGAGGGCGTACACCAAAATGTCATATGCCAGCAGTCCTCGCAAGACTAGAAGGCCGGGCCAGATGGTGGTGTGTCTGTAGCGATCCTCCACTAAATTGATACTGTCGTTGGAAATCTTCTCATTTGTGATGAACTGACGGACAGCTTGCTTCACTGGTAGAGATGCTTGGTCGAAGCTTAGGTTTTCGAGTCCGCCACAGGTGATATCTTGTGCGATCCATTCGACCAATTTTTCACCTGCTGTTGGGTGCAGAATGCGAATGAAGGGGAATGCTCCGTGCTCGTGAGTAGATTGAGAGGGAAAATCACTCATGAGCTGAGCGGCATGCTTTGCGACAAGACTCAGCACTTGTTGTGTGGTCGTCCACCGTTCTGGATGACCTTGAAGCGACCTTTGGAGACCCATAGTGTACACCAGCTGAAAGCGGACGTGCAGGATTTCATCGCTTTCGTCTAGGATGTCGCGTGTATGATTGTCGAGCCACAACTGAGCCTGTAACATGTCTCGAGCAGTGCTGTTCAAGTTCTTTTGAGGGGACAGCTGGCGATCAACAGCCATCAACTGGAATGATAGGATATGGTCCGGTTGCACAACCAAAATGCCCTTGGCGTCCATGCATTCTTGCATCAAGTCACGATACATCTTCACCTGCAATGAGTTGATAGAGGAAGTGCGGGAGAATGGGATATAGAAAATTCGCCTCTGCGCAAGGCCACTCAATCGTTCAACCAGGAGTTGGAACATTTGAGTAGACAATGACTTCAACACAATGACTCGAACCAGCTTTTGGCCATCAGAAAGTGCGGCTGCTGCAAGGGGAACGATCACATAAGATTTGCCTTCGCCCATGTTCAGCTGGAGAGAAGTATTTCGTCCCGTGGATGGCGACATCATCTCCAGCGCAACCTTCACTTGGACAGGCCGTGCCAGGAACTGACTTTCAATCTGAGGGCATTGTTATCAGTAACCATTAACGATTGATTTTTTTTTACAGCGTACCTGTATTAAGAGCCAGTCAGGGTACAGCTCAGGATCAAATCCCTCGCATTCTTCGTTGTCCAATTCCTTGAAGAATTCGACCCAGCTTTTACGAGCGGCAAGGACCAACAGCCTTCGCGAGCGCTGCAGTTGGAGAAGTGTCTGGGACATCTGGACGAGAGTCACATGCCATGCCCTTCCCAAACAATTTCCGGATACGGATGCCATCTGAGCGAAAAGAAAGTTCGGTGTAACTCGGGGCCACAGTCCAGCGTTGGACAATGCGTTCTCGGCGGCAGAAGCAGGGGAGAGGGCGTGAACGATAGTGGCGAGTGAATCTTGGAATCTCTGGCTATGCAGAGAATGGTGCTCAAGCAGTACTTCCATAGTGTACGCCGTGGGATCTGGCAGGGTAACGAGCTTTTCTTCACAGAGAATTGATCTGCTGTGGTCCAAATCATTAGCATAGTTCTGGTGGAAGTTATTGCTTCCTCGGGCGCGAAAATCGTCGATCAGCTGTTGCAACCTCGTTGTGACTTCGGAACCTGGAGATGTCAAATCTCTTCGAGTGGAATTGGGCAGAACTTGGGAAGACCTGAGCGTGTGTATAACAGGTGGATTCCTATCAAAAAGATACTGGGCACCAACAGATGAGATTGGTAAAGCAACATTCCCGAGATTTGAATCAGGAATGTATTGCGAGGGTAGTTTCGAAGGAGATTGAGGAGCGTAGAATTGGTTGAGGGTCACTTGCTGGACATCTAAGTGCTCCTTCAAACAATGGTTTGCCCAACAACTACGAAACACTGGACGCAGCTTCCTCAGCAGTTCACCCATATTGAAGCGGCTTGCTTGCAGGTCATTAGGCATCGGAGGGTCTTCGCATGGCCAAGCGCTCCGAACTTTGCTGAGAATGACTCCCTTCTCAGAACCACATGCATTATCAAAAGCTGACCGACGACGCTTTCGTAAAGCCTTTTTACGCTCCCCGGGCATTGCAGCTAGACCACTCTCTGGACTGCTTTCATAAGCTATCGCACACGAATTGATGAGACTATCCAATCTCGCATCGGTAAGCATAAAGCCATCAGAGATGTCATAGAAGGCGAGCTCTGGCAGGCGATGTAGGTTGCGAATTTGAGGGACTGTGGCGAAGGCTAAGAGTGTCGGGATGAGTGCGTACGTGTCCAATGAGCCGTATGATACTGAAGCCAGGGTGAACACCAGCTGAAATTTGTCATTCTCCGTAGCACTACGACAGCGGTCGTACGCAGAAAGGAAGACATCGGGAAAAGCCGGCTGAAGCCAGTCTTTGGAGTACCGTAAGCTGAGGGCCCTGGAAACACCCCGAACCTTTTTCCACTGAGTCAACAAACTGAGTAAATTTCGTTGCACCGGAAGTCTACTCGGCCACTGGTGTACCATGAAGGCTGTGTTGAAGGCCCTCTCTTCCGCATGTTTATCAGGGACCTCGCGTGGTGGATATATGCAATCTGTGTTGCGGGACGGAAATGCTAAAGAATACTGATCGGGATAGACCGCCGAGGCGCAAATGGATGCGCGCTCAAGAAGGTGATCGGTGGATGATGGGAGATCAAAGGTAAGCTGAAGTTTTGCAGCCCCTTCTGAGAAATTTGATAGCCGCCTGCCATAGTCCATGATCGATTTTGCTACTAGATGAAAATCATAGTGCTGTGAAAGGGGCGCAAGGGACGACCACGACACTGTCTGCATCTTTCGGAGATGACTGGGATACCAGACGCGCTTGGCTGACAGTGAACTGATCTGACGCAAAAGGTCTGTGTCACGAATGCGGAGCTTCATGAAAGACTGGCAAGCTGCAGAATGCAAAAGATGCAATGCCTCCTCTGTTCCTGTTCGACCCGTCAGGGGATCAGGGAGACAGCCGCTGGTAATAGCGTGGAGGAGCGCTTGATAGAGCTTGCTGGTCAGACCTACATTCCCAGTGAGACAGCGTAGGTCTACATCAGCCCTGTACAAGTGGTACGCCACTCGGGGGCCTTCGGGAGCGATGGTTACCCGGACGTGATGACCATGAGCGGAATGTGAGATGCAACCGTCTGGGATGATGACAGTGCGCGGATGCTCGTCTGCAATTTGCGACTTCGGACGCAAGACAAGCTGGTTGATTAATCCCAACATCGTTCCAGTCGACTGAATGGTGTCGACGACCATGTTGCGCATGTTGCGAGACTGCAATTCTCCATCCTCGTCGACGAAAAATTCAAGACCGTATCGAGGTAAGTCAACCTTCAGCGAGGAGAAAGTACCCCCTGGTGCTTCATTATATGTGACCACGATGTAGCGGGTATCCTCCAGCGGACGCAACCTCTTGGAGATCATGCCCCACGTTCGACTACGTATGTCAATGAGGATGGCACTGCTAGCCCTCTCCATTGTGGAGGGGCCCGAATCAGAAAATCGCAAGAGCCAATTTTCAGGGGAAGTCTTCCACGCATTTTCTGCTGGCCGAATCTCGATTTCGCTCATGTCCAGGTTGAGCCAATGAGTATGGCTTTCTATCAAGGTTGTTGGTAGGTCATCGACAAATTTTTTGTGTGGAATGAGTTGAAGAATAGGCGAGCCTCGGTCAATATGCTTGACACGGATGATGAGATCATGTGAGTTGCGAAGAGCGAAAGACACCTATATTAAGATATTATTTTAACTACTCGGTGATGACAACTTGAACGAGTACTAACCTGATGGTCACAGAAATTCGTCCGTGTCGAATAATCCATTCCGGGAATATCAGCAGGGACGACATCAAAAACTCGCTGTAGTTGACAGTCAGCATATGCGAAGAGAGTTGCAACTCGTAAAGACTGACATTACCGAACATTGATCGGTATGTGGGATGTTGCACTATCATTGACGGGAGCCTACCCAGCTTTATCCCGTCGACACGCAAGCTCCCGCTGACCAGATTGAAGTGCACAACTTGCGGTAATTGAGTGCACGAAGGCGCGGTGTGTGACACAAGCCAACGAGATTTTGAAGCCGGTAATGCCTTCCAAGGACTCCCCGGTCTGTAGCTGCACCACACCTCCGCGACTGCACAATCAAGACCCTCCCTATGAAGCTCTGCATATTGGCGAACAGCAGCTTCTAATCTGAGACAGCATCTTTTATCTCGCTCGAGCAGCAGCTTGGAATGTTGGGTAAGTTCGCCCAGTTCGCTTGGAGTGTTGTCATTTATCATGACGCCACAGTATGCAAACGTCTTGATGTCATTATTCGACGTCAGGAGCAGTGAAGCATCTCCATCAACATCGAAGGTGCTACGACAGGTGACTGCCATATCACGAACGCGTCCTTGTAATTCCTGATTGACCGTCGCGTCTGAGTCGTTGCTGGCTTGCATTTTTGTCCATAGCTGTATCAGCAAGGTGAAGGTCGTAGCTCGTATCCTTCGAAGTAGTGAATGTCCGCGATTTTTGATACTCTCTACCTGAGTCGAGGACAAGATACGGCACACAAGCATGATGATAGTGCTTATCGTGACACCTTCCAACCAATTTTCTTCAATTGTGGCCGCCAAAATCTCCAGCTCTCCAAGTAGCGTACTAAGGAAGGGCATGTTATTCAGCTCCTCGTGCCACAGAAGGCCCTCGTTAGATGAAAGTGGGCCAACTTGTGAAATGGCCTGTGTTAAGAGCAGATGGACTTCCTCCCGTCGAAAATTGAGTGTCCTTGCACGAAGTTCACGTAGTATATTCATCCATTGCAATCGCGGTCCACTCCGCAGGGATCCGAATGCGATATATTCGTGAATGGTCATGTCCTTGTGACAATCAGCCTGGTTGGCTATGACCTCGTTCGACGAATGGGACGTTTCCGCAACGTATTGCTGCAAGCCATGATAGGGTCCCTTGGGAAGAATAAAAGTGCACAACTTCCTAAAATCGTACTGCAATAGGACTACTTTGGCCGCCCAGGCATTTGTGGCTGTATCGAAGGGCCGAAATACGAGGCCGTTGTTGACACATACACTGTCTTCTATTGTGGGAATGTGATTGCGACTGTAATGGGAGTTGCTGAAGGGTTTGGCATCCGAAGCCAAAGTCAGCCTCTGCCTTGGATGGCACTTGCGGTATCTCTGTAGGGCGCTATATTTCGGCAGTGTCATGAAGGGATGAGTGGGCAAAATCTTCTCTGGAGTGCAGATGTCGACGAGGACATGCAATGTCATACATCTCCACATGTCGAAGGCTGTGGGGCACACCAGCTCAAACACAACCGCGATTGCCTCTTTCTCGTTGGCTGGTAGCGGCCACTCGTGAACTGCGATAGACATGGACTGCATCTCTTGCTCCAGTTGACACTTTTGACAGCTTTTCTTGTCATGGTGCTCATTGCCGCGGAAGTTGGTGGTGTATTCATGCGATAAGGTTACTGCCTGCACATTTAGGCCAGCGTACCGCCGATTGAGAGTCGAGAGCTCAATCAACTTCTTCTCCCGCTCTATCTGAGCATGCGTCTCGATGAGGAGTTTCAAATTCTGCAACTTTGAAGACTCGTGAAAATACCGCACGGAGAATGAGTTGCTATCGGTCATGGACAAAAACACCGACGGATACCTGGAAGCACAATGACGAGCTTGAAGGTAGGCATTTAACTCTTGTAGACGATCGAGAGCTGAAGGTTTGCGAAATAAAAGACACTCCCAAAGGGTCGATGGAATTTCGGGGGGATATTCTGCCAGGAGTGGTATTTGTCTGACGACGATCTTATCGATGGCTACCCAGAGCTCGAAAAGTGTGAGAAGCATGATCGACAAATTCTCTGGGTTTCCACGGTAAGATTTCAGCGCTCTCGAGGAGTACGCAGAGGCGCACGCCTCAATCGAGACGCATGCAGAATCGATATGCTGAAGCGACACACGCGCTACCCAGTCATCAATCCCTGATCTAATGGCAGTCTCGAAGTCTGCGAGGGCAAGAGCTGGTTCTGCAGCATGAGCGGCTACAAGGAAACTCGCACCGGCGTCGAGGAAGTTCTCGATTGTGCCACGCACGTTGGAGTAGGGGGTCCTAGGGCAGGGGTAGAGCAGAAGACCCCATACGGACGATTCCGAGAGCTTAGTCAGCCAGGTTAGGATAGAGCAGCACAGCATGTCAGTAGCATCATCATTCGAGCACAGACAACCACGAGACGACGGCACCACTCCATCGTGGTGAACAGAGCGAGTTCGAACCAACCCAATTTCGCATCTAGTCCTAGCTCTCGCAATAGTCTTAGCTCGCAGCCTTGATCTAGCGTTACCGAATCAGAAATTCGAAAAAACTTCAATTTAAAACAGCTAACCAAACATTCACAGAAAACGCAGTTTATTACGTGCACCGCACCACAACAGACCACAAGTATTACAAAAGAAGGGCTGTATCTACTCAACCCTTTTTACGTGGACATCTGATGCCTAGCACAGATAGCCTAAGACCCAGAACAGCAAAAGGGAAAGCGGTGACCAACACCCGCTCAAAAACAAACTGGTCAAATTGGTCAACGACAACGACCACAGCTTCCTCCCCATTAGACACCCCAGAACGCTTTAGCAGCTCATCGCTTAGCAGCATCGAAGACGACGACGATCGCAACAACATCCCCTTCCCAGAACTAAACGTCCCAAACCTAGACCTCCAACTACCAACGCTCAGATACCAACCGCTAACTCGCCACGTAAAAACAGAACCGCTCAAACCCACCCCCCCAGCACCAGATTACGACTTAGCCAAATTCTTCGCACTATCACAGCCCAAACTCATAATGCCTACGGAAACCCCGCAAATCTTTCATGGAGACGGGCGCGCATCCGAGAACCCAGCCGACTTCGTAAAATCCTTCAACCGCGCAATGAGGCAACAAGCAGTAGCAACAAGCAGCGACAAATTAGACGCCTTCGGCGACTATTTGAGAACTAGTTCACAAGCGGAAATATGGTTTAAAGCTCTCAGCTCCACAGATAAGGCTACGTGGACTGCGTTTGCAGCAGCATTCGAGAAACGCTGGCCACCAATCGTCATTGCGGAAAAGACGAAGGCAGAGTACGAGAGGGACTTATTAGACCACGTGCTGCAAAGCGCAGACGTAGGAAAGAAGACCACGCTCTATGACAGAGAGTGCTGGACACACGTCGCTTGGGCAGCGAACACACTCCAATTCGCCACCAACGCAGGCATCGAGCAAGGTACATCAATGATCTGGCAAGTCCGCAGCAAGTTACCAGACATCGTGAAAGATTTGCTCAAGGATGAAGAATACAAGAATTGGTCAGAGTTCACGAAAGCGGTGACGGAGTTGAAGGGAAGCAGACTAGCAGAAAAGCAAGAACAGAGCATCAAGCAATCACAGGAACTCAAGGCACTGCGCGCAGACCTAGCTCGTATTCAGCTACGTGCACCACCGCAGAACCCAGTCATAGCTCTTCAAAGCCAATTCAGCAAAATGGCGATCAATCCACCAACCCCATCGCTAACGTCGTCAGCTAACAACACGTATACTCGAGTACCAACCGCAGAGAACCAGCGAAACGCGCAGTCTCCATACATCCGTCAGACAACCCCATCCCAACAGCAAACCATCATTACAGACGACATGAGAACAACAGTCAGACAGCTCGTCGCAGCCATACCCCAACAACCAGATAACCCAAATGGCCAAGCAGTATACGCAAATCAGCTCGCGCAGTGGAATGCGAAATGGGGCGAGAACGCACGCGTTACACACGAGACAGGATATCCTCTCAAGCCAGGCACAGCAGCTATAGGTTCGAGTGAATGTTTTGGCTGTGGAACCCACGGACACAACGGACGCAACTGCCCATTACCAACAAACCACGCAGAACGACTAACACGCAAGGAAGCAGCGTGGCGTGCCATTACGAGCAAAGTCCTAGGAGCATTCAATCGCACTTCGGCGGTACCAATCTCATTAGTAACCAACCATATCCCGCAATACAACACAGCATGGATTGAAGAACTCGCTGAACAAGACGAGGGAAAAGCGGATGGGTCAGCGTAAAGAACCATACTACGCTGACCCAGAGAAAAACGGACCTTCACGCCAGAAGTAGTGTCCTCGCGTGTACGGAGGCATCACGCGAGGACATGGACTCATCCGCACTTCCCAAGCTTCAACCTACATCCATAGTTACTCATGTATCAGCACCACTTGACGCAATCAACACTGTTAACCTGTATTCAGTGGAACACGTCACAATAACTAAGGAGCACTTAGAAGCAAAGGAAGCGGTACCATTCATCCATCAAATCACACTCAACGGACCGAAAGGAGAAGCGGTTAGAGTACGGGCTCTCTTTGATGACGGGGCCATGGTAGCAGCCATGTGTACGTCAATATTCAAAAAAGTCAAACACCGCCTACACAATTGGGGCCCATCAGAAAGGAAGCTAAGAATGGCAAACGGAAGCATTGTCAATTCAGAGGCCAAATGGTCCGGAACAATAGAGATCAACGGCATCAAAGCAAAAGGGGATTTCGAAGTGTTTGATAGCGCAGGTGGATGGGCGTTCTTGTTTGGGAAGCCTTTGTTACAATCATTCAAAGCCGAACACGACTACAAGGCGGACTCAATCAAAATCGCGGACAACGCTAAGACAACAACCATCTACAATCAGATAGCGAACCCACAGGCATTACAACGTGAAGAACATGGCACAAGTCTCGCCCTAGACGTCAAGCAACAAAAAACCCCCAGCAGCGTAAAAGAACCAGTCGAACGTCCAGAACACATACCTATGGGACAGTGGAAGCCAACTACCGTAAACTCGAGACAACGAGAACAACGGAGATCACGCCAAATGTGGAGACGAGTCCAGAAAGCAGAGGACGACCAAGAGGTAGAGCCGAAAAGGAAGGAGAAGGATACAACACATAGTCAAACGCAGGGGAGCGAAAGGCTCCCCTCAAGGGAAGTCGAGCACGATATCTCACACCGCGAGCAGCATGAAGTTGACAATCCCAATCATGCAGCACCGATCCAAGTTCTCATCACCGATCAAAGCCAAGCAGAATATGAAGGAGAACTTATAGGCGAACTCCCAGAACCACAGCCGCAAGAACCCAACATATTCACAAGGCACACATGGCCTGACAACCCAGCAAGGATAGCGAAAATTATATCAGAGATCACGTTTGGAGACGGTTTGGAGACGACATCACAGCAGAAGAGAAAACACAACTAGAAGACTTCGTTCGACGGAACGCAGACGTCTTTGCGCTTTCTCTCAAAGAAGTCAAACCCATCCCTAACGCATTTGTTAACCTCAACGTCCCAGAAGCAGCAACGTTCAATCTACGCACCCATCAAAGACCACTAACCCCAGATCAATCCCGGTTCTTCAGCGCTCGCATCGACGATATGCTAGACGCCGGCATTATCGAACACGCGCCAGCAGAACATGTCAAATGTGCAGCAACCACCGTAATCGCACAGAAAGCTCACGAGGCTACAGGACTACCATGGGAAGAACTCAGACAGCGCATCAATGACCAGTGCAGAACAGCAGGGGAACCACCAGTGTTCGACCTCCCAGAACGAGAAGTAGACGCACCACCACCGGCACAACGAAAAGAAACATCAAGAAAATGGCGCATATGTCAAAATTTCGGGCAACTCAACAAGTTCACCGAAATAGCGCCTATGCCTCAAGGGGACCTCTTAGCGAAACAACAACGACTTAGCGGACATAGGTACGTATCAGTTTTCGACTTCGCATCAGGATTCTACGCTCTTCAGGTCCCAGAACAATGGCGTCCATACCTTGCTTTCTACGTAGAGGGCAGGGGTTATTTCTGGTACAAGAGAATGCCAATGGGGATAACAGGAGCTCCAACAATGTTCTGCGAAGCGGTCGCAATAAGACTTCAAGAATTCTTGGTGAGCTACACTATGGAAATATTCATGGATGACGGAGGTTGCTCGGCAGATACGTTCAACGAAATGATGGAGAAACTCGAGGCTATCTTCAAACGGTTCAAAGAGTGTAACTTCTCAATAGCGCCATCGAAAACACGTCTCATGGTCACCGAAACGGAATTCGCAGGCGCTACAGTAGGACCCACAGGAGTCAAACCCGACTTATCGAAACTCACAGCAATCGTTGATTGGGCGCAGCCAGAAGATGCGTTAAACTTAGTATCGTTCCTTGGACTTACAGGACACTATCGCTCACTAATTAAAGCATACGCCAAGCGCGAAGCGCCGCTTCGAGATCTCCTCAAGAACGTACCCCTTCCAGCGCAGTACAACAAGACTACCTACAAGAGAATCATGAATGCCTACAAACTCGCACCACACTGGAAAGCCGAACACACCCAGGCGTTCCTACACCTCAAAGCAGCAGTCACATCAAGACCCGTAGTACAAGGACCGCGATACGATGGGTCGCCATTTGTCTTAACGACAGACGGATGCGCAGAGGGCTTTGCGGCAGTGTTGTCGCAGAAAATCCGAACACAGACTCCAGATGGACGATGGGTAGAGAAGCTACACCCCATCGGATTCGCTTCGAAGCGAACCTCGTTAGCAGAACAACGGTATAAGTCTTATCTCCTTGAATTCGCTGCATTGAAATTCGCGCTAGATAAATTCTCAAATATTATTTGGGGTTTTCCAGTCGAAATAGAAACTGATTGTAACGCGCTAAAAGATACTCTACTCAACTCTAACCTCACAGCAGCACACGCAAGATGGAGGGAAGGCATCCTATCATATACCATCTCAGACGTCAGACACGTTCCAGGTCGACTTAACGTTGTCGCAGACGGGCTAAGCCGCAAGTGGGAAGGCCAACCACGTACACCGGGAGACGGCAGTGAATGGACCGTAAACGAAGATTGGGAAGCACGCACCGGGCTCATCAACGACGTCATGCACATATCAGAAGTCGACTCCACGATAGACGCACTACGAGTCCGCTTCGCCAACGAACCAATTTTCCAGGAGGTGATAGAAGCCATTCACGGTCTAGATCATCACGAGGACCTCGGCAAACGACGACGCGCGAAGCATCGAGCTTCAGAATATCTAATCAACGAAGGTAAGCTTTGGCGGTTAAAGGGGAGTAACACGACAAGGGCAAGATCGAGGGTAGAATGTGTTACCAAAGAAGAAGCCAAGGAACTAGCTAAGCAAGCCCACTCGGAAGGAGGGGACTGGGGTCGAGACGCGATCAAACTAACACTTTTAGATCGCATCTGTAGCCCGAAGCTAGACGCATCAATTCTGGAAGCAATCAAACACTGCGCTAAGTGCAAGAATTTTGGTCCTACTCACTAGTGCTGCCGTGGTCCGGTCCCGAACCATGGTTCGAACCTGACCAATGGTCAGGTTCGTCCTTGGTTCGGTCCATGGTTCCAAGTTTTGGACGGACCGGACCTGAAAGAGGTCCGCGGTCCACCATCACCTGAACGGTTCGGACATAGGTTCGGACCTTCCCGAACCGTTCCGAACCCCGAACCGCAGCGTCCTCATGTTATCAGCGAGGCACACACTACTAGTAATGGTCACTTCGACTTCGACTCAGCTTCAGCTTCTGCCCCATGGTCATTGGGATCCTCAAGATTTGCGGCGACTTTGAATTCTTTCCGGAGGCTCGCATCCCGCACCCCCGGCTCTCAAATAAGTTATTTTCACGATCCTCCTTGTTTACTTTGTTAGCGGTTAAAAGGAGCAAGCACCAGGTAAGTTCACTCATCATCATGTCTGAAATTGACGCATGCGCCCTCAATACTGATGGATCTCTTAAGGATGCTAAGGACATCGTCTTTTATCATGATCCTGATGATACCGTCCCACTATCTACTCCTTCCTCTGCACCTACTCTCACAGGTTGCAAACCAGTGCCAGTTATAGCTGGTTCTCGACGATCCGTTCGCACGTCCAAGCCATCTGCTCGCCTGCGGGATACCGAGAACATTTATTCCTCGACGAGCCGAAAACGTGCTTTATCCAGCGCTAACGAAATTCAACCGGCCCGCAAGAAAGTCATACCATCTTTATTTGATGATGATAGCCTTGACGATAACGACACTGGCAACGATACTGATCCTTTGGAGCCTGGCGCTGACCAGCCCGAAGCTGAAGATGAATCCGAACCGGAGGACGATGCTGAAACTGAGGACGGCGCTGAACCCAAGGTCGCGCAAGCCACTTTGGCAAAGAGCGAACGTACTGCTGACATTCGCACCACCTTCACTCGCCATGAAACGCACTGGGTATGCAACCCTTGCAAGTACGTAGTTAGTGCTGCGTGCATTGTTTCCTACTGATATTTGGTAGGGACGCTGGTGAACCTGAGAGCAGGCACATATTTCGAGGAGGAATTTCTACACTCCGCACTCATGTTAGTCGGTACGTTCACGTCCTTTCATCTCTTGACGTTTCACACTAACACATATCTATCAGCAAAAAAAACCACTTTCAACTCTACAAGGCTCGTTGTCAAGCTGCAGGAATTGTAATGCACCCTCGCGCTATTCCAGCTGACGAGGATCAGGCGCTGTGAGTTTTAATTAACCTTTTGTATAACATGGCAGCTAAATAATTGACAGTTCGAGGCAATCTACCCTTGATAGTATACTCGTCACCAAAGCGCCTACATTCACCAAGGCCGGTCTCCTAGAGTACATAATGGAGTTCATTGTGACCGAAGACGAGGCGCTACAGCTGGTCGACAAACCAGCATTCCGAAACCTACTTCGCTATGTTCGCTCTGGCCTTACTGAACGTGACATCCCTCACCGCACGAAGCTCACTGAGACCATCAAGGCACGCGCAGAAGCCATAGTCAATGTCATACGTGAGCGTCTTGCTAAAGTTGATAGCAAAGTCTCTATGACATTCGACTCCTGGACTTCGATCATCGGCGACCCGTTTTTCTCCATCACCGGTCACTATATTTGGAATCCAGATGATAAACCCCAGCAATGGGAGTTACGTCGCGAGCAGCTTAGTTTCACACATATCGAGGGCAATCACAGCGGGCAAAACATCGCTCGTATGCTTATCGACTCGATTGACACATACAACCTCCGAGAAAAGGTAAGGTCTGGCCTACTATCCTGCAGCAAGGCTAATGATTCATATAGCTTGGGTGGATGACCTCGGACAACGCGAGCAACAACGATACTGCAATGAAGGAAGTCGCTCATGAAATTGATCCAGAGGGTGTCCAGTGGATACCTGCCACGCACCGCATCAGATGCCAGGAGCACATACTGAACCTTGCCGCACGACACTTTGTAGATGCCGTTGCACCTACTCCTCAAGCTGCGCTTATGAAGAAGATCCGTCAGGCGCTCGATACGGGGAACGACAATGAGCTCGACATTTTGAATAAGGAGCTTGCAGCCATGGAAGTAAATGGTGATTGCGAGAAAGATGATGTGTTCGACACTGGTGATTCGCTTGGTAAAGCCCTTGCGCTCATTGAGCAGGTAAGTACTACATTACTATTCTATACTCTTGCTGACTGGTATTGTTAGATTCGAAAATCGCCTCAAGCTCGTGCCTTCTTCAAGAAGGCCTGCAAAGAAGAGAACGTCCCCGCGCTCGAGTTATTGCAGTGGATTAGGACTCGTTGGGCTTCTCTATACAAGTGTCTTGATCGCATGCTACTCTTACGTCGGGTAAGTCTTTTTTTTAATCAGTGTTCATCAGTTTGATATTTATGATTGAACAGGCTGTGAACCGCTTCACAAACCTCGCCGACGAAAGTAAAGAAGTGCCGAATCTTCGCAACAAGTCTTACGATGATTTCAAGCTCGATCGGAACGATTGGAAACACCTCACGCTCGTTCATCAAGTCCTGAAGGAACCAGCTACTGCCCAGCAGTCATTCTCGTCTGCGAAACACCCAACTGCGTCGCAAACGATCCCAACATTGGAATGCCTTGCGGACCGGTGGCAAGAGATGGCAAACGATGACCAGTACGCGCCGATCGCAGATGCAATCAAGCAAGGACTCAAGAACGTCGACAAGTACTACAAGAAAACGAGTGACTCCGATGTATATTTCATTTGTCTCGGTAAGCGTTAATATTCTTTTCTATGTTGCGTGCACGTCTAATTATATTCACAGTCCTTGACCCCAACTACAAACTTGCCTATGTCGAAGATCGATGGGACACTCGAGACGTTGCGAACGGGAGGGCTCACCTCAAGGCCGTGGTAAGTAGTATTAGTTCTGACTGCTCATCATCCTTCCTGAACTTATGTTTATAGTTTGACAAGTATTATAAACCGCCAACTCGGGCACCTGCCAAAGAACCCGCTCCGCCAACAAGACCCTTGCATGAAAATCGGTACGGTGATGCGTGGATGCGCGAGGCCATCAAAACCCGTCAAGCTGCAGACCAACGTGCTCATAATCCTCGTCAAGAACTCACGATGTATCTGTCTTCGCCGCTAGAGGAAGCTGACAACATTGTTGCCTGGTGGGGAGTAAGTATTCTCATCATGACCTGTTTATTTGCTACTTAAATTGTTCCTTAGCTTCACTCGTTGCAGTATCCTACTCTAGCACGCATTGCACGAGACTACTTGCCCATTCAAGGCAGCTCCGTCCCCTCCGAACAGGCTTTTTCGAGCGGAGGGATCACTTCTACTGTGCGACGCAATGGACTCGCAGCATCCACATTCAGCTCGCTGCAGCTATTGAAGGCAGCATACAAGAATGGCCATGTTTCCGCAAAGGTTGAGGCAGAAGCAGCTGTGTTGGATGTGTAGCTACGAGTACAAGTTCTATCTACGTTTTTTTGCGCACTGTACAATATCTACGTTTTTTTTTGCTCACTGTAAAAAAATTTGGGTTCGGGAAGTTCACGTTCGAACGTGAAAATAACCGGACCTGACCATTCTGAACCGTTCGTAGAGGTCCAGTTCGGGGTTCGTCGAGTCTGGTAGAACCGGACCTAGGTCCGGTTCTTGGTTTTCGCTCATCCCTCTGTGAACCTGACCGAACCGGACCACGGCAGCACTACTACTCACATACACTCACTGCTAGAACCGATTACCAGACGCCATCCATTTGAACTCCTAGTAGGAGATTATTTATCGCTTCCCAAAGGGAAAGGAGGGTACAGTACATTAGGAGTCTATCTAGACACGTTTTCCCAGCACGTTTGGGTATACAAATACAAAACGGCAGGGAGCGCAACCACTACGATCGATAGTCTAACGCGAATATCCAACGCATTCATAGCACCCGAAACGTTTATGGCCGACGGCGGAAAACATTTTAATAATGATGCGGTGAGAGAATTTTGCACTTCGAGAACAAGTAAACTACACACCGTTGCAGCATATTCGCCCTGGGTAAATGGGTTAGTCGAAGGAACGAATAAGCTACTGCTTCACGTTCTAAAACGCTTATGCGCACCAGCGCTAGGAGAAGACGACGCGCAAGAAACATCGTGGGACAAGCTCCCTAAGTCCTGGCCAGACCACCTCGATGACGCGGTTCACGCACTCAACCATCGTCTCCTCCCAGCTCTCAAGTTCTCACCGAAAGAACTATTATTGGGCTTAATCGTCAACACACCCCCGACACCGCTAGAAGAAAGCACGTCGATACTCAGAAACGTAGACGCATCGACACAGATTGCATACGTTGAGCAACAACGTCTGGACGGTTACGAGGAAGTGATCAGACACGCAATCAAAAGGAAAGCAGCCTTTGATAAAAAACTCTTACAACGAGGACCCGGGGAAGTTATTTTTAAAATTGGTCAATTAGTTCAAGTTTACCGCAGTGACCTAGATTATACATTCAAGACCGAACGGAAACTAATACCGAAGTGGTCCGTACCACGTCGTGTACAATCGAAGGAGTTAAACTCGTACAAGCTCGAAACTCTCGAAGGAGAAACGCTACAAGGGAACTTTAGCGCTAGACGCCTACGAGCGTTCACTCCCAGAACAGGAACAAAGCTCGCAAGAGACCAGGAGGCGTACGATGAAAAATTGACGATGAAAAAGACAGAACTTGAAAGAGAAAATGAGAAAGCAGAGCAATTAGTCGAGGAGGATGCAGCGGCAGAAGAAGACATGGAGGATACAGACGACGAGGACATAGAGGATCCAGGAGAAGAGATAGAGCAGTAGACGGCGTCGAGGGCGGCGCCGGTTGTTTTTAGGGGGGTGCATGGAGTAGGGGGTCCTAGGGCAGGGGTAGAGCAGAAGACCCCATACGGACGATTCCGAGAGCTTAGTCAGCCAGGTTAGGATAGAGCAGCACAGCATGTCAGTAGCATCATCATTCGAGCACAGACAACCACGAGACGACGGCACCACTCCAACGTGATGGCTGGGATCGAATGGGGATCGTTGAGGGGATGAATGCTGGTTGTACAAGACTTGGTGTATGTACTTTCGGCTTGTGTTTAAAGAAAGATGGGCATCTCGCAAGACCTGGAGGTTCTCGGGAGCCCAAGGAGGCGAGACCTGTTGCGCGTCTTGAACAGATCCCCATCTCTCTTCTAGGATGCTCCTTACGTCACCGGTGACCATACTGATCATCTGCGACAACTGCGGAGATGCAGAGGATCCGAGTTTGAAAAGGCGGCGTGCGATCTTCGCCGACATGAAGTGTAGGATGTTGTTCGACAAGTCATGGTCGAGGGCAAGGGTCGTGAGCCTCGCCATGAAAAACAGCATGAACGATTTATACGTCATTCGTCCAAGAGCACCGCGCTCCAGAGTCGTCTGTAAGGCAACGCGAATAACAAGCCAAAGTGGAGACCGCCTCCACGGCAATTTCGCGCTGTCCCACAGCACATCATCTCCGATGCGCTTGCGGATGCGAGGAACATCCGCGATGCTCCCAAGGCCACGTAGTATACTGGTCAGGAGTTTTGTAATATGTCGAGGATGAGTTGTATCCCTCTCTTCTAGAACAGTGGATTTGGCTTTTTTCCTCGTTGGTGCTGCATCAAGGACATCTTTATCCATGCAAGCGAGAAAATTTGCCAACTCAGCATGGAAAGTGGCATCGTTAGCAATGGTGTCCGGAACTGTGATGGCAGGTCCGGGATATGAGCAAATCAGCCTCCCCTTCGCGCCCATCACTGCGGTGGGGTCAGGAGACATCTCGAAGGATTCGAATATGGTCTCAGATTCGAGTTTCCTCATGACCACCGCAGCGTTTTGTGCGCGAATCATATATACAAGGACATCTGAAAATTGGTAATCAGCGCGGAAATTTTTGCAAATGAGATGAAGGTAGCAGACCGTTGTTGTCCATACTATTGACTTGAGATTCGACTTCCTTTGCAGACATCACGCTAAATCTGATTGAATCTTTGAAATTGCGAAGCATTTTCAAGCTGCTCGACCAAAGCACCAACTTATCGGACGGCAGTTGGTCACTGAAGGCGAGAGCAGCATCAAATATTGCCTGAGATAAGGCCAGGTCATTCTCAAGGGAATGGTCGCTCCCTTGCGGCAACTTGAGGGGCAGAAATACGTGATTGATGGTATATAACAGATCAGCCTGGTCTGTTAGGTGACGGTTTGGATGTTGAGGCATGTTACAGTATTGAGATGTTAAAGAAGAATGCAACGGCCACTGCCAAGTGGCGACTGTAATAAGGAACCCCTAAGCGCTCGCCATGATAGCCTATAGCCTGAAAATTTGAGCCAACCAACGCCAAGCATGCTAATTGCAAAATCTGCTTATCAAAGTGCATCAACTTCTTTACGATTTGGAGCTCACTAGTTTCGAGTATTCTCAGCTCCTCTCCTCAATCAACCTTCCCACTCTCTCCATTGCAGCAACATAGTCCTTTGATATTCGACCTTCCCCCGAATCTCTCCGCTGCACCTCCACAGCTTCACCGACGTACGGCAGTAGGGCCTCATTTTTTTTGAAGAACTACCTGTCATCGGAATTTAGAATTCAGCATGCAACATGTATGATCTAGACCCACCCTGAGATGATAAGGATGCCTCGTTGCTGCCCCAATATGGTCCAAATATCCTGTGCGCGTTCTTTTGCATCAAATCTTGCACATTAGTATGTTCATTTGACACCAACTGGTCCATCACGAGAACATGCAATACGGTAGCGGAGTTTCTGTTCTTCCGCGTGAGATTCCCCTTCCGATAGTGCTGATCCTTGTGTAGCTGCAGTGAAATCTGCAGCTAACGGAAATTGTTGTCACTGTATCCCATAATGCATATGCGAAATATATCTAAATTTTTCAACTGCGCGGCAGATTGAACACTCGGTAGATGTAAAAGACGGTATACGTCTAAAGAAAGAGTTGAGTTCCTCGGTCGGGTATAAGAGACTGGGGAAAAGGGTAATATAGAGGACGACGGTAGCGAATGTGTTGCCAAGTACTATCAGGCGGAGTTACTAGATATGGTAGGTACGTCGAAGGTACTAGTACTACTGTAAGTTTCAAGTCGCGAGTCCAAAATTTAAAACAAACGATCTATATGTTGACGGGCCCGGCTGATTTCCAACAGATTGAACTTGGATTGACATGGAATTAATCGACGTCTACTCAAGCAACACGCTATAGCATTTCAGAATCGAATACAGATACATTTACAGAGAATGCGCATATTCAAGTTGATATAACAATGATCAATCGATCAAGGTTAGTGTTGATACAATCGCTGTTGACCAGAACTGCAGTCAGTCGGGCTGGCAGAACTTCAGGCGCTAAAACTTACGCTACACAGACCCGGCGCTACTAGTAAAGTCGAGAAAATCGTCCTCAATCAGAATGCGGCCATTGAGCATCTTTCCGAGATGAGTTGGCGAATACCCCATGCCTTTCCTCCTCATTCCGAATAACTCCCTCAGCGGAGGAAGCTGGGATTGCAGGAACGAGCACGATGCTCTCGCAGAAGGGCGATTTTCCTTGCTGATGAACCCATCGCCGTTGACTATCAAGTCCTCGTCCCCCAAATCCGGTGCGTTGAGACCTAAGAAGCTGCATGTGCGGAGATACATGTCATAGCTGGAGAAATAGAGTTGGCCGGCAAAAAGGTTGAGCTGGCAAATCAGCGATTCCGATGATGTCCGCTGTGGTGTCGAAGGAACACAGTAGAGGCGAAGGTTATCGCACGCTTGCATCGTGTGTGTGGTGCGAGGAGTATAGATGCATAGGCGAACTACATTGTTTCTGCGGATGACAGGTAACAATGTGTTCACTTCGTTCGGGCTCAAGACTACCAGTACTGGGGAGGGTCCGACGTCACTGGATATAACCCAATTGACGGGCCGCAAATAGTCATCCATTTTTTGAGCAGAGAGTGTCTCCACCGTACGAGCGAAGTCACAGGTGACTGACACATTTCGTGCCCACTGATTGCACTCATGAAACACAGCAGTGGTGTTGCCAAGGCTGGACAACACTGGAATGAACGCGCGGGACTTTTTGGGAATTCGGCCCGTCTCGATGAATCGACGAACGTGCACATGCAGGTCTTGAGCTGCCGGTTTTACTTTGGGGGGTCTTTGAACTTGGCGTTCTTTCTCTGCCTCGTGGACTACCTCCCTTTCTTGTTCCTCATCCACGCTCCTTGCGTGTCCCGCTACAACTCCGAGCTCCTCGTACTTCCGTTGAATGTCTGGGTCGCAAATCTGGGATACCGGTGAGGAACTGCATGGCGCGTACATATCCTCTAATGAACGCTCCTCTGGCTGCAACCAGGCTGTCTTCAGAGTGGGAACCAAAGTAGTGGGCGCGCGCGAAAATTGAGTCCATGCGGAGTGTCTTGTATTGAAATCTGATCCTTGTTGAACCCAGTGGACTGCACGCATCTGGATATCAATACAGGTTTCGAGCATCGTCCAGTGCAGGATGTCTGCCACATCGACACCATCGGTATCAACTTTCTGAGTCGCCGAACGAATGCTCCGGTCAACTTCCGCCGGAGCGAAGAACATTACTGATTGCCCATTGCCCAGCTTCCGCATTCGCATGCATCCTGTGTCATTGATCATTATCAGAACTAATGCATATGAACTTTGCGATCACGAACCTTGCGTCAGGCGGTCTTTCGTGACTTTGGGGCCAAGCGTGACAGCAGCTCGGAAACTGGAAGGCAGTTTGACATCCGTTCCTCTAGTGTGCGCGTCATCCAGATATATCACGCATTGATCAAGCTGCTGGGCAAAGGGGGATGACACAAGAAGCTCTACTGTCCCATCCCGACTGAGAACAACAAGTTCATCATCGTCGTTCACGAACACTGCAGCCTGGACGTCACGCTTCGCTCGAAGCCATGCTTCAGCCAATTCATGATTCCTCAATTCCAGCATCTGCGCTCCCACGTCCAAGAGCACGCGGACCTCGGGGGATTGTGCGATAAGGGCATCGATGAAATGTTTCACATTTTGGCCGGGTGGTATGCAAGTGTAGCAATTGTTCTCTGGGCGCAAAAGAAATGCTAGGACTCGGGCATTTGTGCTGCGCTGGTAATCAAGGTCATGCTGTACGATCGAGCTTGGCAGTAGATAACGATTGTCGTTGGTGCCGGAAAAGCCAGTTGTGAAATGTCTCTTCTCTTGAGCGAGATCCCACCCGGAGCAGGTGAGTTTATTCGGGAATGCCTTCGCTTCCTTGGGGAAAACTACTCGAGACAAATAGAAATCTATGACTGCCTTATTGAATCCGAAGAGTTGCTGAAGGTCGCGAAGCTGCTCTGGTGATTTTGTGTTGATTCCGCTAAGGCGCCGGAGGCTTTCTGGGACGGACTGAAGTCCAAGCACCCAAGATTCATACTCGAGGGTGGGATTATCCTGCTTCAACAGGAGCTCGAAGCACAACATGAGCTGCTGGAGCGTGAGACCTGCATAGTAGTATGACAGGCATGTGAGAGTGACAGCAACGTCCGGATGGCCAAACTCTGCCCGCAGTGAGGGCATATCTTTGGCGCGGAATGGAACGGCTAACATCGTTCGCTTTGGGTCGAGGCCATAGTCCACGCGCCAGCGACGTTCTTTGAGGGCGTACACCAAAATACCATATGCCAGCAATCCTCGCAAGACTAGAAGGCCGGGCCAGACGATAGTATCTCTATAGCGACCCTCCACTAAATTGATAATGTCGTTGGAAATCTTCTCAGTTGTGATGAACTGACGGACAGCTTGCTTCACTGGTGGAGATGCTTGGTCGAAGCTTAGGTTTTCGAGTCCACCACTGGTGATATCTTGTGCGATCCATCGCACCAATTCTTCGCCTGCTGTTGGATGGAGAACTCGAACGAAGGGGACCCCTCCGTGCTCCCGAGTGCAAACGTCTGAATGAGAGGGAAATTCTTTCTCGAGCCGAGCGGCGTGCTTTGCGACGAGATTGAACACCTGTTGCGTAGTCGTCCACCTTTCGGGATGACCTTGAAGCGACCTTTGGAGACCGACAGTGTACACCAGCTGAAAGCGGACGTGCAGGATTTCATCGCTTTCGTCCAGGATGTCGCGCGTGTTATTGTCAAGCCACAGCTGAGTCCGCAACACATCTTCAGCGACTTCAGTCTGAAGGGACAGCTGACGGTCGACAGCCATCAACTGAAACGACAGAATATGGTCTGGTTGCACGACCAAAATGCCCTTCGTGTCCATGCATTCTTGCATCAAGTCACGATACATTTTCACCTGCGATGAGTTGATAGATGACGTGCGGGAGAATGGGATGTAGAAAATGCGCCTCTGCGCAAGGCCGCTTAGTCGTTCAACCAGAAGCTGGAACATCTGAGCTGACAACGACTTCAGAACAATTACTCGAACCAGTTTGTGACCATCAGAAAGTGCGGCTGCTGCGAGGGGAACAATGACGTAGGATTTCCCCTCGCCCATGTTCAGCTGGAGAGAAGTATTTCGTCCTGTGGATGGCGACATCATTTCCCGCGCAACCCTGACCTGGACAGGCCGTGCCAAGAACTGACTCTCAATCTGTAGACGCCATTATCAGTAACCATTAGTGATATATGTATTTACAACGTGCCTGTATTAGCAGCCAGTCAGGATACAGCTCTGGATCAAACCCCTCGCATTCTTCGCTCTCCAATTCCTTGAAGAACTCGACCCAGTTTTTATCAGCTGCAAGGACTAACAGCCTTCGCGAGCGCTGCAATTGGAGAAGTATCTTGGACAGGCGCACGAGAGCTGTATGCCATGCCTTTCCCAAACAATTCCCGGATACAGATGCCATCCGAGCGAAGAGAAAGCTTGGTGTAACTCGAGGCCACAACCCAGCACTGAACAATGCGTTCTCAGCAGCTGAAGCAGGGGAGAGGGTATGCATGATGGTTGCGAGTGAATCTTGGAATTGCCGGGTACGGAGGGAATGGTACTCAAGCAGTAGTTCCACCGTGTACGCTGTAGCATCTGGTAAAACAACGAGCTTTTCTTCGCAGAACATCGACCTGCTCTGATCCAGATCATCAGCGTATTTACGGAAGAAATTGTTCCTTCCTCGGTCGCGAAAGCCATCGATCAGCTGCTGCAACCTCGCTGTGACTCCGGAGTCTGGAGATATAAAATCTCTCCGACGACTGGAATTGTGCAGGATTTGAGAAGACCCAAGCGTGTATAGAACAGGCGCATCTCTACCGAAAAGGTACCGGGCATCAACGAATGAGGATGGTGAAACCGATACTTCAAGACAGGAATCGAGATCATATTGTGAGGGCGATTTTAACGGAGGATTGACATCGTAGAACCGTTTGAGGGTCCCTTGAAGGTCAACCAGGTGTTGCTCTAAACAATGGTTTCGCCAACAGCTACAAAATACTGGGGAAAGTTTCCCCGACAGTTTATCGAGATCGTAGCAGTTCGCTTGGAGTGTATCAAGTGCAGGAGGATCTTCGCACGGCCAAGCATCCCGAACTTTGCTGAGAATGACTTGTTTTTCAGAGTGACACTTGTCTTCGAAAGCCGAATAACGACGTATTCCCAGAGCCTTTTCATCTTCCTCGGGCATTGGATCTAGGTTTCTCTCCTCGCTGGTCTCATAATCTCTGGTACATGAACGGATGATATTATTCAATATCTTATCGGACGGCATGAAACCATCTGTGAGATCGTAGGAGGTGAACTTCGGAGGGTGATTTAGATTGCGAATTTCGGGAACTGTGGCGAAGGCCAGAAGTGTTGGGACGAGCGCGTGCTTGTCTGAGGAGGAGCCATATGATACCGAAGCCAGAGTGAACACCAGCTGAGACATGTCTTTCTTTGTAGCCCTGCGACAGCGGTCGTACGCAGAAAGGAAGACGTCGGAAAATGTCGGCTGAAGCCAGTCTTTGGAGTATCGCAAGCTGAGCGACTCGTCTATACCCTGGATATCCGCCCACTGCGTCAGCAAACTAAGGAGATTCCGTTGTACTGGAAGTTTGCTTGGCCATTGGTGCACCATGAAGGCGGTTTGGCATGCCCTCTCTTCCGCAAGTTTGTCGGGAACATCGCGCGAAGCGTAGATGACATCTGTGTCACCGACCGGAAGCGGGAGAGAGAACTGGTCGGGATAGACAGCCGAGGCACGAATGGACGCACGCTCGAGAAGGTGTTTGGTGAATGGCGGAAGATCAAAGGTAAGTTGGAGATTTGAAGACCCTTCTGCGAAAGTGGAAAGTTGCATGCCATAGTCCATGATAGATTTCGCAGCTGGATGAAACCCATGGTGCTGTGTGAGGGGCGAAAGGCACGACCACGAAACTGTCTGCATCTTCTGAAGATGAGCGGGATACCAGACGCGCCTAGTTGACAGTGAACTGATCTCGCGCAGGATATCTGTGTCGCGAGGGCGGAGCTTCATGAAAGACCGACAAGCTGCAGAATGCAAGAGATGCAACGCCTCCTCTGTCCCAGTTCGACCCATCAGGGGATCAGGGAGACATCCGCTGGTCACAGCGTGGAGGAGCGCCTGATAGAGCTTACTCGTAAGACCTACGGTCCCAGTGAGACAGCGTAGGTCTGTGTCAACTCTGTACAGGTTGTACATCACTCGGGTGCCTTCAGGGGTGATGGTAACGCGAACGTGATCACCGTGAGCAGAATATGAAATACGACCGTCGGGGATGATGACAATACGTGAATGTTCATCTGCAATTTGTAACTTAGGACGCAAGATAAGTTGATTGACCAGTCCCAACATCGTGCCAGTGGACTGAATAACATCAACAACCATGTTGCGCAGGTTACGGGACTGCAGTTCTCCTGCCTCGTCGATGAAGAACTCGAGACCATATCGAGGCAAATCAGCCTTCAACGAGGGAGGGCTGGATGCATCGTTATACATGACCATGATATAGCAGGTGTCCTCCAGGGGACGCAATCTCTTGGAGATCATGTCCCACGTTTGACTGTGTATGTCGACAAGAGTGGCACCGCTGGCATTCTGCAGCGTCGAGGAGCCCGAAACAGTAAATCGCAGGACCCAATTTTCAGGTGAAGACTTCCACGCGTTTTCTGCTGGCCGAATCTCTATTTCGCTCGTGCTCAGGTTGAGCCAATGAATATGGCCCAGCACCAAGGTAGACGGTAGGTCGTCCACAAATTTTTGGCTTGGAATAAGCTGGAGGGTAGGTGAGCCTTGTTCGATATGCTTTGCGCGGATGACAAGATCATTCGAGTCGCAGAGAGCAAAAGACACCTTCGGTAATAAGCGAGTACATCATTAGTTACTGAAGGATGGCAACGAGGATGACTACCAACCTGATGGTCACAGAGGTTCCCGCGCGTCGCATACTCCATTCCAGGAATATCAGCTGGAACAATGTCCAGAACTTGCTGTAATTGATAAGTCAGCATATGCCAACAAAATTACAAGTTTTAAAGGCTGACATCACCGAACATCGATTGGTAGGTAGGATGTTGCACTATCATTGACGGGAGCCTACCCAGCTGCTTCCCGTCAATAAGCAAGCACCCACTAACCAGATTGAAGTGCACAGCTTGCGGTAATTGAGAACCCGAAGGCGCAGTCTGCGATGCAAGCCAACGAGAATTCGGAGCCGCCAATGCTCTCCAAGGAGTTCCTTGTCTATAGCTGCCCCAAATCTCTGCCATCACGCAATCAAAACCCTCGCCGTGGAGCTCTGCATATTGACGAATAACAGGTTCTAATGCATGACAGCATCTCTTGTCTCGCTCGAGCAGTAGCTTGGAATGTTGTGAAAGATTGTCCAGTTGGCTTGGAAAGTTGTCATGAATCATGACCGCACAATATACAAATACTTTGATGTCATCATGCGACATCAGAAGCAGCGAAGCGTCGACATCGAACGTGCTACGACAGGTAACTGCCATATCACGAACACGTCCTTGTAAATCCCGACTGGCTGTCTCGTCACTGCTGGCTTGCAATTTTCCAGATAGCTGTGTCAACAACGTAAAGGTCGCAGTTCGTATCCTTCGAAGGAGCGAATATCCACGACTTTTGATGATTTCTTCCTGAGTCGAGGACAAGACACGGCACACGAGCATGATGATAGTGCTGATCGTGACACCTTCCAACCAATTTCCTTCGACGCTCGCCACCAAATCCTCCAACTCTCCAAGTAGTGCACTCAGGAATGGCACTCTACTCAGCTCCTCGTGCCAAATGAGGCCGTCGTCGGACGAAAATGGGCCGACCTGTGAAACAGTTTGCGCTAATAGTAAATGGACTTCCTCACATCTAAAATTGAGCGTCCTCGCGCGGAGCTCTCGTAGCACATTCATCCACTGTAGACGGGGTCCACTCCGTAAGGCTCCGAACGCGATGAATTCGTGTATAGTCATATCCTTGTGACAATCTGCCTGATTGGCTATGACCTCGTTTGATGTATGGGATGTTCCCGCGAGGTAATGCTGCAGACCATGATATGGTCCTTTGGGAAGGAGGAAAGTGCACGACTTGCTAGAATCGCCGCGCTGAAGTACATTGGCGGCCCATGTATCTGTGATTGTATCGAAAGGCTGAAATACAAGCCCGTTATTCACGCAGACGCTGTCAACATTCTCCGTGGGAATGCGAGTGTTTTTGTAATGGCATTGTGCGAAAGGTTTGGCGTCCGACGCCAAAGTCAACCTCTGCCTTGGATGGCGCTGGTGATAACGCTGTAATGGACGATAGTCCGGCAGTGTTATGAAGGCGCGTGTGTTTGGAATTTCTTCTTGTGGAGTACATACATCAACGAGGATATGGAATGTCGTAGATCTCCACATGGCCAACGCAACGGGGCATCCTAGCTCAAACACCACCACGATCGCATCCTTTTCACAGGCTGGTAGTGGCCACTCGTGAACCGTGATATTCATCGACCGCACCTCCTTTTCCAGACGACACTTGTGACAGTGCTTCAGCTTGCTATGATTTCGATTGCCGCGTGAGGAGATATTGTAAGTGTGCGATAAACTTTCTGCGAGCTTCGCTTTGTCATTGTGCCTCTCGTTGAGGGTCCGAAGCTCAATCAACTTCTTCTCCCGCTCGTTCTGAGCATCCGCCTCGATGGCCAACTTCAAACTCTGCAGCTCGGATGACTGCTCAAAATACCGCGCTGCGAGCGACTTGGTACTGTTGGTAGGCGGACAGCTTGAAACCCGGCGATGACGACCTTGAAGGTAAGCACGTAACTCCTTTAGACGGTTAAGGCCTGAAGATTTGCGAATTAACAGACACTCCCAAAGGATCAATGGGATTTCGGGGGAATATTCTGCCAGCATTGGGATTTGTCTAACGGCGATCTTATCGATGGCCACCCAGAGCTCGAAAAGTGTGAGAAGCATGATCGACAAATTCTCCGGGTTTCCACGGTAAGCTTTCAGCGCCCTCGAGGAGTATGCAGAAGCGCACGCCTCGATTGAGACGCATGCAGAATCGACACTCTCAGGAGAAACATGCGCCACCCATTCGTCAATTCCTGATCTAACGGCATCCTCGAAGTCTGTAAGGGCAAGAGATGGTTCCGCAGCATGGGCGGCTACCAGGAAGCTAGCTTCAGCGTCAAGAAAATGTTCGATTGTCCCGCGTATGTGGTGGCTGGGGTTGAATGAGGCTGTTTGGGGGGATGAATGCTGATTCTGTAAAGCATGACACAGGTATGCTCGGCTTGAGTTCAAAGAAAGATGTGTATCTTGCAAGACTTGGAGGGTTTCAGGAGCCCAACGAGGAGAGACGCGTTGCGAATCTTGAACAAATTCCCATCTTTTCTCAAGGATACTCCTTACGTCGCTGGTGACCACACTAACCACCCGCGATAACTCCGGAGAAGCATATGATCCAAGCTTGAAAAGGCGGCGTGCAATCTTTGCCGACATGAAGTGTAATATGTCGTTCGACAAGTCATAGTTGAGGGCGAGGGTTGTCAGCTCCGTCATGAAGAACAACATGAACGATTTATACGTCGTTCGTCCGAGAGCACTGCGCTCCAGAGTTGTCTGTAAGGCAACGCGAATAACAAGCCAAAGTGGAGACCGCCTCCACGGCAATTCCGCGCTGTCCCACAGTACATCATCTCCGATACGCTTGCGGATGCGAGGAACATCCGCGATGCTCCCGAGGCCACGTAGTATACCGGTCAGGAGTTCCGTGATGTAACGAGGATGTGTTGTGTCCCTCTCTTCGAAAACAATGGATTTGGCCTTTTTCGTGGTCGGTGCCGCATCAAGGACATCTTGGTCCATGCAAACGAGAAAATTTGCCAGCTCGGCAGAAAAGGTAGATTTATCGATGTTCACATCTGGGACTGTAATAGCAGGTCCAGGATATGAACAGATTAGCTTTCCCGTTGCGCCCATCACTGCGGTGGGGTCAGGAGAGACCTCAAATGATTCAAATATGGTCTCGGATTTGAGTTTCCTCATGACCACCGCAGCGTTTTGTGCGCGAATCATATATACAAGGACATCTGCAACTTGATACTCAGCATGGAAGAGATACAAACGGAACGACAATAACAAACCTTGATTATCCATAGTGCGTATTTGAGATCCGACTTCCTCTGCAGACATCGCACCAAACCGAATTGAATCTCTAAGGTTCTGAAGCATTTTCAAGCTCCTCATCCAAAGGAGCTGCTTATCGGATGGCAGCTGCTTGCTGAAGGCGAGAGCAGCTTCCACAACGTCCTGAGCTAAGGCTAGGTCGTTCTTGAGGGAATGATCACTGCCTTGCGGCAACTTGAGGGGGCAGAACACATGGTTGATGATATATTTTAGATCGGACTGGTCTGTTGGTTGACGTTTCGAGTGTTGGGGCATGTTACAGTAGATGGGAGAAGAGTGCAAGGTCGCCTCTTTTTAAGAACCCCTAAGCGCTCGCCAAGCCCCACGAAATTACACTAGGATCCACGATACCATTTACTGTCACATAGTAGTCACAGAGCTTCTACATGAGATTTGAGGGTTGTGGTCGGATGATCGCCGAGGCTGCATATGGATATTCGCTTGAAGTGATGGTCACAGGCCCAGTTACGAGCTTGAAAATTTGAACCAACCAACGACAAGCATGCTAATTGCGGAATCTGCTTATCAAAGTGCATCAACTTCTTCACGATTTGGAGCTCACTAGTTTCGAATATTCTCAGCTCCAACACTCCTCGATCAACCTTCCCTCCCTCTCCATCGCAGCAACATACTCCACAGCTTCCACATTCGATCGTCCTCCGAACCTCTCCACTGCACTTCGCACAGCTTCACGGACGGCAGTAGGCATTTTGTTCGAAGAACTATCATTGGAATTTAGAATTCATCACGCGCTACATATAGTCTAGACTCACCCTGAGATGATAAGGATGCCTCGTTGCTGCCCCAACATGTTCCAAATGTCCTGCGCGTCCTTCTGCATCAGATCTTGCACATACGTCCGTTTGACGCCCTCTGGCCCATCACGAGAACACGCAACGCGGTAGCGGAGTTTCTGTTCTTCTGCATGAGATTCCCATTCCGAGTGATAGTGTTGGTCCTTGTGTGCAGAACGGCAACCAAAGTATAACGTAGTATCTGGGGTCATCAGAGATCAGCTGATGCACGAGGATATTCAGACATACTGTTGTATCCCTCGTGTATACGTTGTTGGATGACAGCACGCATTGGTGCAATGCCTGTGCCTGGACCAACGCACATAACTGGTATGTTTGGATCCGTAGGAAGGGAAATAAAGCCCTTTCTAAGACCGATACGAAGGGCATCTCCTGTAAACTATGTGAACTCAGGGAATGCGCTAGAACATCATGCGGACCTGGTGTAAGACCTGATAAATAACTAGTACAGACGCCTTTCCGAGGGATTTTTAACTTTGTACGATAGCGCACTATAGCTACACAGAGATGGAGTTCGCGGGGATGGAACTGACGAAGCTCAGGTGAATTTGGCTGCAGTGAATGTGTTTTGACTGGTAGCTTACCTCGATGGAACTAGCAATAGAGAACTCCCTTGGCCTTAGTGGAGGGAACAAGTCAAAGACATACTCTCTGGGTATCCTTGCTGACCGAAACTCGGACAATACCTCCCAAATCGTGCGCTTCACGCGTTGACAATAATCATACATTTCATCCTGTGTGTCCTCCTCAACGACAACAACAAAAATGAGGTAAATGGCACATACCGCTCCTTCTATCGATACAAATTCATCTAATTTTTCGCGTTCGAGCTCGTCGGTAGCAAAATATCGCAGCAATTGGAAAAAAGAGCGGCGGGGCACAGCATTGAAATCAAGATAGCGCGTGAAGAGGATTCGAAGTGAAACAATTCTCGGTAGATGGTCGGGTAACGTTTGATCTGCCAGAGATTAGATGGGGTGTACGAAGATACCGTTCTGCCGTACCTAACATAGTGTGTTCTACTGTGAAAAGATCGTCGGCAGCATTTTCCCAGCCCATGGTGGCTAGGAAAGAGTCGACTTCTGATGCAGCTGCAGACGGATGAATCACAGCTACATCTCCAGGATTATATCTGTATTTCCGCATCAGTGGCTGCGGGTTCAAAAGATAGAGACACGTACTTGATACTGTCTTCGAAGGAGAACTCAAAGTGACGAACGTCCTGAAACCAATCTTCCGCAGTGATTCGTCTGTTGCATTTCACCGAAGCTGTATGAAACTTCTTGTCCTCATCCAGAGGATCCGGACTCAAGGAGGTGCCAGATTCCAAATTGCTCAAGGATACGCGGGGTGGTGGTCGGCCAGCAGGAATGTTATCTTGCTCGTGTGGTAGCGGGTAAAGCTGTATGAGGGTTTCCAGGAGAAGTTCGACCCAAGGATCCAAAGCACCATCTACCCTGTACGTCCATCAACCACATGAAGCGCAGAAAACAATATGATACCCACCCCAGGCGATGCTGTTCGTCTCCTTCCCCTCGAGAGCATATCTCATAACCTCCTAAACTCTGCATCCTTCTTGACAGCTTCTTTGCTGGCCAACAAAATTTCTCGTAGGCTGTATCTCCAAGGCCGAACACGCAGAAACACATGTCCTCGAATAGGTCATCTGGGAGATCAGATCTCAGCAGCATGTTCCATAATGAAGTCATGGCTCTTGGCTCGGCTCCCCAGCCCGTGGTCGAAACCACGAAGATGACAAGGTGTTCCGAAATCAATGTTTCCTACATAGGACCTCCTGAATACCACGTTACAGTGATTGGGAAACTACTTACCGGCGGATACGCATCCATGCTCTGCACACGACAGTGGAAACGGACTCTTCGACATTCCCTCGCAATACGATCAGCAGTCTCTTGAGCTGTACCAGTTTCCGTAGCGTAGAGAATCAAAAGTTCGCGAGGCGCAGATGGATGCGGGTCAAGACCATCTTCTCCTGTTCTATGATCATCGTGTGTAGACATATGTTGGACGGTTGATGAACATGAAGGCAGATTATCAGGTAGCTGTGACTCGGAAAGAAGGGAAGTACTGTCTTCTTTCTCTCAAGGTCTGACTACGGTAGACTATAGTAGAGTCTCTGTAGATAATTTTAAATGCAGGATGTTTGGGATTCCGGGAAGAACCACGAACTCGGCTAGTAGTAGTAGCCGAAAACCCCGATGGGGACTTCGGCCGAGTTTCCGGTACTCAATAAAGCACGAGTTACATTTGAGGTTGCACTACAAGTGCAGTATCTACCAAGTCTAAGGAGCTTCAAGATTGTTCACAATGCAAGGTCCAAATAGTCTATTGGATTCATGCAGGAACAGTCCCACTCAGTCTAAAGTCCCTGCTGCTTGCCCCAACAGAAAAAGTGATAGTTCCTCCTGGTTTCGCCCATCCCTGGCGAACAACATCCCAAATAGAAAGGTCGTAGCGGGACAACGTGATCGATACAGAGGTAGTCTGTCCCGGGGAAACCTCGACATTCGTAAAGCCCTTAAGGACCGAAGGTGGTTCACCGGCTGACGGTGGGTGATGGATGTATAATTGGGGAATCTAGAGGGACGGTTGTTATTAATTTGCGTAAAAGGGTAATGGAAGGACGTACCTCGCCACCGTATACAGCACCAGTGTTTTTCACATTGAAGGTAACCTTGTATGCTGGCATATGCAACCTTTTGTATAGGATTAGTTTGCTGTCATGAAATTATCGTATTCAAGCACAGACCAGAGAGCAGTTGTTGACCCTTCAGCAATGGGTGATGCACCCCCATTTTCCCAGTTCTGAATCAGGTCCGTTTGCGCGTAGTCGGCGGGGGAAATCGTTGTGATAGCAAGGTCAGAGTACTCGAAAGTCGTGTAACTCAACCCGAAGCCAAACTCATAACGAGGTGTAATATTTTGCTGTGGACGGTCAATACTGGGTGCCATTGCGAAAATAACAGTAAAACTTACTGCGTCGAACCAGCGATAGTCAATGAGGAGACCCTCAGTGTAGTTGATGGACAGAATATCTGCCGGAGTGCCACCGCTTATGAGCTGAGCGGGGTAGTCCATGGGGCTCTTCGCAATAGTGTATGGTAATTTTCCAGATGGGTTCCATGCACCGTAAAGAATGTCTGCGATGGCATTACCAGCTTCGTTGCCGCCAAGGTTGGCCCAAACAATCTGCGAATCCAGTTGTCAGCAGGTATGTGTGAAACTACCTGATGTGGCACTTACGGCAGTGACGTTCGGATGATCGACCCAAGGTTCGAGGATCAAAGGACCAACAGAGTTGGTGACCACGATAGTGTTGTTGTTTTGAGCAGCGACCGCAAGGATGAGCTGATCACCCTCATGCCATGCAGTCAGATTCTGCCTATCACCCGAATTTCCATCGACAGTGATGTAACCCTAAAAAGCGTTATATTCGGATAAGTCGTAAGAACCAGTATCAATGTTAGGCAACCCACTTCACCCGAATCGGAGTTGACGAAAACGATGGCGGCTTCCATGCCAATAACGGAGTTGCCTGCCTTGGCGAGGTTCCAGTCGTCAAAGTCCCAGAAAACACTGGTCTGATCAACTCGGGCGCGAGCTTGAATGGCTTCATAGGGCTGAAAGGCCGGGGCGATCGTTAAATAGAATGATTTAAAAAAGTCAAGATACTCACGGAGATAAGATACGTGAAGTTGTTGGTACTTGAAGGCAGAAGCGCTTGAGAGATATTGTAATGCATGAAGACTACCACTCACCCAGAACCCCAGCCCACCGCAAGGATACCACTTGGATCGCCACCCTGGTCGCTGTACTCGTTGGGACCAGAAACTGGCGGAGCAGCATCACTACCAACTAAGACGAGGCTCTTCGGCTTATACAGAGGGAGGGCGCCTTCATTCTTTAGAAGCACTGTACCAGCGGCACCAATCTCGCGTACAATTAGATAATGATCGCTTTGTGCATTGACCTCCTGGTTAAGGGGGTTGTAAAAGTTGAACGAGGAAACTGTGACATTCGGGTAGCCTTCGTCCTGGTGCAAGAAGTACCATGCAGCAATAATCCGCGTCGCCATATCATCAAGACGTTGCGTAGAGATAGTGCCGTTCATGACGAAGTCCGTGAGATTCTGGCCAAAGTAAGAAGTTCCTGAACTGAAGGTTACGTCTCCAGGCATCGTCATCTGATGACATCAGATTAGCGTCCTAGATATAATCAACACCTCTACACTTACATCGAGACCAGCGACAGCAGAAAGGGTATTCATCGTCGCAGCCCAATCAGATTGGATGACTGGACAAGGTCATACAGGTCAGGGGCTATTGATACAAAATATCGAATTTGACTTACAGCCTTGGAAACCAAACTCGCGTTTCATTATGTCGTTGAGGGTCTTGTTGTTGTTACAGGCATACGTGTCATTGACCAAGTCTGAATGTTTGGTCGCATGAGGGCAATGGTAATTCAAGTTTGGGAGACACTCACTGTAACTGCACATGACTGATGAGACACCCGCCATTACAGAACGCATGAAAGGATGAGCGTAAATTTCGTGCTGGGTACGATCATCAACATTAGAAGATGCCTGCGTGCGCTTCCATTCTTGTTCGCTAGATTACAAGGTTAGCCTAGTAAAAGAACATGTTTGAATCGCACTTGTTGATGTAGTGCTTAGCGGTGGCCTGGACACCACCAGCCTGCAAACCCAGGATTGTTTCATAGGCGGATTCACCAGTAAGGAATGGATCAGCGCCAAATCCCTCCCAGTTGCGTCCACCTTGAGCGATGCGGCCCATATTCATCATAGGTCCCAGAGCAATATTGACACCCTTCATTCGGTTCTCTTGACCCATTGCGAGACCCCGGGCACGCATCAAAGCACGATTCCAGCTGCATTACAACAAATTATTTGATGCGAAATAATAAGACATCCAAGACCTACGTGGAGGCGGTGGTGATACCAGCAGGAAATGAAGTGACAAGGTCAGTATCCCGGATTCCAAGCGGTGAATCCTGGAGTATGAGCATGCCAGCAGATTTAATACATATTAGAAACACGATGTATGATTCACTGACTTGAAGACACAACCCGGGGAAGTTTCCAACAGGAGGAGTGTTCCCGACACAAAGACCATTAGCCCAGCCAACACCTGTGGTAATGTTGACTTTTTGCTGGATAGTGAAGTTGGAGATCTGTACGAGAAATCAGAACATTGCGTCAATAAGGACGATCACTTCACATACCATAGCCGTTGCCTTCGTGTAAGCGGCTGCCCAAGCCGGAGCGAAGTCAGGTATAATTAGTGGGTCCGCACTAACAGGAGGTGGATAAAAGGGATCCGTCGCAGGGAAAACCGGTGGCTCTGGCGCGAGCGTTGGAGTTGGAAACGGAGTGAAAGAGTATTGTGAGATGGGCAAAGTTAAAGGACCGGTCTCAGTAGCAAGGTAGGAAGTCATCGAGGATGTTGTCGACACAGATGTTGTGACGCCGCTAGTTGACATGTTCGCGCTGCTCATTGAGCTTGTGCTGCCCATAGAGCTTGTGCTACTCATGACAGGGGTACTGCTATCGGAAGCAGAAGCCGTCGAGATCGTGGCCGATGAATTCGACGCGGCTACATAGGACGCAAGCAGCAGCACGAACGAAAGCGACGTGCGAGTCATCCTGGCAGATCCGAACGGGGAAGGGATATCCAGACGGATTCGCTGCTGACCTGCATTGCTGCAACTGGTTATAACTGACCGCCGGTCCTGTTGCTAAATTAGCTTTCCGCAATGAACGATTGTTATTCACATCGTTCACACCGCAATTTGTCAGAACTAAAAAAAGTTTTACCCCGGATTCTGGGCAAATCGTTGTTTTTCCCTGCAAAACATGACTTGGCGTCTGGTCACCTGATAACCTTGATCCTTCACTTTGATGCTGGTTTACGACAACCTCCAGCGTTTCTTGGGCTATCTATACCTTTTCATGGGAGAGGTTATCCACGCATGACTCCAACAGCCGTCGAAACACCACGCGCCATGCGTCTTTTGGTCTGTTGATCACGTCCTGCTGATTTTTTTGTCTATTTTCCACTGACTCGGAATTGTGAAACGTTTTGGTCGATTTGGCCAGCCTTTAACCAAAAGCTACAAACTGGGTCTGCGCCTCACCGCACGTCCTTCTACCAACACCCCAATCTAATTTCGAGCAACGCATCATCCTTGCCGTGCGAAACTCTCCACACAAGGTGACCGTCGCCACAGTACTGTTTCAGAAATTTGAGTATAGGACGGAGGAAACTCGGGGGATGACGACATCCGCAAGCAGGATTTCGCACGACACAATGAAAGAGAGTTTTGTTGCAATCGATGCCAACTCTCTGCACGGACTCCATGGATGTTCGGACAATCCGGAATAATTGTAATCAGGAATCACATGGCCAAACATCTGGCCTGGGGCACTTGTGGAGCACAGTTCATTTATCTGGTGTGACCATGACCTTAACGAGCCCACAAAGATGCGAGAAAATTGGAAAATAAGACGGGACCCTCGGGGTGCGTACGCCTTATCATGCAGTTCGTAGCCGCTGTCCCATGGCAAGCTTTCTGACCACTAGAGTGCTGGTCCAAGAAGAAGGGATCCCGTCGAGACCTAGCATTAGGCATATTATCCATCTTGCCCTAAGCCTGATTGATCACGGTGTCGTGAAGGGACACTTGTAACAGGCTGTAGCAGTGATTCTGCGTTACATTCAGCTTCGCCTATGGAGTCCTTTTTTGGGATGGTTTGATTCTGTTCAATCTCTAGCGGAGTCCAGCGTGATCACAGACTGTCATGATTACACTACTACATGAGGCAAGGTCCCACACATGGATATGACAATTCGTGCATTCTGCGTACAGTTTGTGGCCGAGAATGATCCAGCATCTATTAATGTCTTGCCTGCCCTTTGTGTTAGTCCATTTTGCCGTACTAGGCAAGAAGATGGTCTGCCCTATCAACCTCTAGCTCTGAGTCATTCCCGACTCCTCGACAAACTGTACTTTTGCAAGTAACGCAAGCGCTTCTTCTGCGACCACCAACTCTGTCTGCAATTGCCATTTGCGTTTCTCTGGATCGACACTGCGACCTTCTGAAGTTCTGGAAGTGTCAGGGTCAAGGCTCTCGAGTCTCCTGAGCTTATCATCTCCATTTTTTACTTACATTCCTGAACTAATTATTTGGTCCGACATCAGATTTCCGGTTTCTTGTCTTTTTTTAGATTTGCTGACTTTACCATTTGTGAACAAGTTAAACCTACAATTGTTGTCGAGCAGCGTTCTCAGCTCAGGACTCTCCTCTCTGCGTCTGCTACACTGGCTTTGTCAACATTACACTGTGATGAATGTGAGTCGCTTTGTTTAATGTGAACCCAACTGGGAGGGTTTTGGCGCCGATCTATCACTCGCTGGAGAATCTGGTACAAGTCACCCTTCGTAAGAAGGGCGGTGGTGCATTGCGTCCATCAGTCCTGCCCGTATCCTTGTTTTTGTGGAGTCACTCATAGAATCACAATCTGGGAACGAAACTAGGTGTGATACAGCCAGCGGCGCTCGTTGCGCAAATGAACAGGCAGTGTCGGGGCTCACCTTCATGTCGTACGATGGTCAAGACTCAGCGCCACTACTTGCGCCTGCCAACTTACAGACGAGGATGGCGTGGCGAAATTGTGAATACCTGTGGATGCAAACTGAAGCCGCAAAGTCGGGGGTACAGGCTTGAAGCACTTATGGGGGGTCAGATATAGTGACATGCATCGTACCTGGATGACGAGGTTTTCTTGTCAATGATCCGAGTGTGAAGCATGGTGGGAAGAAATATGACGCAGTGAGGATATACTGTCTTGCCAGGGATGATGCGTTAACCAGCTGTCCGCATCAACAATATTAATACCCTGACGACTCACCGTCACACCGGGCCACGTTCACGGCACTTCCAACATCTGAAGTCAGTAACTTCACAACGCCATATACACGCAAGATCATGACGCCCAGACCATTGACAACTCCATCTCTGAAAAGAATGTTTCGCAGGAACGTTGATCCGCATAACATTTGACCAATCATTAAAGCCAAGCGAAGAAGCACCCCGAAATTATTATTTAGTTCGCCAGGTATATCAGTCTTGGTAATTCCAACCAAGTAAATCCACCATGCGCATCCCCATATCCATCACGGTGCTCTGCACGCTCGTCGCATACACTACTGCACAGTGCATGGAATGCGCACTAAACGTCACGTACAGCAGCGTGAATTATACCCTCAAAGAGCAGTGTACGGTGCACAGCGGGTACCATTGCTTGTGAGTGTCTTGCATATAGCGGGTGATTCAGAGTAAAAGAGACTTACATGATGGTATCGAATGTAGTTACAGAGGCGATGACGCCGAAGGAAGCTTCTGCGATTGTTATTACAATGTAGGTGCAATGCCTACTTCTGCATCATAATTTGTTGAACTGGACGCAGACCGCGGGAATCATTGAGACCAACGAGTCGACTTTCTTCTGCCCCACAGGGTCGACGAATTTTAATGCTGCCTGCTCTGGTTGTCCAAGTTGAAGGGTGCAAACTAGTTTGTCGGACTTTCCCGTAGCTTAGTCATTCAGCTACTAGTAAACCATTAATGCGCTCATTCTTTGTGGGATCCGACGTCGCGACTCTGCGTATAGAGGTCACACAGACAGAGGCTCAGAGCTATCAGACCATATAAAATCGCGTATGTGGTCGAAATCCAAGTTGTCTGCTGTACAGTTCCTAGCTCAAGATGACTGGTGTTAGTTTACGTTCTCACTTTTCCCTTTTACAGTGGAGTTTGGACTACTAGTACTAGCCTAGCTAGTACTCGATGCATCTTCCATGGCGCCAGAAGCAGCAACCATCAGAAGAGCAATCATCTCCGCCACCTTCTGAACAGCGCGCTCTGAGCTCGCGCTGGTCCGCCACGAAAGACACTCTTCAGACGCATATCGCCACCGCGCGGGCAAGCGCGGAGAGCACTCTTCAAGACTCCAACATTAAAAACCACCTCAGAGCCACGAAAGACACTCTTCAAGACTCCAAAGCCCACATCGAAAACCGCCTCAGAGCCAAAGCATATGAACTCGGATCACGGCCAGTTGCATATCTTGTCTTATCCGGCTTCTTCCTAGGCTCTGTGTCAACGCTTGGCGCGACATTTGTGTACAAGCGGTATTTCAGGCGTTTGAGGACAGCTGAGTGGGTTACACCTGATGTACTTCAGCGGAGGAGGTGGGTGAGGGGTGTCGTGACGAGGTGGGTTGGGTTTTCAACGTTATGAGCTTTAGGCTTGGCTAATTTGTAACGGGTGCGGCAAGTGTAGGGGATGCGGATAACTTCAGGCTATATCACACACCTAGTTTTGGGTGGAGGTGGCCGCTGAAATTCAGAAGAGTACCAACGTTGAGCAAAGGTCCGTTTGTATCCCATATTTTTACATGGAATATGTGCACACTGACATGGATCGATAAGAGCTCAAAGAACAAACGATCCACATTCGTATTGCAGGTGTTGATGCACCAGAGGTGCGTTGATTGTACAAGTAGGGCTCAAGAGGGTTCTGGATGAAAACACCTTGACTAAAACGATGATGTGTTGCGTTATTGCGTGCAGGCATCACACTTCGGTCGCTCAGCCCAGCCATACGCTGCAGAAGCTCTTGCGTGGTTGAAAAATATGATCGAGGGCAAGACAGTATACTGCCAACTCGTTCGGCGTGACCAATACTCTCGTATCGTATGTCCTGACACTACTTTCTCATTCCGTCAACTGTCAATCATTTACACACACATTGATAGGTATCAGTAGTCACCCTTCCACCACCGTTCCTCCCAGGCTCGCTTACCACAGGCCGAAATCTCGCACTTGAGATGCTCCGGGCCGGTACGGGTTTGACCTACGAACAAGCAGGCGCAGAGTACGGGAAGGATGGAAAGGATGAGTTTTTGAGAGTTGAGGCTGAAGCGCGGTAATTTTTTTATATTACATCGCTACACATTATTCCACTCTTGTGGTGGAGAACCTCACGTATTGTGCTACCTCCCAGAACGGCACACAGAGGCATGTGGAAATCCGGCACAGTGGAGGAAACCCCCGCACAGTATAAGCGGCGGTACGCCCAGGGCGGGACGGACGTTGAGGCTCAAACCCAAGGTTCGACGAAGGCTGAGAAAGAGATAGTGAAGAAGGGTGGGTTGAGAGGGATTTTGACGAGACTTTGGTTGTGAACGTCTGTTCCCTAGTCTACCTGCGATATTTCATGATAGCATGCAGTTGCCAATCCGTGTTCGAAGTGGACGGAAGGTTGGATTCAGATTATGTAGAACTAAAACTTTAGAACTACATAGCATGTGAACTGTTCCTCCCGGGCCGGCGTACATGACCGTGAACATCAGAACAGCACAGACTCACGCGAATATGGATGCCGATTAGCTGTGGATAGACAGGACCAGGTGGTCCTAGTCGCGTCCCATCACAGTGGCGCTTGCTAGCGATCATCCGACCGCCGTAAAGGTGACATTGTTTATTTATATAGAAAGGAATTCCTATGCTGCGCAGCAGTGGTACCATGGTCAGTTTAAGTTTTTGCCGTATATAAGTAAGCCCTCTTAAGTTGCCTCTCAAGCCCATCTACGACAGGTACACGATACAGCACGAGTGACTACTAGTCTCTCTCTCTCTTACGAACATCACTATTGTTGTACTTCCGTCTTCGCCATGAAATTCACGTCCGCCCTTCTGCTTTCCTTCATTGCCAGTGCGCAAGCAATAACGACGCACACTACCATGATCCTGCCCAGCGGAGTCCCAGCGTATGTGGCTTTCTTCTTCGTGCCTATTTCCCTTCCTCTAGCATATTTCCCCAAACCCAATCAAAACAGAAATACTCATAACCCACTTATAGATCAAGCGGACTACCTCTCAGCACCGTCTCTTTCGACACTACAGCTGCATCCTCCGTGCTTTCCTCGCTTTCCTCCATCGTCTCTTCCGAGTCGTCAGTTGTGCAGAGCGTGCTCTCATCCATAAGCACCTTAACCACCTTACCGACTCCCACCACTTCCCCCATAACCACAACGTCGTCATCTGCATCGGGTACGGCAAGCGCACAAGCTACGACAACCTCTAGCGCTGCAGGACGAACAGATGCGGGTCTGGGGCTGGGGTTGGCTGCGGGAGCTGCTGCGGGTTTACTTGCGTTCTTGTTCTAGATTCATGTAGGTGGTTATGCACGTATTCACGTAGATCGGAGGTCACGTCCAGGGATAAAAGTCGGGAGGTCTCACGAATCGTATGTGCACGTGCGGGGCAACTGCGGGCCCGAGAAGATATTTATATCTGACGATAACTATGGATCAGCTAAAATAGACATTAACGGACGCCTAGGCCCTACCGTACGTTTCTGTGTCTCCGCAGCCAAGTCGTATCGGTCTATCAAACACGGGTACTGGTATCAGTTCGAGCTCTGGCTCTAGTCACCACTGGACAGGCCATGGACAAGTTCAGTCTGGTCAAGATTTTTGGTGAAGTCAGTTGTGGTGGATCCGAGTTGGGTACATGCATCGGCTGGGTTCGGTCGGAGTTTATTTCTGTCAGTGACAACGTTGCCGCCGCCGATCTGCATCCCAGCCTCCACGAAACTTCCGCGAGTTATGGTCCCAACACGTTCACAGTCGTTGCTGATGGTCATCGACTTTCACACTGTTTGCATTCACTGAATCAACACTGCTCACGGACCGGCTGAATACTGAAGTTACCACTTTGTGCACCAACGCCTTCAACTATCACTAGTACTGGGCCCTGGGATGACCATGAACTCTCTGTAACTTCGCCCGTCCCAGATTTACCACCCACTGTACTGGAAATATCAATCAACATTCTCATTATGCCAAATGTTCAGCTACCATCGTTCAATTACTATCTCAGTTTATTTCACTTCTCTGTCCTTGGTAGGTGTGCACGAATGACTAAAGTGTGCTCGGGGCGAGAGTGTGGATGCCGAAGAGGTGGCGGATGGATCGATTTCAGCGCTTGGAGGAAATGCGCTGCTTATATAGGGCCACACATGTTTCATGTACGCTGGCATGCTGCCGAAATGCATTAGGACAGGCGGCGGACGGAGTGGCATCCAGTCATCATGCAGCGGCCCCGCGGGAAGCTTAGACGCAACACTAGGGGTCATTGAATCATCATGTAGCCCCACAGAAATCACGGGAGGCGGAAGCTCGACACCAGGGGACACAATATACTCCTGCGGCGGACTTGCGGGAGTCCGATCATCATACAGGCCACGCTGTGGCTCCACGGAAGTCATGGAAGACGAGAACCCGACACTATTGATGGAGTTGTCTATCTCATCGTCCCCAGACAACAGACCCGGATCGATCTGGTTGTCTTGTAGGTTCTGAGTGCGAACTGGGTGTGGCAGGAGAAAAGGTTGGAGTTCTGGGGGGAGCGAGTCTGAGATGTTCTCAGACCACAGAGGGTTCAACCTGTAATGCTCATTCTCCATGTTGGCTGTGTCCACCAGAGGCGATAGGTCACCTGGCTCCGCGCTGGAAGGCGAGGAAGTGCACTTGGTGTCCAAGGTTTGGAGAGTGTGTAAACGGCTAATGGGCATTTGTGAATCGGTGGCGTTTTGTAGCTGGAAATTAAGCAAGGAAGGCTGGGGGTGCAAAATGACTTGGGGGTCTTGTAAGGACGGTGAAGATATGGATGGGAGCCCTTTGTAGGATCCCGGGAAAGGTCCACATTCACAGTTTGATCAAGCGGCTCATTGTGGACTGATGACGCACCTGTCTTTGTGTGGAGTCTTCTTCTCATGGACCTCCTTTGGATGGAAGACAAACTGCACTGGACTCCTCCGAGTCATGACAGTCACAGAAGAGTTTGGTGCACGCTGCTCCAGACATATAGTGGCCCCTAGGTGTTGGCTAGGGATTATTGAACACCATCGGTGTTTCCCCGAGACTCGAGCTTCAGTTACAATAACCTGTACCGCCGCGTGTAAGTCACGGTGTACCGGAATTCGAAGTCAAAGAAAGTGAGGCCATGAGAAAATTTAAAGATGATCATACTGGCATTTGTTCAAGCCTCGAGAACGCGGACGATATCGCCAAGATATGATATCCTGATCGCGGCTGTGAGCCTATTTATGTGGCCGTGTATGCCCGTTAACGCCGCTTCGGTGACGGTCCAGAACTTCGGAAGAGTTCGAAACTCGTTTCAGCGCGCCTCCATCGAATGCGTCGGAAGACAACTTGAATGAGAAGAGCGGCGCTACGAGTGCCACCCACAACTCGAAAGGCAACGATGGTGAGTGGAATGACAGAAGATCAGGTTGTTGAAACGTTGAAACCGTTCATAGTCAACGATACAGCTGCAAGTATTTGCATTTTTCTGATGTGCCGACATATGAGACTCGGTCCACTCTCGCTCGCCCGAAGTCTCAGGTTCATCATGGACCGATCTTTTTTTTGAGCTCTCGTAACTTCCGCAGCCCGACATTGGCCCGACAGCTACTAATCGGTTCAACACTGTACAGTTCAACTTCAAGCACGTATGGCTTACGTTCTTCTGCATTGAACTGTTGCCAGGTATGTAATGGTCGTCGCTCAACAAATACATTAAGTAGTTCAGTGTCCGAGTCCCAACTTACGCTCTACCTACACAGGCCCTGGTTCTGGCACCGGTGTACACACTTATTTCATCGCCGTCAGCCAAGCTCGACGAACTTTGAGCACTTATTGTGCTTCCAGACTCCACCGTGCTGTCACGATCCTACCCATTGAATACTCATCATCATCATCATCATCATGAAATTTGCCTCTGCTCTCATCCTGGCTTTCGTTGCTGGTGCGCAGGCCCAGCCCTCAGTCAATATCTCAGCACTACCCACGTACGCACCCCCCACCTTTACTCACCGTCACAAGCTACTAGATTGACCGTGGTCCCCATAGCATCACCATCCCCCCACCACCCTCAATGACTTTATCCACGTTGACTTTAACCGCCCCGACTTCACTGCCTTCCTTGTCATTAGGGTCTAGTACCACGACATCCACGTCAGCGACCGTAACAGTCACTTCTTTGGGCGGAGCAATAGCAGGTTCATATCTTGACACTGGCTTGGTCATAGGAGCTGTGGCAGGGCTCTTCGCCTTCCTGGGGTGAAACTACCAATGGTAGTATACCCATGATGAGAGTGGCCATACACGTCATTTCACGACAGACTTGAATCAGCTAGATCTAGATAAGTAGAGGAATGGACTTGAATGGACCGACAAGTTTATGCATTGTTCTATGTTACCATTTAGCCACGATAAGGTACCACTAGTAAATGAGTCATTTAGGTGTTAATACATCTGCACAACCTGTTTCCAAGAAGAACATAATTGCGAGATAAATAATAAGTTTAAGCGTCAGTCTTGGCCCTCGTGATGCTGGCACCGAGGCGACTAGAGCACTGTCATGGGGGGAAATATTGATACGTCCGCGCTTGTGATCAAGTCTTCATCCCAAACAACTACAAAAATGGGCAATCAGCAATAATAGCGAGGGATCAAATGATATCATACAGTCTTGATCTCCTTAACGCTCATCTTCTGTAGCTTCGTTCCCGTGCCCTCACCGAGTGCGGCGTCCGCAAGGTCAGATTTAACCTCCTGAAGGCGCAGCATTCTGCAAGGTTGTTGTGGGAAGCAAGGAAGTTTGTAAGTAAATGAAAGCGGTGGACCTGAGTGAGTGTTCGTACGACGGAAACAGGCTAACTCACCGCTCTTCTATCGTATTTTTGACAACAAGCCGCTTCACGAAAACATCTTTCTCCTGTCCCAAACGGTGTACGCGGTCATATGCCTGTGACTCGGATGCATAGTTCCAGGATAGATCTAAGCTATTCATCATCATCGTTGTCAGCCATCGTAATGGAAATGATTCGAACTCTGTGAGACTTACTTGATAATCCGATTTGCCACAACCAAATTCAAGCCCACACTACCACACTTCGTGCTGATGAGGATGACCTTCGGTCCGTCATGTCGTTTGAATGTCACAAGGGCGCTATCCCGTGATATCCGGTCCATAGAACCATCGTACCGCAGGCTGCGTATCCCGTATCGCGAGAATAGCGTTTCCATAAGGTCAAGCATCGAGGTCCCTGTGGGATACTGTGTCAGCAATGACTTGAAGAGTCCTCGCTTAAGATAGATACGAACACTGCGAATAGCAGATTGTCTTGTCCCCGCTGGCGTCCCATGACTTGAGAAAATCGATGAGGGCGAGCATCTTCGTACTCGGCTCGAGGTCGTAATCGCCTTTTCGCCACATGGCGATAAGCGCGCGGGAAGGGGCGTCGGACTCTTCTAACTTTGCCTTCTCTGTGCCTTGGGAGGCGGGTTTTTCTGCGCTGTCCCTCATGGGTCCCTTTCCTTTTCCATTGTCTTTGTGCTTCTTCGAGGATTGCACGGCGAACCCCCTTCCGAATTCAACGTCGGAATCATCGAGATGGTCCGACACATCACTCATAGTCAAGTCAAGTACTTCGTCCTGTAGTATACATACCGCCCAGTCAAACTCAACGCCAAAGAAAAGGAAAATCAAACGCACGTCGTCAGACTGCTGGCGCAACCTTTTCTTCCCCGCAGCCTTCTTCTTCTTGAGTTTTCCCTTGTTCGCGAATAGCTGTGAGAAATCTGGCATATCATCGTCGGAGCTGTCGAGTTCCGGCGTCGCACCCCTGAAGCGCGAGGGCGCAGATACCTCGATTTCCGAATCTGAGTCAGATGACTCCCCACTTGAATCTTTGCTCGTGTGTACAGGTTTCTCTGGCGCAAGCCGGCGAGCGCGTTTACGGGCGCGATTTGCCTCCTCGACTTCATCCTCCTCTGGCTCGAATGCAATAGACCTGAACACCTTGGTTTGGCTCAGGTCGTTCATCTTCTTGCACGTAGGGCCTGCACGAATGCGTGAGTAAACAGCGTGACGAAGAAGAAAATGATACGCACAAGGTCGCTGTCCTTTTGCAGCAGCAGCTTCATATTCGCGTTCCGCACGAAGGTTTTCTTTCTCATTTCCATGACCGCTAGGTAATTGTTAGGCGCGACAGATGAATGGGGGGGTTGCCAGCTCACAATTCCCCGTTGTGGGCAATCGGAGAGTTTGAGAGTATCAGCAAACAATCTAGGGATACAGGAGCGCGATCAAAACACAGTAACTATCGCATAATGAGGGTTCACATACCAAAGCAGATCTCATGGCCACATGTAAGAACACGGCCAGCGTCGTTGACGTACACTTTCCCGTACATGAGGAGTCAATTATTAATGAGACACGAACACGTACAATCCTTGCAGACAGGGCACGTTGCATCTGCGCCCTCCTCATCTGAAAAGGCAAGTAGATTATTCTCAAGCGCACGCGTCATGAACCTGAGTGTAGTAGATTGTCAGTACTTTTACCTATCACACGATAAAGCAAAAACGAGCCTCTTCTTGACCTGTTTGCAGATAATTTAATGCTGGTCATGGTTAGACCAATAACACTCACATCGTTGACCCAGGTCGACCCCATGACTCGAATCGCTCGCGCAAGCTCCCTTTCCTTGTCGTCGGACATGAGTAATGAAGGATCCTCGTGCTCTCCTGTATGACACTATGGGGTGTGTTAATTCATCCATGTGATCGAAGAACGAAAGACATACCAGGATTAAGTTCGGGTGGCAACACAACTGCCGAAGCCGGAGGATCATCGCCTATAAAATGTATTCAAAAATGACCACAGGAATGCGAATGCGAATAAGTACCAAGATAATGGTTGCACTGGGATAGGAACTATATTTAGCACAGATAACTCAGAAATAACACGGTGCATACTTCTTTAACAGTGTCCCCCTTTTGATGAAGCGATTGATTTGAATGTGGCTTTTCTTTTCGAAATCATCGTACAGCTGCGATATGTGAGTATGTAAAATGCCAGGGTACTCAATCAACATACCTGCCGCTCGTCTGCCGAGAATTCAAGAGTCACGAGCTCGATGTTTTTCGGGGGCAGCTGAAGGATCAGTTTTCCTTCCTATAAAACTCGTGAGTGAGAACACAGGCATTAGAAACTCCATTGGCAGTTCACCAATCTTGCTAGCTTTGTACGACGAAGCAACAGGGGCTTCAAAATTTCCTGCGCTCGCATTGCTGTATGATCGAGTTTACCCAAGGACTGCATCAGAATGGGGGGTTTACTCACCCGCAAGTGGCGCATCCTCTTGCTGCACCTTTGCCTGGACGAGCGTGAGAAGCAGGACGTTCAAACATGCGAAGGAACGTACAACATATAGTTTAAACGACTCCCAGTCATTCCAAGGGCGGAAACGCCCAAAGCGAATAAGCCCATATATGTCAGCACTAAGAGTAGTTGGCTAACCAAGAAATGTTACAAGAAAAAAACTTGGGCGTACAGGGTATTTGTGACGGGTGTGCCGGTAAGCATCCACCTATAAGTCGAACGGAGAAGAGCAACGCTGCGGCTAGCAAGCGTTCCTCTGTTGGGAGTGTCATATAACTCGATAAATGGCATAATGATGATGTTGAACACACCTATTTCGAATAAACTGGGCCTCGTCTAAAATCACACGATACCATCTCACGCGACCAAGCACCCCTCTGCAAGATAGCTGAAGTGATCGATATCGTTCGAAAAATGTGTTACTTACCCGTGGTTTTCGAGATAAGCCAGCTCCTCGCCTTCTTCAAGGTCTTTTGGAATGGTAAGCTCCATGCTTAGGGTTTGATATGTAGTGATGATAACCTAACGATACCTCGGTCACTATGTGAAGTTGTCATGATTTGAATGACGTACATCTTTAGATCTGACGTCCATCAGGGTGGAAAGCTTGTCCCGTCCGTGATGTATGTGAACAGTAAATAAGTCGTTAGACTTCGTCTCTATTTCCTCTTTCCACTGGCAATGACGTTAATGTGGGCAAAGTCGATCAAGAAAGACATACTAGCCTGTTGAAGGAGCGCAGAGGGAACGACGACGAGAGTAGTCTTCACAGCATCAGTGTCCTTGGGCATATTGGCTGCCATTGTGGCAATCATTTGAACAGTCTTGCCTGAGATAGTATACCTCGTCACAGGTGCATTTTGATGAAGTTGAAACGACTGACCAAGGCCCATTTCATCTCTGAGTGAACTCGATCTATAAGGTGGATGGACTGAAAATTAAGAATTACTTACGCCAAGATACCACCCTTGTGAGGGGACCTCTTTTCTTGGTCCACCATCCTACGTTCTGAAATTAATACATGAACAGAAACCTACATAACACTCGTACCAGTTCACGCCAATGAGCTGGTGAGGTAAAAGCCGGACTTCTAGACCAGGGAGGAGATCCTTGTCGCTATACGATCTCAGTACAACTATGGTGACTGTTATGTCACACGTAGTATTTACCTCTGAAGACCAAGGTTCTGGATGGCATCCTTAACGGATCGCCTATCCCCAAGGGTTTCGATAGAGTTATAAACAAATTCTGCCAATCTTGTAAGTGGGTCAGCAACGGGTACTGTCACAGTGCTCGGGCAAAATACCTCCGTTCTTGATCAGGGCCTCCTTGGTCAATGCGACTGACAGGAGTTTCGTTGTCGAATCTCAAAGAAAAGCCAGATGTAATGAGATTGCTTTGAATCTCGTTCCTGGTTCTTGATGTGGATCCACCAGCTCCAGATGACGCGCCGTGTGATGAAGCGCCAGCAGCGGAAGCTACAGTCGATTCATGAGATGATCATAACGGATAACTACAGTTCACTTACTCGCGGGCACAGGCTTGTTGAATGGTGATTGTGGTCCATGAATCATGGAACCGACGTCTGGGAGGGTTTGTACTCTCCTCACTGGCGACACAGGAAAGGTATCTGATTTCCGCTTGCCGAGAGTTTGGGATGTTTGCATAGTGGTATGAGAACTTGAGGAAGAAGCAAGCATCGACGAGTAATCAAGCGCAGCCAGTATGCGAGACGTCTTCTTTGGTGTGCTCTTGGACATATCACCCATCTTCGCGTATGGTTGCGATGAACGAGCGGCAGCGCTGGGTGGTGAAATGATCACAGGAACAACTACGTACAGCAATTAAGCACGAAGGCGTTGCCAAACAATGCCAAACAAACTCTAAAACGCACGCGGAAGCGAATGATTTCACTTTGCCGAGCGGACCAACGACGAGTTGCACTCAGTCTCGGTCGCATGACGCCCATCTTCATCCTCTTCATCCCTCTGGAAACCTCCCAGATGTGAGGCCAATAACTCCCACTTCCAGACATTTGAACGAATCCAGGAACAAGCCGAAACACTTTTGCACAATGATAGGTCACCATTCGACTATGTAGATGAAATGGGCCGGCCTTACGTGGCGAAGACTGGCTTTCGCCTTTCTTGTTCATAGAGGGCCCAAGACCGACACGCCAATATGTGGAACTGGTCTCGTTCTTCCAGTGGGATAACTCGAGTCCTTCTACTCGCCTTCTGCAAACCTTGCCGTTCCTGCTAACTTCTGGTAGCAGTCTGTACCCGTCCTGTCGTTGCCCCCTGCCTGAACTTCAAAGCGTTTCCTGCCATACACGGTGTGACTCACTGACGTTGTACAGTGGACTGACTCGCTTGGGCTCGAAGCATCTTCCAACTGGGGACAGTGGAGTTACTTCGCGTTGTATCCTACGGTGAGATTTTTTTGACGTTGTCGGTTCATCTCGGGTGATTTAGCAGGCGAAGCAAGGAGTTTGAAAGTTGCAGACGCCGGTCGTGCCGCTTTCAGTAGTCATTGTATTTGGACAGCGTCGACCACACAAAGTACTTCATTCGCATCTTACAAATTATTGTATGCCTCTCAAAGAGACATAAGCATGCTATCTGTCAATTGAATGAAATGTCGCCCAGGGACAGTCACAGTTGATGCGCCTGAAGTCACCATTGCAACCTGAATTGTTAAGGCCATCTGGCTTTCGGAACTCATCGAATACCATTCTGCTCGGACTCCTGAACCTGTAATTCACAAGGACAATTCGACGTTTCGAGAGAGTAAAAACATCGTGTCTTCAGTGTACGTGATCTCGCTGCAGCAATTTCAAAGGCGTGCCAACGATGGCTGTCTTGTTGGGAGCAAACAGTAAAGGGAGAACAATACACGATGATCCGGCACGACCGGCACCTGCCAAATTTTCAAACTCCTCGCTTCGTCCCACTCAACCCAGGCTTAGCTGCACCGCCAATACACCACTCGAGCATCCGTGGTGTTATACGCCAGGCTGGTTACGAGCCTACTGGTCAGAGCCGTACGAAGGCTTTTATAAGTTCTACTTTCTCATCACCTTCAAGACTGTGATAAGATACTTACGTTAATGAGCTGGACCTGCAACAGCTTTCACAGTGCGAACTTCGAAGTATTACACTCAGAGATCTGATCTCGCCGGTAACTCCTTTCCTCTTGGTTTCAATACACTGTGCTTGACCTCTCGCTGTGATGTGTCTCCTAGAATTTCTGATGGGCCACATAGCACTGAGGGCTATAACACTGGTACAGCTCCCCCCAGAACTTTTGTACCAGATGCTGGCACTTCTCGACGCGTACAACCTAGTACGGCTACGACAGGTAAGTGAACACAAGATTCATTTTACTATGCTTATCCGCCACAGACGTGCAAAGCGCTGAAAGCACTGATCGACAATTCAGAGGTGCTGCAATATGTCATCGACCTGAGTTACTTCCAAATGATTCCAATGGGAACATCCGAAATGGATGAGCTACCAGCTACATGCCGCAAACGACTGAGACAGCATGACGCTGCATGGCAACGCTTCGAATACAAGCAGAAGTGCACACTCCCCTCAGTGATGTTAGGACGTATGTTTGAATTTTTGGGTGGTGTATACGGCTCTGCTGGGGAGGACTGCATCCACTTTACGCGTCTTCCATCCGCGGCTGATTCTAACGATCTACATTGCTGGAGTCACCCTATCGACGCCACGACCTTGGTGGACTTTACTTTCTGTGCTGCACAAGATCTACTCGTCGTAGTAGCAGATTCACCAAACCCGTGAGTATTTCATTCATTCTCTGTGTCCGTTGTCAGACTAAACTGTGCTGGAAGCCGGACTTATCCATACGATATCCATCTGAGGTCGCTGACAACGAACGACATCCACCACGATGCAGCGCAACCGATCCTGAAAGCACTCGACCGGGATATCATTGACCGTGAAATAGTCCGGTCCACCGGCCATGTGAATGTCCAAATTATGGGGGACTACATCAGTATGCAAATGCGCAATATTGTAGTAAACGGGGCCATGCTCGGGAACTATATACAAATGTGGGACTGGAAAACCAACGATGGCTACCAGGTAAATCACTGTTACAAGTTAACTCTGCTAGAAACTCATCAGTACCACAGTTCATTCTTTGGTTTCACAGTGGTTTCAACGACTGCTCCTTCATTGCCGAGGATAAGTTCCTCGTCCTTGATTCCTGCGGCACCGTGGAGATATATCACATTGCTAACAAATCAAAGCCCCCTCAATGCACCGCGAAACTCTCCTTACCTTCTCTAACGAATCACTTCTCATACACTGAGGCATTCACTGGCGAATATATATTTCCTAGCTCCTTACTTCCCTATTCTCGAGAATCCTACCAGCCTTCATGCTCATTTCACCCAAGTACGGACGATCAACTCATAGCCATTCATGTCTCCGCCTTTCCAATGGATACGAGCACAATCGATTTACGCCGCTATAGCTTCTTTATCCTGCGTAGTGCCATTCTGGAACTGGAAAGCTTATTTGCCTGTACTTACGGCCAACCGACTTTGAATGGTCCAACGTTGCTTTGGTCAACGTGGGGACCACGGCATACGACGTGGTTCCGGCGTCAAAGCAATGAGGACTGGGAATCTTCACTCTATGGTTTCCGCGTTATTGAGCCCATCAGAAACAGTCCTTCCGACTTGTCACGCGAGCCCCGACGACTACGTATCAGAGATTTCAACCCACACATCGCTGGGAATTATCACGCACAAGATAAATCAGACTGGCGTGGCCAACTTGTGCAAGGAGAGTTGACTAGTACGATTTCTTACCCATTCGGGGAACCGCTAGGATCTGCGCTGTCGTATCGCGAGATCGTTAGCGAGGAGTTGTTTGATTTAGATGAAGCTTTGATGGACGAAAGTAGGATTCTGCTGCTGAAAGTGAGTCGCGACTTATGCTTGATTCCCTCTGCTTACATGAATTGTGGTAGAGAGGCGAATTTTATGAATTGCAAAAAATCGACATATTGGTATTTTGACTACCTAATGTTGACGCCTTGGGAGGTATGGTCCTTGCGCGTCGCTTGTCCTTCAGTCATCAGCCATATTTTGGTTTTTCTCCGGCATTGTCATTATGTAGCAGTACCGCACCATCTGTGGAAGGTAACTGCTTCATCGTATGCTCATTCTATGTTGGAGAAGGTTAATGCATTACGATATGGCAAGGTGCTCTGCATTGCGAATTACACGTGCCTTATACATCCCATGCTTCTCGGCATAAACCATTCTCATAGATGAGGTGCGTGGGTGGTTTCGCAAGTCCGGGCGTAGTATGCACGCGGCATGATGTGTGAGTGAAAAGACAAAGCGGACCCGCGCGTTGCGGTAAGTTGTTAGAAATATCAAATTTCTTGGCAAATTGATCAGCTTGTGTTTCAGTCCAAAGTTTCGGTGAGGGAGAGCCTAACTCATGCTGTAACGTGCAATGTTTCAGGTACATCAAATGTGTATCACGAGGGTGTAGTACTTACATCAAGGGTCACACCAGCATATCTTCTGCATTAGTGGGTATTTCTTGCGGTCACTGCGGCTGAAACACCAATTGGTAGACAACCTGTATGTAGAATAATCCATCTTCTGCTGTCGGAAATCTCAAAAGTGATGTAATGCAATCTAAAGCTGCGAAATGCTTTCCTTTGATGTGTTTCAATGAAAGCGATGGCTCTGGAGAGAGTTTCGAACATGGATGAGCGCAAGTTGTGTGACAAAGACCGGGAGAGGTCTGATGCAACGCCGCGGCCATCCGACTCCAGAACCGTCGGTAACGTGCCACAATCGTGATCTCCAGTGAGGTAGAGAAGCATTCTGTTCATCACATCCGATGGGAGACTTTGTAAAGACCCCGCAATACGGATCCTGCAAGGCGGTCCGCAGTCCCGATCTCTGAGCCGCCTCGGATATCCACGAACGAGAGGCTATGAGGGGTCTTCTCCAGAAGCCAACTGCGTAGAACAACACGGACCCACCACTGGCAGCCGATTGGTCGTGTGATCAGAGAACGTTCCGTCAATGATAGCACACTACCAGTTTCAGATGCAGAGGGGTATGCTATTATTAGAAACGATAAACGCTTCGACAGTTTGTTTGCCCGTGATGATGACTGCAAGAGGTACAATTTGCGTGCTAGCTCCTCGTGTCCATTGTGGCGATCTCTAGCACTGCCGGAACTGATATGGGATGGTACCGCGAGACTTGGAAGCATCTTCATATTGATCCCGGAACTATCTTAACTAGTAGCTTTCAAGAAGCAGTACATGGGAGTGACTCGTGCCCTGCAAGCTCACAAGCCCCCATAGATTACATTCTGTGGAATGCTCGGCATTAACATTGATCAACGTGATTTTCCACCGACTCACCGATCCTTTCCTAATTGTGGTTACCGCGAATATGTTCCGGCCGTTTGTATCGCCCATAGCGCCTCCTTCTGGAGGTTTGACCAGGGGGAACTATCCTGCTAGAGCAACAGATGCCAGAATCGTGTGCCAGAATGACTGAATTAAAGTATGGACGACTATTGTCGCCGTGAAAAACCACTGTTGACGGGTATGATCGAAGCAACAATTTACAAGGAGTCCAAACACAAACCTCATTAAATTAAACCAATGATCTGGTAGACTGGAACAAAACAACAGAGATCGCAGAAGTTGTCCGTGAGTGCATAAACCAAACGAAAGGATACGTCAGACAGCAGATTCTATACTACCTTCCCCGTCGCCATCAACCATCATCTTCTGCTTCTCTTCGGGATCTAACCAGCTATCCTCCACTGTGGCTTTCACCCTTCTCACGTACTCCTTCATGTTTTCTCGGTACAGCTGCGCAGCCTCTGCATTTGCCGGGCTATTCGGATTAGGATCGTGCAGGAGACTCTGAATGGAAGTAAGGATGGCAGCGACGTCATACGTGGGAGACCAGCGATTTTGTAGAATGTCCAGACAGAGTTCGCCGTTGTTATATACATTTGGGTGAAACATTCTGGAAAGGAATTTTACTGTAGGCGGCTTGTTGGGGTAAGATTCATCAAATGTGAGCAGGAGTTTGAATGTGCCGTCCTCAAAGGGTGTATCAGCTATAGAGCGTTAGAAGAGTTGTCATAGACAATAGATGCAAGACTCACAAGGCCCAAATATGACAGCGTTCCAGATCATGATGTTATCCGGGCATGGACTTCCAGAAATGCCACTTGGCGGGTCACTAGAGAGACGTTTGAAATCACGGATAAGACGTCTTCTGCAGTTGGTAGACTATTGAAATCATAAGTGGCGAAGACGACGGGGTTGATACTCGCATACCATTGTATCTGGCTGGTTGGGATTACAAGCAAGTGATGAGAATTGGAAGATAACTAGAAGTACAAGATCAAGAGGCAAGTTGAAGCCACATCCGGTCCGCCGCTCGCCTACTCCCAACAAGCCGATTGCTTACAAAGCAAATTTAAACCACACCAGCATCCAGCTCTGAGGATAGTTCTCGCGCAAGTACTTTACTGTGGAGGGAGAAGCATTTGTTATGTTACATATTACTGCCAATTGGAAAACGCATTTCCCCCGAGGTACTCAAGAACCCTACAAATCTTCTGGTTTGTTTAGCAGTCTCCCTTCCATTCCACCCTCAACCATCACCACTTGGCCAGTGACGTGACCAGAAAGGGTAGACGATGCAAGGACCACAATCTGTGTCGCGACGTCCATAGGCACGGCCACCTTCTTAAGTGGAATCCTGTGGTGGTAAAACATTCAGCATCAATGACATAATGGATCTGATGGTATCACTGACGTAGCCAATATGCGAGCCACCGTTTGAGAATCTTTCAAGACTTCTTCAACCATGCGTGTCTTGACCCACCCAGGTGCAACACAGTTAACCCTGCCTTTGGGGGCGATTTTTACAATTTCATTCTTCAGCGTAAGGTTCAGACCATACATCATTGCTAGAATACGATGAGTCCATGTCACAATCAGACAAAGTGATTACTGACCACTCTTGGTCGCAGCGTAGTCCCCATTGTTGGCTTCACCATACTTCCCAGCAGTACTTCCGATGAGAACGATTGCTGCCTTGTCCTTGATGCCCGAGGAAGCCTTTTCCAGATGCTTCAAATACTCTCTACACACAAGGAATGAAGACGTTAAGTTCATAGATATTGTGGTGTTCCATTGGTCCAGTGACATCCTTGCAATGGGCACATCTACCCTGTACGATATAGCGTGATTGACCACGATTACTTGTACGGGGCCATGAGGCATAGTAGACAGAGACTCGAACATGGCCACCACGGCCTGCTCTTGAGACAGATTTGCCTGGACGTGTTGAAGATTGGTGTTCGATGCCAGAAGTTCCTGGATCGGACCAAATTGCGAGTTATAATGTGCGGTCACATTTGCACCCAGTGCTGGACGTCCTCAGCTCAATACTCAGCTTGTGAAAAAAATGACTCACTACAAAATAATTTCACAGTCTCGAGCCCGATTCCACCACTTGCCCCTGTGTAGGTAGTGTCAGATCAGCACCAACATGGTAAAAAGTATGTGATTATGACCTGTGACGAGGATATGCACTCCTTTCAATCCAAGATCCATGGTGAACGATAACCAAGCTGATCACAGGTCCAGGTGTGAAAATGTCGAGACGCCATATGGATAAGGGATAGAGCTCGGGGTCACCTGTCCAGGCCTTCTTGCAGATAAGTATGAGGACGGCAATCTGGAATTCTGGATGCCGCCAAGTTTAAGTCCTACATAGGTGCACGTGACAGGTGACCGTGGGTAGCGACGTTGAAGCGCTTAAGAGCGTTTAAAGCCGAATTTCTATTTTCTTCCCCTTCTCTCAGGTTGAACTGCGATTAGGCCAGACATGGACGCGTTTTCTACCATTGTGAATGTATCTGCAGCGTCTCTGTACGTTTCCCTTCTCTCCATCGCTTTCAACCCAACAGCTTGGAACATTGTAGCCCAGAATGGTGAAGGAATTGATGAATTTCTGCAAGACTCGCATTAACACGTGTTTATATGTTGCAGAGTACAGAAACAAGACAATCACTCGCATATTTGGTGGTAATGCTCGCTATGGATGTTACTTCCTAGCTATCATGATATTCTCATTCGGGATGCTTCGTGACCATTTGTATGTTCGAGGCGCACGATTGTTTTGCTAGACATTGCTTGACACCCAGCAGATATCAGCGCGCTTTGAGCGACCAACCTCGTATTCCCATGCTCCCTGCACCATTTGATACCCTGGTACCAATTGTTATGTTTGCGATCGGCCAGTTGTTTGTTGTCACTTCCACTTGGGCCCTCGGAGTCACTGGAACTTTCCTCGGGGATTACTTCGGTATTTTGATGGATCACCGCGTACAGGGCTTCCCGTTCAATGTCCTGAGGGATCCTATGTATGTTGGAAGTACGATGTGCTTTACTGCGACAGCCTTGTGGTATTATCTTTTTCAACCGCATTAGGACACATCTAAACCCGCTGTGTACAGGTATGAGCGTCCAGCTGGACTCCTCGTTACTGTGTACGTGTACATCGTTTACCTCATTGCACTACGATTTGAGGGGTAAGTTTCCACACTTTTCCAATTGCGTTAGAGTATCTGAAGGACAATGCCAGGCCGTTCACCGATATGATCTACTCCAAACGAGCCTCTACAAAGAAGGAATTATGATTACGACACTCAGACGACACAGGACCACACATTATCATTTACTCAACCACCAATATATCTTGGTAGCTTGCTGCATCTAGCCAAGCTACAATCGTGCTTCTACACCGCATCGATGAATGTTTGATTTTTGAGGTCCCGCAGGTTGACGTAAAAGTTTGCCAAATATTGGTTGCACTGAGTCCTTCTACATGATTTCAGACCGCACGTGCACGGTGTGGTGCTTGGTCTTCCCGGGCAGCATGGATGATTCATCATCTCAAGTTTCAATTGTTATCTCTGAACGATAACATGGCCACGTGGTTTTTTCGTGCCGCGAGTCCACCTAGCTTTCGGGTATCATTCCGAAAGCTCTGCTGTATGCGTCTTCTAACTCCTAAGTAGCTTCATGGGAACCACGGTTCACTTTGCCTCTGATCCGAGTGAATGATCAACAAATCAGAGACGACTCAGAATACCTTATCGACAAAGACGGTCTATCAGCGAAGATCTTCTTGAACCTCTCTACGCCCGTGATGATCAAACACGGCCCCTGAGGCCTGATTATGCAGTTCATATCGTTCGGTAGGTGTTTGCAGTGGGAGTGGGGTCTGAATTTGCTACTAGTTCAAAGTTTGTTCCTTGACTCAAACAGCAGGAAGTATTTGTCTTCGTGCATTCAGAGGAAGCCATGAAAGTTTAAAACGCATAAATAAAATAATCTAAAATAAAGCAACACTATGACCGCTTCAGGGCGTCGCAGTGTAAACACCGACAGCTCCAGGTTCGAAGTTCAGACCAGTGAGGGTGGTATTCTGGTTAATAGAGAATATGCGCTGTAACTGCGTCGTTGCGTTGGAGGTGATCGACAATCCAACCTCCTTCCATGGAAGGAAAACCTGCGCTTCGCCCAAGTTGCTAACGATGAGCAAGTATGCAGTGCCATTGTACCAGAGACCGGCATCCACACCCTGGTGGTCGTAACTGGAAAATGTGGCAGTCGGGTCGACGATGAAGGGCTGAATGACGTCTGTGATGACAACGCCGATGTGAGCCGCTGTCCCCTCGATCGTCTCGACACTGCCGGTTGTGGTCGGGTATTGGAAGGACTTGGAACCTAGGTAATGGAAGTCAGTCTTATTTATATGCGCGGCATGAACACGAATTTACCTAGAGCACCATGGATGAAGGAAGTGAATCCCATAGCAACCCATTGCTGGCCAGTAGGAGTTGTGTTCCAGTATCTGTAATAAGACTCAATGCAAAGGTCGTGTTGACGATTCAAGGGGACTTACGCGCCACTACCAAAGGCCTGGGGCGTTGTCCACACAGCCTTGGTGCGGTCAAATCCCAAGATGTTGAGCCTGTCTTTGAAGGTCTGCATGCGGGCCCTCACATCCCACATGTCCCCCTGGCAGTTGTCGCAACCGCAGTGACCGAAGTCCGGAGTACACTCTGTGTGCCACACAGGAGACCATGTGGCGTTGATACCAATGGGATAAGCGTCCTACACCAGACATTAGAAATGCGTGATGAAAATGATGAGTGGCTCGCCTGCAGAACGATATCCGCTCCTTTGACATAAGGCGAGAAGTTGTAGTCTTGGCAATTCAGAACAATTGAGATAGGATGATATCCATCCATTTGGTATATCAAGTCATACGCTGCCTGCGCCGCATTTTGGGGGTCAGAGTTGCCATCTGGCTCGTGTGCGGTCTCCCAGTTCAAGAGGTTGGGAATAGAGACGTAGGTGTTCACTTGTTCAGCGACAGCGGTCAGGTTTTGGTAGGTCCTGAATAGAAAGACATCAATGATGACGAGACGAGGTGACAGAGTCTGACATACGATCGCATATCATAAACGATGTACATGCCGGCACTGATGGTCTTTTCGATGACTTGTTGGAAAATATCGAGGTTGTCGTAAGGGGGAATTGGGTGAAGCTATGACATAGACGCTCAGCCCGGGACAAACTAAATCATCGCGAAACATACAGTGTTAAACCTGGAAAAATAAATGAATGATTACTTGGGAGGTGATAACAATGTAAGACAAACCCATCGGCTTTCAGCTGATCGATTATAGACAGATTTGAGGCTAGATGCTGGTCGAAATTTACGTAGAATCCTTGAGGGATGAAGGGGGCGAATGCTCCACCCTCGCCGCTTGGAGGCCGGACCCACAGTGCACCAGTGCGCAAGTCTGTCTTCGTGACTGAAGCATCTGTGTCAGGAAGATACAAAAGGGATGAGCTAGTGTTGAATGTTTGTTCGTTTGCGGGCTGCGACTTCGAAGAATATGTAGCAGAGCAGCTGACATCGTACGCGGTCTTTTGAGCCTTGAGATTGCTGATATCAACGGGAATTTGAATGCCGGTGGAGTTCAGAGCAACGTTTGCGGTGGTGTGGACGGAGCCCACGCTAATGGTAACACAGAGACTTCCTAAGTCGGCGGAACCACCGGAAGAGCCAGAACCGGAAGAAAGTGAGATGCGCTCAGCACCGGCAACCCAGTCGTAAACAATTGGTGTATCCACTACAAATGCTGCACTCTTCGCATCCTCCTCGAGGTATGGACGGAAGACAGGGGCACAGCGGAACGACAGAAGCGGTTCAGCACTCTGCGTTGGCAAGACAAACTGTCCGCCAGGGGGTACAACAGACTGATTTGGCATGAAGTTCTTCCCGCACCTGGAAGGATTTAGAAACAGCAATCAAGGTGCAGGATTGAAAGTACACGAACCATGTCGTGCTCTGAGAAAGTGAACCTTGAAGCAGGCCAGCGACGACCATAGCCATAATTTTTTTGTTATTCTTCATTTTCGATGTCTCCTCGGCCTTGGTGAGGGAGAGGCAGATTGAAACGGAGGAAGGAGTTGATGTAAGGATGCCACTGACCAGCTCATCACAACTTATACGAAGCCCGGCTGTCTACTAAGGAGCGACCAGGCTGTTGTCCGCGGAGCAGTACTCTACGTGCCAAGAATTCATGAATAATTATCGTATCACGAAAAGGATGACTCACGCAATGGCCCGGACTCCGAATCATGAATAGGCTGCTACTAGGGGATATTAGCATTATTAGGAATCCCATAACTGTGAACAGCTGTGGACCCGTCGCGGCGACACTTCATAGCACTTCATGCCAGGCTGACAGTATAAGTATCACTCACTGTTGGGTGCCTTTTAGTACACAGTGTTGTTGATCCGACGCAATATGCAAGTGTGAAAATGATCTTGAGTTCGATGTGATATTCCCTGATATTCCATACTGCTGGGGCCCATCATAGTGCCAATTAGAGTTGTTCAAAAGTCAGAACGTTTAAATTCAAAACGATGCTGCAAATGATTGAACAATTTCTGCAGAACAAACAAAAGGCAAAGAAGAAGCGAAAGGCGGGCACAACAGCGGGTACCAGAATCGATTCGATAACTTGGACGACTCGGACGAGACGAAGTGGATCTGGTGAGCCGTGGGATAGTAAATGATGATATGGGTCGTGGGACGCGCTCATTTATACTTTACGAAAGTAATCCCGGAGATATCTATTTTGACATTGCCTGATCATGTACTAGTACATTTACGACCGCATCTCAGAATTTTCCGTGATGCATATGCCTGCTGGAGTGTGCAGAATTATATGTGTAAAACTGGCATTCAGCACCATAAACTGAGCTCTCTTCTCGTACGCGTTCTTCGGCATTTCTCGAGGTTGAAGGGGGACAATACGGCCTAAGTGTGCAGTTCACATCGTTCACCAAGTGTTCGAGGCGAGCGCGGGGGCTTAATTTTCTTTACTGTTTGAAAGTTTGTTCCTCATGGAAGCGACGCCGCAAGAGCTAGTAGACACTCCAGGAATTGAGCTCAAATATTCAAAGGACCACAAAACTTCATGAAAGTTGACGCATATGCGATATCGTCATGTTTATCATGGACGGGATGGTAGTTTCCTTAGTGATGGCTCTATAACCACCTCAAGGCGTCGCAGTGTCAATACCATCGTGTGCGGTCTCCCCGTTCAGTAGGTTAGCAATCGAGTAGGCATTCACTTGTTGAGTAACAGCGGTCAGGTTTTGGTAGGTTCTGAACAGAAAGACATCAATGATGACAAGATGGGGTGACAGAATCTGAGATACGATCGCATATCATAAACGATGTACATGCCGGCACTGATGGTCTTGTCGATGACTTGTTGGAAAATATCGAGGTTGTCATAAGGAGGAATTGGGTGAAGCTACAGCATAGACGCTCAGCACGGAACATATTCAATCATTGCAAATACACATGCCCCGGCCAAAAGGTGCAGGATTTCATCGATGCCCTTGTCGCGCAGACCCCTGAGGTCCGCGTGCTCCTCGACGTGAATGCGCAGATACTGGAATCGAGAAATCTGGAATTGGTTGAAATATGGCCTCGAGTCAAGGGCGACACCCAAGCTGCAATTTTCGTTTTCATGCCACCCAGACTGACACCCCCACATCCTCGTCAGGCGCTTCATCAACCAGGGCATGCTGCTAGAGCGCTTCACGACATTGTTTACCTCTGACGATTTCGTGCGACCAAGTTATTTTGTCACTGGAATGTGATAGAGTCATGGCTAGGTAGCGGGGGAGCAATTGTGCTAGTCGGTCGAGGTGGCAGAAGAAACTGAGGAACGCACTGTATTTCAAAGTCGATATCAGAGATAGGTCGGCTGCTTGAGATCGGGATGGAGTTGTGGAGTTGCGCCACACGACTTCCAATTGGTTTTCGCTGTCGCCAACCTCCACTCTTTCGTATCGTCAGGAACAGTGTTAGTGATACTTGATGCATAGTTTACGTCCATGACATGACCTCCACAAAGGTTCCAGATATTGTCCTCGCTACCCTCGCTCAAGGTAGCACGATGCAGGGCGCAAGTGACTGCATCGAGCCTTTATAAGAAAACGATTACGATGAAATGGTTTCTGTATACGTGGCGGGGAACAGTCCCTTCCGAACGTCGTCTGACAATGTCGAGCCGCTAATCAGTCATCCAAGACTTCATGCATCACGGAAAAAAGTAATTGTCACCAGCTTTATCCGATGAATATGTGAAGTGATGTAACGCCCCGAGTGACAACCAAACAAGTTTTCGTGCATATCGGGAGTCCCAGCCAGGTCACTATTTGGCGGAGCAGATGGCGCAAATGAAATTTATGCGCAAGATCCGGTGCAGAAAGACACACAGGAAATTTTTGGGGGGCAACAACGAGGCATCCTATAATATCTCAGGGTAGGCAGCCTAGAACGATAATGTGTAGTGCTTGATTTCCAATGATAGCTCTTACCGTACTGCGGTTCATGAAGGAGGTTCGGATAAAGGTGAGGCAGCTGGCGCAAGCCTGAAGTGATCTAATTTTGACACTCCGACAATTAGCAGGCTCCCGCGACCCGTGACTTTCTACCCATTCACCATCGCTCAACGATCAATTTAGCAAGCGAAAATGTTTGTGGTCGACAGAACCTCAGGCCTCCCCCACTAACGTGTGAGCGAGTCGGTGATGCAACTTCAAGTGATACAAAGCGGCGTTGGCCATGCAGAATTTGTGAGTAGACTCCACCGTGACGTGCCCTGGAAGTCCAAGACTTATATAGCTAGTCTCCCCTATTCAGACCTTATCAAGCCAAGATAGTCCTTCGTATTAGGAGTCAGACCTAGTCTCCGGTAGGCAGACCAGATACTAATGATAGTCGTCCCTGTGCATGAACGGAACTTCTAGTACACGAATGTGTACGTGACCCTCGAGGCTGATATCAATGGAACTCGAGTCATCAGTGAAACTTCTGTGATATCTTGTACACAAATGATCTCACTTTGTGCGGCTTCAACCGATCTGAGCGCCTAGGAGTTTTCCTTATCAGCGGCCAAATTTCACCATCAGTGCTCTTCTCTCATCCCATTGATCCCATCAACATGGCTCAATACTCAACAGCGAAACGTCTTTCAACAGATCAATCAAGTCTGGGCTATATAGTCAATCATGTGTTTCTTCCTCTCAAGCTGCCGCAAGGGAGTGACCATTCCCTTGATAACGACCTTGCTTTATCTCAGGCAGTATTTGATGCTGCTCTCGCCTTTAGTGACCAGCTGCCGTCCAATGAGTTTCTGCTTTGGACGAGCACCTTGAAAATGCTTCGCAATCTCAAAGATTCAATCAGATTTAACGTGATGTCTGCAAAGGAAATTGAATCTCAGATCAATGCTATGGACAACAAAGGTCTGCTACGTTCATCTCATTTGCATTTTTAGTGTTAAGTATCAAATTTCAGATGTCCTTGTGTATATGATTCGGGCGCAAAACGCTGCGGTGGTCATGAGAAGGCTCGAATCCGAGACCATATTCGAATCATTCGAGGTCTCTCCTGACCCCACCGCAGTGATGGGCGCAAAGGGAAAGCTGATCTGTTCATATCCTGGACCTGCTATCGCAGTCCCAGATACGATTACCAATGATGCTACCTTTTCTGCTGAGCTGGCGAATTTTCTCGTCCACATGGATCAAGATGTCCTTGACGCGGCGCCAACGAGGAAAAAAGCCAGATCCACTGTTGTCGAAGAGAGGGACACAACACATCCTCGTTACATCACAGAACTCCTGACCGGTATACTGCGTGGCCTCGGGAGCATTGCTGATGTTCCCCGCATCCGCAAGCGCATCGGAGATGATGTGCTGTGGGACAGCGCGAAATTGCCGTGGAGGCGGTCTCCACTTTGGCTTGTCATTCGCGTTGCCTTACAGACGACTCTGGAGCGCAGTGCTCTCGGACGAACGACATATAAATCGTTCATGTTGTTCTTCATGGCGAGGCTCACGACCCTCGTCGTTGAACATGGCTTTTCAAACGACATCTTACATTTCACGTCAACAAAGATTGCACGCCGTCTTTTCAAGCTTGGATCCTCAGCTTCTCCGGAGTTATCGCAGATAGCCAGCATTGTCACCAGGGATGTAAGGAGTCTCATGGAGGAAAGATGGACATCAGTTCAATACGCGCAGCGGGCCTCGCCTCCTTGGGCCCCCCAGAACCTCCGGGTCTTGCGAGACACCCATCTTTCCTTGAACACAAGCCGAGAGTACATACACCAAGCTTTACAGAACCAGCATTCGTCCCCTAAACCACCCCCATTCAACCCCAGCCATCACGTGCGCGGGTCAATCGACGATTTCCTTGACGCTGATGCGAGCTTCCTGATAGCCGCTCATGATGCAGAACCGTCTCTTGCCCTCGCAGACTTCGAGACTGCCATTGGGTCAGGGATTGACGACTGGGTAGCATGTGTGTCTTATCAGAACATCGATGCCAAATGCGTCTCGATTGAGGCGTGCGCTTCTGCGTACTCCTCGAAAGCGTTGAAGGCTTACAGTGGAAACCCAGAGAATTTGTCGATCATGCTTCTCACACTTTTCGAGCTCTGGGTGGCCATCGATAAGCTCGCTGTTCGCCAAATCCCACTCCTGGCAGAATACTCCCCTGAAATTCCATTGGTCCTCTGGGAGTGTCTTTTAATCCGCAAAGCTTCTACCCTTGATCGTTACAAGAAATTGCACACCTACCTGAAAGCTCGTCACTGCCAGGCTTCCAGCTGTCTGTCGGCGTTCTCGTTTACCAACGATAGCAAGTCGTTCGCGGCGCGATATTTTTGCCGGTCACCAAAGCTGCAGAGTTTGAAGGCTCGCATCGAAGCAGATGGTCAGAAACAGCGGACCAAGAAGTTGACTGAGCTTCGGACCCTCAACAAGAGGTACAGTGACTTGGAGAAGCGCGAAGCACGCTTATCGCACGAATACGGTGTTAACTCCCGCGGCTGGGAATACCACAAGAAACACCAATGTCAATTATGTCGCGTGGAGAAGGAGATGCGATCCATTACGATTGCAGTTCACGAGTGGCCGCTACCAGAGCGTGAACAGGAGGCGATCTTAGTCGTATTTGAGCTAGCGTGCCCAATTGCGTTCGACATGTGGAGATGTATGACATTCCATATCTTCGTTGATATCTGCGCTCCAGAAAAGACACCGCGCACCCACCCCTTCATGACACTGCCGAAATATGATGCCTTGCAGCAATATCGCACGTGTCATTCAAGACAGAGGCTGACTTTGGCGTCGGATGCCAAACCCTTTACCAAATGTCATTATAGTAACACTCGCATTCCCACGGAGGATGTTGACAGCGTCTGCGTTAACAATGGACTCAAATTTCGGCCTTTCGATACAATCACAGGTGCATGGGCGGCAGACGTGCTGCTGCGTTGCAATGCTAGCAAGCTCTGCACTTTCCTCCTTCCCAAGGGACCATACAATGCTTTGCAGTCGTACGTTGCAGGAACATCGCATACATCAAACGAGGTCATAGCCAATCAGGCAGATTGTCACAAGGACATGACTATCCACGAGTTCCTCGCATTCGGAGCCTTGCGGAGTGGACCCCATCTACAGTGGATGAATGTGCTACGAGAGCTCCGAGCGAGGACACTCAATTTTCGACGTGAGGAAGTCCATATACTGTTAGCGCAAACTGTCTCACAGGTCGGCCCATTTTCGTCCGACGACGACCTTGTTTGGCACGAGGAGCTGAGAAGCGTGCCCTTCCTGAGTACATTACTTGGAGAGCTGGAGGATTTGATGGCGAGCGTTGAAAGAAATTGGCTGGAATGTGTCACGATCAGCACCATCATCATGCTCGTGTGCCATGTCTTGTCCTCGACCCAGGAAGAAAGCATCAAAAGTCGCGGATATTCACTCCTTCGAAGAATACGAACTGCGACATTTATGTTGCTGACGCAGCTATCAGGGAAAATGCAAGCTAGCAATGACGAGACGGTCAGCCGAGAACTACAAGGGCGCGTTCGCGATATGGCAGTCACCTGTCGAAGCACCTTCGATGTCGACGGAGATACTTCACTGCTCCTGACGTCGAACGATGACATCAAGATATTTGCATACTGTGCGGTCATGGTCTATGACAACACTCCAAGCCAACTGTGCGATCTTCCCCAACATTCTAAGCTACTGCTGGAGCGGGACATGAGATGCTGTCACACATTAGAACCCGCTATTCGTCAATACGCAGAGTTGCACAAGGAGGGTCTTGATTGCGCTATGGCAGTGATATGGGGCAGCTACCGACCAGGAACTCCTTGGAGGGCACTGCCGGCTCCGAATTCTCGCTGGCTTGTGGCGCAGACTGCACCTTCAAGTTCGCAATCACCACAAGACGTGCATTTCAATTTGATAAGTGGATGCTTGCTTGTCGGCGGGACGCAGCTGGGTAGGCTCCCTTCAAAGATTGTGCAACATCCCACGTACCGATCGATTTTCGGCGATGTGAGTCTTTAAAAGTTGTGACTTTGCTGGTACCGCTCACCTATCAACCTACAGCAAATTCTTGACATTGTTCCAGCTGATATTCCTGGAATGGAGTACGCGACGCGCGGAAATCTCTGTGACCATCAGGTAAGTCACCCCTGTTTTCATCGTTCTGCAGCTAAAGTAATGCACTCTCGTGTTCCTGAAGGTGTCTTTCGCTCTCCGTGACTCAAACGATCTCATCATCCGTGCAAAGCATATTGAACGGGACTCACCTGTCCTCCAGCTCATTCCGAGCCACAAGTTTGTGGATGACCTACCGACAACCTTGATAGCGGGCCATACTCATTGGCTCAATCTATGCACAAGTGAGATTGAGATTCGCCCAACAGAAAATGCATGGAAGTTTTCGCCTGGAAATTGGGTCTTGCAATTTGCTGTTTTAGGCTCTTCGACGGCGCAGAATGCCAGCGGTGCTACCCTTATTGACATACGCAGCCAAACATGGGACATGATCTCGAAGAAGATGCGTCCTCTGGAGGATGCACGCCTCATGATGGTCACATGCAACATAGCATCCGGTAGTACTCCCTTGTTGAAAGTTGATTTACCTCGATATGGCCTCGAATTCTTCATCGACGAGGATAGAGAACTGCAGTCCCGTAACATGCGCAACATGGTCGTCGACGCCATTCAGTCTACTGGCACGATGTTGGGACTACAAAACCAGCTCGTCTTGCGTCCGAAGTCAAAAATTGCAGATGAGCATCCGCGCACCGTTATCATCCCAGATGGTCGTATCTCATACTCCGCTAATGGTCATCACGTCGAGGTTACCATCGCTCCTGAAGGCTCCCGAGTGATGTTCCACGTGTACAGGGTTGATACAGATCTACGCTGTCTCACTGGGAACGTGGGTCTGACAAGTAAACTTTATCAGGCACTCCTCCATGCTGTGACCAGCGGGTGTCTCCCTGATCCGTTAACGCGTCGAACAGGGACAGAGGAGGCGTTGCATCTCTTGCACTCTGCAGCTTGCCGGTCTTTCATGAAGCTCCGCCCTCGCGACACAGATCTTTTGCGCGAGATCAGTTCGTTGTCAACTAGGCGTGTCTGGTATCCCACTCATCTTCAGAAGATGCAGACAGTTTCGTGGTCGTGCCTTTCTCCCCTCGCGCAGCACCATGGTTTTCATCCAGCTGCGAAATCTATCATGGACTACGGCATGCAGCTTTCGACTTTCTCAGAAGGGTCTTCCAACCTTCGTTCCACCTGCGAGCTTCCGCCATTCACCTACCACCTTCTCGAACGTGCGTCCGTTCGTGCCTCGGCGGTCTATCCCGACCAATTCTCTCTTCCACTTTCGCTCGGTGACATTGATGTCATCTATGCTTCACGTGATGTTCCGGACAAATTTGCGGAGGAGAGGGCATTCAAAACCGCCTTCATGGTGCTTCAGTGGCCAAGCAGACTTCCAGTGCAGCGGAATCTTCTTAGTTTATTGACTCAGTGGGGAGATGTCCAGGGCATAAGCGAGTCACTTAGCTTGCGATACTCCAAAGACTGGCTTCAGCCTACGTTTCCCAGCATCTTACTTTCTGCGTACGACCGCTGTCGGAGGGCCTCAAAGAAAGACACATTTCAGCTTGTGTTCACCCTGGCTTCGGTGTCATACAGCTTGTTGGAGGACCATTCACTCGTCGCAACACTCCTAGCCTTCGTCACAATTCCCGAAATTCGCAGCCTGGCAGGCCCACCAAAGTTCGCCGAGTCTTATGATCTCTCGGATGGTTTCATGCTGTCCGATAAGATATTGAACAATATCATCAGTTCGTGCTCCATAGATTACGAAGCCAGCCAGGAGAGATACCTAGCTGCAATGCTTGGGGAAGATGAAAAAGCTCTTGGGCAGCGTCGTTTTTCAGCTTTCGAAGAGGAGTGCGATTCTCAAAAACAAGTCATTCTCAGCAAAGTTCGGGATGCTTGGCCGTGCGAAGATCCTCCGGCACTAAAGAAGCGGCAAGCGAAGTGTTACAATCTCAATGAACTGTCGGCGAAACTTTCCCCTGTATTTCGCAGCTGTTGGCGAAACCGTTGTCTCAAGCTCCATCTGGATGTCCTGCAGGGGACCCTCAACCGGTTTTACACTCCCAATCCTCCTTCGAAATTACCCTCTCGATACAATCTTGATTCCCACCCCGAAGACTTGTCCGTTGCATCTCCGGCCTCGTCCGTTGATGCCCAGTACCTGTTCGATAGTAGAGATCCGCCTGTGATAAACATGTCCGGGTCTTCCCAGGTTCTGCCCGATTCCAATCGGAGAGAGCTACCTCCAGACTACCGAGTCACAGCGAGGTTGCAACAGCTGATCAACGACTTTCGCGCCCGAGGAAATGACAAGTTTCGCTGCAAATACGCCGATGATCTGGGGAAGAGCAGGAAAATCTACTGCGAAGAAAATATTGTCGCCCAACCAGATTCTGCGCCGTACACGATGGAAGTACTACTTGAGTACCATTATCTTCATATCTCGAAATTTCAAGATTCACTTGCGACTATCATGCACGCCCTCTCCCCTGCTTCTGCTGCCGAGCACACGTTATACAACGCTGGATTATGGCCCCGAGTTTCACCGAACTTCCTCTTCACTCGCATGGGGTCTGCAGCAGGATATTCTTTGAGGAAGGCTTGGCGTACGACTCTTGTCCACCTGTCGCAGATTCTTTTGCAATTGCAACACTCGCGAAGACTGTTGGTCTTTGCCGCAAACAAAAACTGGGTCGAGTTTTTCAAGGAATTGGAGAGCGAAGAATGTGAGGGGTTCGATCCAGAGCTGTACCCTGACTGGCTTCTAATACAGGTACGTTGTGAATACATACATCGCTAATGGTCACTGATAATGACATCCTCAGATTGAAAGTCAGTTCTTGGCACGGCCTGTCCAGGTCAAGGTTGCGCGGGAGATGATGTCGCCATCCACAGGACGAAATACTTCTCTCCAGCTGAACATGGGCGAAGGCAAATCCTACGTGATTGTTCCCCTCGCAGCAGCCGCACTTTCTGATGGCCACAAACTGGTTCGAGTCATTGTGCTGAAGTCATTGTCTGCGCAAATGTTCCAGCTTCTGGTTGAACGTCTAAGCGGCCTTGCGCAGAGGCGCATTTTCTACATTCCATTCTCACGCGCACTCTCCATCAACTCATCGAAGGTGAAAATATATCGTGACCTGATGCAAGAATGCATGGACACCAAGGGCATTTTGGTCGTGCAACCGGACCATATTCTATCATTTCAATTGATGGTTATTGACCGTCAGCTGTCCCTTGAGACTGAAGCTGCTGAAGATATGTTGAGGACTCAGCTGTGGCTCGACAGTCACACACGCGACATCCTGGATGAAAGCGATGAAATTCTGCACGTCCGCTATCAGCTGGTGTACACTGTCGGTCTCCAAAGGTCGCTTCAAGGACATCCCGAAAGGTGGACAACGACGCAACAAGTGTTGGGTCTTGTCGCAAAGCATACCACCAGGTTCATGAACGAATTTCCCTCTTACTACTCAGAAGTATCTACTCGTGAACATGGAATGTTCCCCTTCGTTCGAGTTCTCCACCCGACAGCAGGCGAAGCATTGGTTCAATGGATCGCGGAGGATGTCATCAGCGGGGCGCTTGAAAACATCAGCTTCGACCAAGCATCTTTCCGCGTGAAGCAGGCCGTCCTCAAGTTCATCGCGATTGAGAAGATATCCAACACTTGCATCAGCTTAGTGGAGAAGCGCTATAGACACACCACCGTCTGGCCCGGCCTCTTGGTTCTGCGTGGATTGCTGGCATGTGGTATATTGGTGTACGCCCTCAAAGAACGTCGCTGGCGCGTGGACTATGGCCTCGCTCCAAAGCGAACTATGTTAGCCGTTCCCTTCCGTGCCAAAGATATGCCCTCGCTGCGGGCAGAGTTTGGCCATCCAGACGTTGCTGTCACTCTTACGTGCCTGTCATACTATTATGGCGGTCTCACGCTCCAGCAGCTGATGTTGTGCTTTGAGCTCCTGTTGAAGCAGGATAATCCCGCCCTCGAATATGAATCATGGGTGCTTGGACTTCAGTCCGTCCCAAAAAGTCTGCGTCACCTTAGCGGAATTAATACGGAATCCGCAGAGGAGCTCCGTGACCTTCAGCAACTGTTCGAATTCAACAAGAAAGTCATAGATTTCTATTTGTCTCGAGTGGTTTTTCCCAAGGAAGCCAAGGGATTCCCCAATAAACTCACCTGCTCCGGGTGGGATCTCGCCCAAGAGAAGGGACATGTTACAACCGGCTTTTCTGGAACAAACGACAATCGCTATTTGCTACCAAGTTCGATTGTGCAGCACGACCTCGACTACCAACGCAGCACGAATGCCCGAGTCCTGACATTCCTTCTGCGCCCGGAGAATAATTGCTACACATGCATACCACCCGGCCAAAATGCGAAACAATTCATCAATACCTTGATCGCACAGACCCCCGAGGTTCGCGTGCTCCTCGACGTGGGAGCGCAGATGCTGGAATTGAGGAACCAAGAATTGGCTGAAGCATGGCTTCGAGTCAAGGACGACGCCCAAGCTGCAGTCTTTGTGAATGACGATGATGAACTTGTGGTTGTCGGTAGGGATGGGACAGTAGAGCCTCTTGTGTCATCCCCCTTTGCCCAGCAGCTTGACCAGTGCTTGATATATCTGGATGACGCGCACACTAGGGGAACGGATGTCAAACTGCCTTCCAATTTCCGAGCTGCTGTCACGCTTGGTCCCAAAGTCACAAAAGACCGCCTGGCGCAAGGTTCGTGATTACAGAGTTCATGTGTAATATTTCTGATGATAACCAATGTCACAGGATGCATGCGAATGCGAAAGCTGGGCAATGGGCAATCAGTAATGTTCTTCGCTCCGACGGAGGTGGACCGGAGCATTCGTTCGGCGACCCAGAAAGTTGATACTGATGGTGTCGATGTGGCAGACATCCTTCACTGGACGATGCTCGAAACCTGTATTGATATCCAGATGCGTGCATTTCCCTGGGCCCAACAAGGATCGGATTTTAAGACACGACATTCCGCATGGACTCAATTTTCGCGCGCCCCCACTACTTCGGTTCCCGCCCTGAAGACAGCCTGGTTACAGCCGGAGGAGCGTCCATTAGAGGATATGTACGCACCATGCAGTTCCTCACCGGTATCCCAGGTTTGCGATCCATACATTCAAAGGAAGTACAAGGAGCTCGGAGTTGAAGCGGGACACACAAGGGGCATGGATGAGGAACAAGAAAGGGAGGTAGTCCACGAGGTAGAGAGAGAACGTCAAATTCAAAGACCGCCCAAAGTAAAACCTGCAGCTCAAGACTTGCATATGGACGTTCGCCGATTCGTCCAGACCGGTCGAATTCCTCCAGGGTCCCCCGCATTTATTCCAATGATATCCAGCCTTGTCAACACTACTGCTGAATTTCATGAAGGCGATCAATGGGGGCACGATGTTAAAGTCACTCGTGACTTCGCTCGTACTGTGGGGACTCTCTTTTCCATCGAGAAAGCGGATGATTACCTGCGGCCTGTCAATTGGATCGTATCCAGTAACTCTGGAGTGCTGGTAGTCATGAGCCCGAACGAAGTGGACACACTGCTGCCTCATATCCGCACCAGCAATGTAGTTCACTTGTGCGTCTATACTCCTCGCACCACAAAGACGATGCAGGCGTGTGATGACCTTCGCCTCTACTGTGTTCCTTCGACGCCACAGCGGACATCATCGGAATCGCTGATTGGCCAGCTCAACCTTTTTTCTGGCCAGCTCTATTTCTCCAGTTACAAGATGTATCTCCGCACTTGCAGTTTCTTAGGGCTCAACGCACCGGATCTAGGGGACGAACACTTGATAGCCGACAGCGACGGGTTCATCAGCGAGGAGAATCGCCCTTCTGCGAGAGCATCGTGCTCGTTCAAGCAATCCCAGCTTCCTCCACTGAAGGAGTTGTTTGGAATGAGGAGGAAAGGCATGGGGTATCTGCCGACTCACCTCGGAAAGATGCTGAATGGCCGGATTCTGACTGAAGAGGATTTTATCGACTGAGCGCCGGGTCTGTTTAGCGTAAGTTTTAGCGCCTTTCTGCCAGGGATCTGACTGACTGTACTGGCCAACAGTGACTGTATCAACACTAGCCTTGATCGTTGTTATATCATGACTTACTCCGTCAATATATTTGTATTTGGCTTTGAAATGCCATAGCTTGTTTCTCGGTCAATCGACATAATGGAGGTTTGATCCACCGAGTGTTCATTCTGCTGCGCAGTTGAAAGGCAGAAAATGCACACGCCCAACTTTACACAACTTGAACCCTTTCACCGTGACGGATCCATTGATTTCCGAAAGACAAAATACACGACAATTTCAACACGCCGAATGTTGCATATATATGACCAGATTTATTTATCCAAGACGAGCCGCGCGGCGGCAAGCACTTGTACGATATACACTCCAGCACGATCATGCTATAGGGTCGCACCCCAATGACATCCTCACACCCTTGTAAAGGGACTTCATCAAAGTGTCCCGGGCATGTTGCAAAAACGCTTTTACAACATTGTTTATCTCTGGCCCGACTTATTTATTCATAGGCCAGCTGCTTGAGATGGATGTGGAAGCAGCTGTGATGTAACATGACGTACAGGGAAAAAATCACCTTGAATCATAACCTCCACTCTTCCTCATCGTCGGGAACAGTACTGGTGATACTTGATGCATGGCTTGTGTCCACGCACGACCTCCAAAAAGGTTCCCGATATCATCGTCCTCGCCTGAGTTTATCCGATGAACTCGTGTAGTGGTGTGAGTTCGCCCAAACAAGTTTCCTAGCTAGGTCATTTGACGGAGCAGAGGGTGCAAAATATAAGATCCGATTCTTGTCCGATTCAGAAGGACGCACAGGAATTTGTTGGGGCAACAATGAGGCATCCTATAATATCTCACCGGGATAGACGGCCTAGAACGATAAGGCATAGTGCTTGATTTCGAATGATAGTGAACGTTCTACTTTGTAAATTCAAGCAAGATTCAAGCCAAATTCAAGCTGAGGTTTCGGCGAATGTCCTGATTTTGACACTCCGACTCAACACCGACTCAGCTCCCCGCGACATTCAGACCTAGTCTCCGACTACAACTTTAGGCAAGACCAAATACTAGCATAAAGGAAGATGATAGCCGCCGCCTGCATCAATTCTTCAAGAATGCGCGATCAAATTTCCGGTACACGCACATGTACAGCCTCAATGCACGGCACGCCTTAGGTGAAACTTCTGTGATATCAAGTTGTACACAAAGGTTCTTGCTTTATGTGGAACCAACCCTGAGGCATGAGGCGTGAGGGTGAGCGCCCAGGAGTTTTCCTTATCAGAGTGGCCAAGTTTCACCGTCAGTGCCCAACTCTTCTCATTCCCATCGCATGGCTCAAAATTCGGCAGTAAAACGTCTTCCAACAGATCAATCCAGTCTGCAATATCTCATCAATCACGTATTTCTTCCCCTTAAGTTGCCGCAAAGGAGTGACCATTCCCTTGAGAATGAACTGGCCTTATCTCAGGCAGTATTTGATGCTGCTCTCGCCTTCAGTGACCAGCTGCCGTCTGATGAGTCGCTGCTTTGGACGAGCATCTTGAAAATGCTTCGCAATCTCAAAGATTCAATCAGATTTAGTGTGATGTCTGCAAAGGAAGTAGAATCTCAAATCAATGCTATGGACAACAAAGGTCTGCTACCTTCATCTCATTTGCATTTTTCCGTGTTGAGTATCAAATTTCAGATGTTCTTGTATACATGATTCGGGCACAAAACGCTGCGGTGGTCATGAGAAAACTCGAAGCCGAGACCATATTCGAATCATTCGAGGTCTCTCCTGACCCCACCGCAGTGATGGGCGCAAAGGGAAAGCTGATTTGTTCATATCCTGGACCTGCTGTCGCAGTCCCGGATACGATTACCAATGATGCTACCTTTTCTGCTGAGCTGGCGAATTTTCTCGTCCACATGGATCAAGATGTCCTTGACGCGGCGCCAACGAGGAAAAAAGCCAAATCCACTGTTGTCGAAGAGAGGGACACAACGCATCCTCGTTATATCACGGAACTCCTGACCGGTATTCTGCGTGGCCTCGGGAGCATTGCTGATGTTCCTCGCATCCGCAAGCGCATCGGAGATGATGTGCTGTGGGACAGCGCGAAATTGCCGTGGAGGCGGTCTTCAATTTGGCTCGTTATTCGTGTTGCCTTGCAGACGACTCTGGAGCGCAGTGCTCTCGGACGAGTGACTTACAAATCATTCATGCTGTTCTCCATGGCAAAGTTTACAACCCTTGCCCTCGACTCTGATGTGTCGAATGATATCCTGCATTTCATGTCGGCAAAGATCGCACGTCGTCTTTTCAAGCTTGGACCCTCTGCACCTCCGGAGTTGTTCCAGATGGTTGGTATGGTCACCAGTGATGTACGGAGTATCCTAGAAGAGAGATGGGAATCTGTTCAAGACGCGCAGCGGGCCTCACCTCCTTGGACTCCCGAGACCCTCCGGGTCTTGCGAGACACTCATCTTTCCTTGAACACAAGCCGAGAGTACATACGCCAAGCTTTGCAGGACCAGCATTCGTCCCCTGAACCACCCCCCTTCAAGCCCAGCCATCACGTGCGCGGGTCAATCAACGATTTCCTTGACGCTGAAGCGAGCTTCCTAATAGCCGCTCATGCTGCAGAACCGTCTCTTGCCCTCGCAGACTTCGAGACTGCCATTAGATCAGGGATCGATGACTGGGTAGCGCGGGTTTCTCCTCAGAGCATTGATTCGGCATGCATTTCGATTGAGGCGTGCACCTCTGCATATTCCTCGAGAGCGCTGGGCGCTTACAGTGGAAACCCAGAGAATTTGTCAATCATGCTCACCACACTTTTTGAGCTCTGGGTAGCCATCGATAAGATCGTTGTTGGACAAATACCACTCCTGGCGGAATATCCCCCCGAAATTCCATTGGCCCTTTGGGAGTGTCTATTAATCTGCAAACCTTCAGCTCTTGATCGCCTAAAGGATCTTAACGCCTACCTTCAAGCTCGCCATTGTGTCTCTAGTTGTCCGTCGGTGTTCTCGGCTACCATCGACGAGCAGTCATTCGCAGTGCGGTATTTTTGCCAGTCATCCGAGCTGCAGAGTTTGAAGCTCGCCATCGAAGCAGATGCTCAGGAGGAGCGGAAGAAGAAGTTGACTGAACTTGACGTCCTCAATGGGAGGTACGCCGAACTAGAGACGCGCGCAGAAAGTTTATCTCACACATATACCGTCAACACCCGCGGCAAGGAAACCCACAAGCTAAAACGCTGTGAAAAGTGTCTCCTAGAAAAGGAGATGAAGTCGATGACTATCGCAGTTCACGAGTGGCCGTTACCAGCCCGCGAAAAGGAGGCGATTTTGGTGGTGTTTGAGCTAGGATGCCCTGTCGCGTTCGACATGTGGAGATCTACGACATTCCATGTCCTCATTGATGTTTGCACTCCCAAAGACGAAATTTTACCCACTCACGCATTCATGACACTGCCGGACTATCGTGCGTTGCAGCGTTATCGCGATTGCCATCCGAGGCAGAGGCTGACATTGGCGTCGGACGCCAAACCTTTCATCAAATCCCATTACAGCAACACTCACATTCCCACAAAGGGTTCTGACACCGTCTGTGTAAACAACGGGCTTGTATTTCGGCCTTTCGATACAACCACAGGTGCATGGACCACCGACGTACTATTGCGCTGCGATTCTAGAAAGTTATGTACTTTCCTCCTTCCCAAGGGACCATACGGTGCTTTGCAGCCGTACATTGCGGGAACGTCCCATACATCGAACGAGATCATAGCCCACCAGGCAGATTGCCACAATGACATGACCATTCACGAATTCATCGCATTCGGAGCCTTGCGGAGTGGACCACGATTACAATGGATGAACGTGCTACGTGAACTTCATGCGAGGACGCTTGATTTTCGACGTGAAGAAGTCCATATACTGTTAGCGCAAGCTGTTTCACAGGTTGGCCCAATTTCGTCCGTCGTCGACCTTATTTGGCACGATGAGCTCAACAGCGCACTATTCATTCGTACACTACTTGGAGAGCTGGAGGATTTGATGGCGAGCGTCGAAGAAAATTGGTTGGAAGTTATCACGATCAGCACTATTGTCATGCTTGTGCGCCGCGCCTTGTCCTCGACACTGAAAGAGAGTCTCAAAAGGCGCGGATATTCACTCCTTCGGAGGATACGGGCTGCAACATTTGAGTTGTTGATGCAGCTTTCACAGAAAATGCAAGCCAGCCACGGCGAGATGGTCAGCCGGGATTTGCAAGGGCGCGTTCGTGATATGGCGGTCACCTGTCGAAGCACTTTTGATGTTGACGGAGACGTTTCACTGCTTCTGGCGTCGGACGATGACATCAAAGTGTTTGTGTATTGTGCGGTCATGATTTATGACAACACTCCAAGCCAACTGGACAATCTTTCACAACATTCAAAGCTACTGCTAGAACGGGACAAGAGATGTTGTCACGCATTAGAAACTGCGGTTCGTCAATATGCAGAGTTCCACAGGGAGGGCCTCGATTGTGCGATGGCAGAGATCTGGGGCAGCTACAGACGAGGAACTGCTTGGAGAGCACTACCGGCTCCAAATTCTCGCTGGCTTGTGTCGCAAACTGCGCCTTCGTGGTCTCAATCACCGCAAGCCGTGCACTTCAACTTGATAAGCGGATGCTTGCTTGTTGACGGAAAGCAGTTGGGTAGGCTCCCATCAATGATAGTGCAACATCCTACCTACCAATCAATTTTTGGTGATGTTAGTCTTTGAAGACGACTTTGTTGGGTTACGCTGACTTGTCAATTATAGCAAGTTCTGGACATCATTCCAGCTGGTATTCCTGGAATGGAGTATGCAACACGCGGAAATCTCTGTGACCATCAGGTTAGTCACCCTCGTTATTATCACACAGCAGCTAAAATAATGCACCCGCTTCCTACTGAAGGTGTTTTTCGCCCTCCGTGACTCTAACGATCTCATCGTCCGCGCAAAACATGTCAAACAAGGCTCACCTATCCTTCAGCTCATTCCGAGCCAAATATTTGAGCATGACTTACCGACGCCCTTGATAGCAGGCCGTACTCATTGGCTCAACCTGGGCACGAGCGAAATAGAGATTCGGCCAGCGGAAAATGCATGGAAGTCTTCGACTGAAAACTGGGTCTTGCGATTTGCTCCGCGGGACTCCTCGACGCTCCGGAATGCTAGCGGTGCCACTCTTATTGATATACGCAGCCTAACGTGGGACATGATCTCCAAGAAGATGCGTCCTCTGGAGGATACTCACTGTATCATGGTCACCTGTGATGAAGCATCAGGCGGTACTTTCTCCTCGCTGAAGGTTGACTTACCTCGATATGGTCTTGAATTTTTCGTCAACGAGGATGGGGAAATGCAGTCCCGTAACATGCGCAACATGGTCGTCGATACTACTCAGTCGACTGGAACGATGATGGGATTGAAAAACCAGCTCGTCTTGCGTCCGAAGTCGCAAATTGTAGACGAGCACCCGTGCATTGTCATCATCCCAGACGGTCGTATTTCATACTCCACCAATGGTCATCATGTCCATGTTACCATCACTCCTGAAGGTCCCCGAGCGACATTTCACTTGTACAGGGTTGACACAGATCTACGCTGTCTCACTGGGAGCGTAGGTTTAACGACTAAGCTCTATCAGGCGCTCCTCCACGCTATTACCAGTGACTGTCTCCCTGATCCCCTGACGGGTCGAACTGGGACAGAGGAGGCGCTGCATCTCTTGCATTCTGCAGCTTGTCTGTCCTTTACAAAGCTTCGCCCTCGTGATACAGATCTCTTGCGTGAGATTAGTTCACTGTCAACCAAACGCGTCTGGTATCCCGCTCATATTCAGAAAATGCAGACAGTTTCGTGGTCGTGCCTTTCGTCCCTTGCACAGCACCATGGTTTTCATCCAGTCGCGAAATCCATCATGGACTATGGCATCCAACTTTCTACTTTCGCAGAGGGGTCGTCAAACCTTCATCCTACCTTTGATCTTCCGCCGTTCACCAACCACCTTCTCGAGCGCGTGTCCATTCGTGCCTCGGCTGTCTATTCTGACCAGTTCTCTCTCCCGCTTCCGCTCGGCGACACAGATGTTATCTATGCTTCGCACGATGTTCCCGGCGAATTTTCGGAAGAGAGGGCATGCCAAACCGCCTTCATGGTGCACCAATGGCCAAGAAGACTTCCAGTGCAACGGAATCTCCTTAGCTTGTTGACCCAGTGGGCGGATGTCCATGGTATAGACGAACCGCTCAGCTTGCGATACTCCAAAAAATGGATTCAACCGAATTTTCCTGACATCTTCCTTTCTGCATACGACCGCTGCCGTAGTGCTACGACGAAGGACAAATTTCAGCTGATGTTCACCCTAGCTTCAGTATCGTACAGCTTGTTGGACGTGCATGCGCTCGTCCCGACGCTTCTAGCATTCGCCACAATTCCCGAAATTCGCTGCCTGGCAGGCCCACCGAAGTTCAGCTCCTATGACATCTCTGATGGCTTTATGCCTTCTAATGCGAAATTGAATAAACTCATCGGTTCTTGTATCAAAGGTTATAAAATCAGCGAGGAGAGCAACTTAGCTGCAAGGCCCGGGGAAAAAGAAAAGGCTCTCAGGATGCGTCGCTTAGCAGCTTTCGAGGACAGGTGTAGCTCTGAGAAGCAAGTCATTCTCAGCAAAGTTTGCGCTGCTTGGCCGTGCGAAGACCTTCCAACGCTCGATACGCTGCAAACAAGCCACTTCAATCTCAAGCAATTGTCGAAGAAACTTTGTCCAGTGTTTCGTAGTTGTTGGGCAAACCATTGTTTGAAGGAGCACTTAGATGTCCAGCAATTGACCCTCAACCGATTCTACGTTCCCAATCCTCCTCGGAAACAACCCTCACAATATAATCCTAATTCGAATCTTGGGGTTGTTGCTTCACCAACCTCGTCTGTTGATGCCCTGCACCTTTTTGACAGGAATCCGCCTGTTATAAGCACGCTCAGGTCTTCCCAAGTTCTGCCCAATGCCACTCGAAGAGATTTGGTGTCTACAGATTCCGGTGTCACAACGAGGTTGCAACAGCTGATCGACGACTTTCGCGCACGGGGAAGCAATCAGTTCCACCAGAACTATGCTAATGATTTAGACCGGAGTAGGTCAACCCTCTCCGAAGAAAAGCTCGTTGCCCCGCCGGATCCCACAGTGTACACTACTGAATTACTGCTTGAGCACCATTCTCTGCATAGCCAGAGATTCCGAGATTCACTCACCACTGTCGTACACGCCCTCTCCCCAGCTTCTGCCGCTGAGAAAGCTTTGTTCAATGCTGGGCTGTGGCCCCGAGTTACACCAAACTTCCTCCTCGCCTGCATGGCCTCTGCATCAGGAAATCGTTTGAGGAAGGCTTGGCGTACGACTCTCGTCCACCTGTCGCAGATGCTTTTGCACCTACAACGCTCGCGAAGGCTGCTCGTCTTTGCTGTCAACAAGAATTGGGTTGAGTTCTTCAAGGAATTAGAGAACGAAGGATGCGAGGGGTTTAATCCCGAGGTGTACCCTGATTGGCTTTTGATACAGGTATGCTGTAAAGAAATCAATCGTCAATGACTACTGATAATAGTGTCCTCAGATTGAGGGTCAGTTCCTGGCACGGTCTGTCCAAGTGAAGGTTGCGCTGGAGATGATGTCGCCATCCACGGGAGGAAATACTTCTCTCCAGCTGAACATGGGCGAAGGCAAATCCTATGTCATTGTTCCCCTCGCAGCAGCCGCACTTTCCGATGGCCAAAAACTAGTTCGAGTAATCGTACTAAAGTCGTTATCTTCTCAAATGTTCCAGCTCCTGGTTGAACGTCTAAGCGGCCTTGCGCAGAGGCGCATTTTCTATATCCCATTCTCCCGCACGTCCTCTATCAACTCATTGCAGGTGAAAATGTATCGTGATTTGATGCAAAAATGCATGGACACCAAGGGCATTTTGGTCGTGCAACCGGACCAGATTCTATCGTTCCAGTTGATGGCTGTTGATCGCCAGCTGTCCCCTCAGAATGGTGCTGCACAAGACATGCTGCGGACTCAGCTGTGGCTCGACGATCACACACGCGACATCCTGGACGAAAGTGATGAAATTCTCCACGTCCGCTACCAGCTGGTGTACACTGTCGGTCTCCAAAATTCGCTCCAAGGTCATCCCGAAAGGTGGACGACCACACAACAAGTGCTTAGTCTTGTCGCAAAGCACGCCACTCGGCTTGTGAGCGAATTCCCCTCTCATACAGAAGTGTGCACTCGGGAGCATGGAGGGTTCCCCTTCGTTCGAGTTCTACACCCGGCAGCAGGTGACGCTTTGGTTCAATGGATCGCGGAGGATGTCATCATTGGGGCACTTCAAGATATCAGCTTCGATCAGGCATCTCTCCACGTAAAAGAAGCCGTCCGCCAGTTCATCACAACTGAGAAGATATTCAAAACTTGTATCGACTTAGTGGAGAAACACTATAGACACACCACCATCTGGCCCGGCCTTCTAGTCTTGCGTGGACTGCTGGCATGTGGAATCTTGGTTTATGCCCTCAAAGAACGTCGCTGGCGCGTGGATTATGGCCTCCCCCCAAAACGAACTATGTTAGCCGTTCCGTTCCGCGCTAAAGACATGCCCTCGCTGCGGGCAGAGTTTGGCCATCCAGACGTGGCTATCACCCTCACGTGCCTGTCATATTACTATGCACGTCTCACGCTCCAGCAGCTGATGTTGTGCTTTGAGCTCCTGCTGAAGCAGGATAATCCCGCCCTCGAGTATGAATCCTGGGTGGCTGGAATTCAGTCCATCCCAGAAAGTTTGCGGCACCTTAGCGGAATCAATACAAAATCTGCGGAGCAACTCCACGACCTTCAGCAACTGTTCGAATTCAACAAGGCAGTCATTGATTTCTACTTGTCTCGAGTAGTTTTCCCCAAGGAAGCGAAGGCATTCCCGCATAAGCTCACTTGCTCCGGGTGGGATCTCGCTCAAAAGAAGAGACATTTTACAACTGGCTTTTCCGGTACCAACGACAATCGTTATCTACTGCCAAGCTCGATCGTGCAGCATGACCTTGATTACCAGCGCAGCACAAATGCCCGAGTCCTAGCATTCCTTTTGCGCCCGGAAAATAACTCCTACACATGCATTCCGCCCGGCCAAAATGTGCAGGATTTCATCGATGCCCTTGTCGCGCAAACCCCCGAGATCCGCGTGCTCCTCGATGTGGGTGCGCAGATGCTGGAATTGCGAAATCAACAATTGGCTGAAGCATGGCTTCGAGTCAAGCACGACGCCCAAGCTGCAGTTTTCGTGAATGACGACGATGAAATTGTTGTTGTCAGCCGGGATGGGACAGTAGAGCCTCTTGTGTCATCCCCCTTTGCCCAGCAGCTTGACCAATGCGTGATATATCTGGATGACGCACACACTAGAGGAACAGATGTCAAACTGCCTTCCAATTTCCGAGCTGCTGTCACGCTTGGCCCCAAAGTCACGAAAGACCGTCTAGCGCAAGGTTCGTGAATTCAGAGTTCATGCAAATCAGGTTTGATAATCATCAATGACACAGGATGCATGCGAATGCGGAAGCTGGGCAATGGACAATCAGTAATGTTCTTTGCTCCGACTGAAGTTGACCGGAGCATTCGTTCGGCGACCCAGAAAGCTTACTTCGACTATATCGATGTGGCAGATATCCTGCACTGGGCAATGCTCGAAACCTGTCTTGACATTCAGATGCGTGCATCGCACTGGGTTCAGCAGGGATCAGATTTCAAAATACGGCATTTCGCATGGACTCAATTCTCACGTGCCCGTACTTCAATCTTGACCTTGAAGATAGCCTGGTTGCAGCCAGAGGAGCGTTCATTGGAGGATATGTACGCACCACGCGGATCTTCACTGGTATCCCATGTTTGTCACCCAGACATTCAAAGGAAGTGCGAGGAGCTCGGATTTCTGAATCTATCGGCCACCGAAAGGAACCTGGATGAGGAACAAGAAAGGGAGGTAGTCCATGAGGTCGAGAGAGAACGTCAAGTGGAAAGACCGTCCAGGGTGGAACCTGCAGCCCAGGCCCTGCATGTGGACGTTCGTCGGTTCGTCAAGACGGGCCGAGTTCCCAAGGGGTCTTCTGCATTCATTCCAGCGCTATCCTGCCTTGTCAACACTACTGCTGCATTTCACGAGCGTTACCGGTGGGCACCCAACCTTTTAGTCACCCACGACTTCGCTCGCACGGTGGGTCTCTCTGCTGCACAGAAAGCGGATGATTATCTGCGGCCTGTCAATTGGATCGTATCCAGTAACGTTGGAGTGCTGGTAGTCATGAGCCCGAACGAAGTGGACACACTACTGCCTCATATCCGCACAAGCAATGTAGTTCACTTGTGCGTCTACACTCCTCGCACCACAAAGACGATGCAGGCGTGTGATGACCTTCGCCTCTACGGTGTTCCTTCGGTACCGAAGCGGACATCGTCGGAATCGCTGATTTGCCAGCTCAACCTTTTTGCTGGCCAGCTCTATTTCTCCAGTTACGAGATGTATCTCCACACTTGCAGTTTCTTAGGGCTCAACGCACCGGATCTAGGGGACGAGGAGTTGATAGCCAACAGCGACGGGTTCATCAGCGAGGAGAATCGCCCTTCTGCGAGAGCATCGTGCTCGTTCAAGCAATCCCAGCTTCCTCCCCTGAAGGAGTTGTTTGGAATGAGGAGGAAGGGCATAGGTTATCTGCCAACTCACCTCGGAAAGATGCTCAATGGCCGCATTCTGACTGAAGAGGATTTTATCGACTGAGCGCCGGGTCTGTTTAGCGTAAGTTTTAGCGCCTTTCTGCCAGGGATCTGACTGATTGTACTGGCCAACAGTGACTGTATCAACGCTAGCCTTGATCATGATGTAATGATGTAAGATTGTGACGTTCTTCGTAAATGTATTTGTAGTCGAATTCGTGGCCGAATCTGAAACGTTATTAGGTCTTGTTGCTTGTAGACGTCCATGTCAATCGGAATGCTTGGAGATTCTCATTCTGCCGTGCAGTTGAAAGACAAATCTGCCTGATACATTAGCGGTGGCCGCATGTTCATTCATACAGTTCTTCGATCAGTCATTACTCGTACAATACAGCCAGTGCCAGCAACTTCCGTCAGCTGTAAATTTGTCAGGAAGTTTATGTATGAAGCAAGCTCCAGACGCACCTTTTCATGCCACCCCAAGAGCACGCTTCCACTCACATCACCCCAGCCTGGCATCCCCATACCCTTGTAAAGGTACTTCATCAAAGTGTCCTGAGCATCCTGAGAGAGCGCTTTCACGACATTGTTTATCTCTGACGATTTCGTGCTATTCAATATCGAAACAACAGTCTGCAATGTCAGGTTCTTGCGCAAATGTCAGCGTACGGGTGCAGCGTCATGCAACAATAGAATCACCTTAGCATCCTCGACGTTTGGCCCGTAAGGTGTGCTGTCCAGCGCGATGCCCAGGGCCCCTGGTATGTCTCCCCTGCGCAGATAAGTAGTGCTTATGTTAGATTATGCTGCAAAGTAGTGAGATGTGACTGTACTTGGCTAATGAGCTCCGGACTGCTGCCTGCTTCTGTTTCGCATCGCTCAAGACCTGAGCGGGATCGCGTGGATCTGGTTCGCAAAGTTCGCTCTCTAGTAGGACATCCTCGTCATAGGCATCGATGTCGATCTTTCTAAAAGACATGGTCGTTGGAGTGAAATGACCAGGAAGGTGCTGCGTTTCAGTGATTGTCGAAAGTCACATGTCTAATTATAGCGAAAGTGGTGGCACCAGCGACATCCTGATTCCTGACTTGAACATGAATTCTTCACACCAAATGATTATACACTTGTAGTCAACACTCATGTAGATGTCCTCCCAAAAGCTCGTAACGAAGAATGGACACAACCAAAAAGAAAAGTCGAACTTCACCCAGAGGAACCCTAAGCCCGCCTATCCAAGTACCCCTTGGGTAGACATACTATAAGCAAAATCACATTAACGCAGTCAATGATTTAGTGAATCAACAGCTAAATTGCTTGTCAATCCACCAAATGGAGATCATTCGAGGCCACCGCCCAGAATCGGAGCAACTGCATCCCAAGCGGGGGTCACCTTTAAGTGGAAGACACATCCAACAGACTATCAAAAGGCGAAATGTTCGGCCCTTGCACACTGCTCGCTGAAGGCGATGGCGTCAGATATGTCGATGCCGGAGGACGGGGACTGTTGGATTGTGATTTGGTAGAGTTGCGGCTAGGCAGGGGGGGGGCAGCTGTGTTAGTCGGTCGACGTGACGGAAGAGGTGGAGGAGGGCGCTTGATTGCAAAGCTTTTCTCAGAGGTAGGTCGGCTGCTTGAGATGGAAGGTGGGAGAAGTTGTGGAGATGCGTAACGTGGGTTATAGAACACCTCTTCGTCAATGATTTTCGCCGTCACCAACCTCGACTCCTCCTCATCTTCTGGAACGGTACTTGTCATACTCTCTGCATCGAAGCCATGGTCAAACCTTGCAGATGATGGATGGCTTGTGTCCATAATACGACCTCCGAGAAGGTAACCAATGTCGTCCTCGCTGTCCTCGCTCGCGGCAGCATGATGCAGGTTGTCTTCAGATGACTGCGCCGAGCTTTGATATGACGAAGACGACAATGAGATGGTTTCCGTATACGTAGTGGGGAACAGCCCCTTCCGACCGTTTGATAAAACACCAAGCCACCAGTCATCCAGGACTTCATGGATGACAGTGATTTCATCACCAGCTTTGAAGGTGAGTTCATCCGACGAACCCGTAAAGTCATGTAACGCCCGGACAAGTTTTCGTGAATATTGGGAAGGCGGCTTCATGATTTGAGTCGACATCTTGGGGGACCCATTGAGTAGCTCTTTCGCCTTCGAGCTAGGTGATTTCCGAGAAAAGGACCGAGAACTTGGAGGACGAGGAGAGTCGACGATGGGCGTCTCAGGATCGTCACCGTTTGTGAGGGTTGCAAAGTTATCTCTGTCTTTCTTCCCTCTTCCAGTCATCGAGCTCATAGCGCTCGATGCCCAACCAGTAACGTTCATCTTCTTGCCTGACTTGTCTCCCTTGGGAGTTTCAGGGGCACCAGATGTAACATCACTGTCAGCACGCTTCCGTGTAGCATTGCTATCGGAGCGTTTACGAGATGTCCGCGACGATGGTCGTGAGATAGTCTTGTTCCCTGCGTCCGACTTCCGGCGGGTAGGCATAGGGGGCGAACGATGCTCGTCAGAAATGTCGGAGGAAGCTACTGCACCAGACGCATTGGAAATCGTGGACCCCTTGGGACGCACATAACGCAATTTATCATCTTCTGTAGCGCGTGAAGAGACATGGTGAAAGCTCTTGCGTCGAGTCTCCAACTTTGCCATAGTGGACCTGAATATCTTGGGGGTCAGATGCTATAACCGTGCTGGCTGGAAAGAACATACTCGTCACACCAGTTTGCTTTCACATCCTGCAACACTTCGTAGTACTGCTTGACAAAATTGAGCTTAAGATCCAAAAATAACGTTAACTCTCGAAGCTGTTGTATCTCGTTGTCCTGAATAGCCTGCATTCGGGAGCGCACATCTTCAGAAGTTTCTTCGCTGTGCCCTTGTCAGCAAGTTGATGACTGATGTTGACGTGCTACTCACTAACGTAGACGGCTGCGTTGGAGCTCGTCCTCAGCTTCCCGCCTCTCCTTTTCTTTTTCCTTCTTGCTGCCTTTGACCTTCTCTAGCTTGGTGATAGCAGCGTCGTAGCTCAGCCTGTTAAACCTAGAGTCAGCCACTTCACGACGGCGAGAGCACTCGGTTGCCATGCCTTCTGCTCTCCAACTTCTTCCGCTGGTGTTCATAGTCCTTGATGTCTTGAACGAAGTTTTGGCAAGAGGTGATAAAGGTATCTTGAAAAGTGAGGGCGAACGCCTCCTGCAGGGTAGCAGCCTTGCAATGAGCCCTACCCAATTTTACCAGTGACGTCCCTGGACATATCAATCAAGGGAAAGCAGATTGACAAAAGAGTCTCAGCGTACCGAAAGCAGAATCATCTCCAAATTCTTCCCCATGGGAGATCATCACGATTCCCAATGCATCCAGTGGCATGAGTTTCTCCGTCTCTTGTGCAACAGTTGATTCCTTCTTTTTCGAAAGCACATGCTGGTAATCTTCTGCAGCTGCCTGCAGCCTTATCGCGTACGTTGTCAATTGGTTCTATGCCTTTGTGCGCAAAGTGAATCGACGCACTTCAGGATCCCTTCTTTTCGGAGCTCGATGTCCTGCTCGATGTCCTTGAACTCCTCCGCGACGATAGTCTTATCTCGTGATGATATTTTCTCACCAGCCCACTGTTCAGTGCAACAGCGCTTGAGTAGAAAGGCCACGTGGTATAGGTCGGCGACTAACCTGCCTCAACTTGCCGAGCTGTGACATGAAGCACCTTCATAACTAGCACGAAAGCAATTAATAAAGGACTTGCCTGTCTACTGGCCATGACAGTAAGAATGAAAGAAGCGTGACCAGACAGCGCTCTATTGTAGTCTTTATCGCATGCTCATTTCGGGTGGTCTGACTTCGGAGTCAAAAAAATATAAGGTGAGCACAGAGCAGTGCCACTGCTTGGGCGCAGCATGGAATCGGAAACGAAAGCTCTTGGCGAAATACACACACGTAAGTAGAACAATGCAACAATTAGAATAAGATAAGACTGCAGAGCAACGCAGACAAAGCAAGGAACTGTAGTTCTATAACTTTCATTGCATGCCTCGAGATGCCAGACGCATTCCTTCATGCACAGCAACAGCTTCCTCAACCCAGGGTAGCCTGAAGAAATCGCTCCTACGCAACTCCTCAGCACGGATAGTAGCACCCTCGCTCGGTCCACTCCCGAGCACACTTTCCAAGTCGCGAGACTGTGACGCCAGCCATGTCTGTATGAAATTAGCTGGGTCATTGGCGAAACTTTGAAGGAATTGCCGCTTCGTGTGCGAGTTGTGTAGTGATTGAGATAACAGCGCAATCTACATTTTTGGGCGTTTTAGAACAGGTCGGATCAGAGGGAGTGCACGTCTTACCTCATCATCCAACTTGGTGAGATCGGACATGCTATCTTTACTTGATTGTACCGTCACCATGATGCGGTTCTTCAAACTCGTGTCCTCCATCTTGACTTCAATATCCCACGCAGAAGGGCGCTCCGGGGGTACCTGTGCTGGGTTGAAGGAGTAGTGGATGACTACAGGGTCTGGAGGCATCAAATATCGATTGACAAGCTCTGGTAGTTGGTGGAACATGATGCCTTCTCCGCCAAAGATCTGCAGACGTATGATTAATACAATAGCGAAGATTTAACAAAATCAACGTACTGGTCTCAAATAATCGTCGGCACGTATTCTTCGGCGATCTGTTTTATCTTGCAGGCCGTGTATTTTGATATAATTCCACATAGCCTGAATGATGCCGACGCGACTCTCCTCTTTAATGCCCAAGACATTACCTGAGATGTGTCGTCAAGTGAAGGACTCGAGTCGAGAGAGATGCATGAGACATACCGAGGTCTGGAGCTACTTTATACTGCTCTGGTGTCTGCTCGAGATATATTATGAGGCGTACTTTCGTCGGCTGGTCTCCGGTTCGCCTTATAGTGAACCCATCGAGAGGCTGCTGAATGGCCGGACCTCGAGGCCACTGAAACGACAAATAAGAACAAGACAACTTCGTATCAACCAAAATCGCATACCTCGACAACATTTCCGTCTGGATACAAAATTGGGTCACGGTCAAGCTCAACAATCATTCGTTTGATGAGAGTTGAGAACTTCCGAGGAGGGACCCTGTCTCGCGCGCGTTGATTTGGAAGCTTCATGGGCGTTAAAGCAAAGCATTGATCGTCGCTGAAATAGACGTGCCTCTAGTAGTCGTCCTTCAACCTTCAGGGACCATGCTGGAATTCCCTGCCCCGTCTCGAAGTTTACCCCCTCAGCACCAGCTTCACCGTTTTGCCACGTCTGCCCGGAAACCGTATGGCTTAAGAATAGCCGCAACGTACGCGCAGTCTAATCGTCTGTTTAATAGACCAATATTAGGCAGTAGGCATGCAAAACATACAGTCGGATTGCGCGCCAATGCGTCTTGCACTTCCACTTTTTTCCGGTTCATCGTCCAGTCAAGCTTCTTTTCCATCTCTAGCAAGCTTTGGTACATTTGTGAGTCCTCAGCGAACTCTGGGAGTTGCGCAAGAGCATTGGGAACGGATTTGTCTGTAATTTTGCGTCTCCTAGGGATACTTCAGTAGGTTCAGAATTTAGATTTGTAGATAGCGTACTTTGCAGCTTTCACCCCGTCCATTTTGATAGCCTGTCCCACAGCGTAGGAGATGATCTAGCACAGGTAATAATTTGGCGAACAACGGTTTGCTTATGTAATAGTCTACTGCATTTTTGTCTCCTGCGAGTCAACCACCTGGGTTGCCCAATAACTTGTCGGAGTCAGTGCGATATCGAGCGCAATCAAATGGTATGAGTGAGCAATGTTTGACGTTAATTCTATCCTGCTCGTCAAACTCAGTGCGCGTCATACAAAGCTCGAACATCCACCATACGGACCGCATGCACAAACCCTGAGTCTTTACTCCGAACCACAACCATCTGTCTATCCGACCCTCAAACATGCGAAATGTCCTTGTCGTCGACGTATTTCACCTTGCTACTGGAGCACGCGAACTTGTGCAAGAATGTGAACGGTCAGCTTATAAAAAAACTATATAACGGCGTCGGCGAGTCCTCGGTGGGATGTCAAGACAGGCGAGCTGCTCGAAACACATAACAGCATGCGGTTTTGTGTTCTAGTTCAAGTCCTATCAATGTCCAATAACATAATAGGGGAGCACACGGTAGGCCACTAGTAACCATGATGTCGGCCAGCATCACTGCCCCCCGCCTCAGAGGTAAGTCGGCTGCAATCTTCACACCTTTTAACTGAAAGCCTTCGCAGAGCCAAGGGGTCACGCCACGTGTGTAATATATTTTTCCGACTATGACAAGCTTCCCGCTGGTGATATCAGATAATGTGTACTATGATGTCGCCATATTGATGCTGTTGGGGCCATCGGATGTCAAAAGCTCTTCCAAAATTATGCTGAAAACACCATGTTCTCTGTCTCATCATGGATATTGCAACGATGTCCTTCCCGTCCAGAGCTTTGAGCAATGTCTACGTTCATTTTTTGCAGCACAAAGCGACTCTTGTCGTTTATGATCTTTCCCTACCGCGGGGCAGAATGCATGGTAAACCGAATCTCAATTGACATGCCACAACTACATCCAAGACATAAGTATAATTTCAATGAAGTAAGGAAATTTATTCCGGTATTCTATTCAATCCCTCGTTTATCAATAACAGTCCGGTAACTCGCACTTTCAAACCTCGCCTCGACTACGCGCTTCTGCGAGACTCAACTCAATCGCAAACTTCATATCATCGTCCATTTCATCTAAATCCAGCGCCCCCCGGAGCTCTTCCTCGGATCGAACGTCCATGCTTGCAGAAGAAAGCGAGGCACTACATGTGCGCAAGATAGGTGTGTCAACATGCGGGGATGAGGATCCATGGGATGAAGGCGGCGAGCGTAAGGGCGTGCTCCACGCAGAACGATTGTGCTCTAGGCTGCTGGTCGACGAGGAAATGCTGGAGCTGATCGAGGGAAAGTGTTCGAAAGAGGACGGCGTGCCGCGAGCCACTTCAGGCAAAAGCCCTGTACTCGTCGAAGAACTTGGCAGCGACGTAGGTATCCTGAGTGGACTGATAGTAACGCCGGCTTCCATAGGTTCTGGCACAAAGACAGGAGACACCTGTACTTTCTCATTCGTCACGGGGCGGGCGGCGCGTGGAAAGGCGCGGGAATGATGGTCGTCAAGAGAACTGGAAGAAGAGTAATTTAAGGCAGGTAACGCGGAACCATGCGTTACTGAAGAACGTGAAGTGACTGGCAAGAACGTTTCGTCTTCGAAGTCCCCCTCGAAGATACCTTCATCGATGGTATGGGAAAGTTTGCGGTGCTCTTCTTCCTCGCGGGAGAGCATCAAAACATATTCTATGGCCTCTAACTCCGACAGTCCGAGCACGTTTAGAGTGGAATGGTGCTCGCGTTCTCGCCCCATGGTGTGCCGCATATAAGCGTTCTCGTGTTCCAGATCACGTTTGGATTCATTAATATCCTTGTGCAGATCGTATCGCTCTGCAATGTTTCATCAGTTGAGAATCTACACGGACTAAAACATACATACGCTGTCCCTTAGAAATTGGGTTCTTCTTCGCGCGAGCATATTTGATCTTGTGTGGAGCATCGCCGCTATGCACTTGTCCCACCTTCCACGACATCACCCTGTTGTTAGCGATGATAACCAAAAGCTCCTTTTTAATCACAATCTTGCTGACACCTCCAACTTCGCGGCCAGGTACAGTACGAGGAAGAGGGGACGAAAAGAGCCTAAGAGGCTCCAGGGTGAGCGCGTCCCATACCGTCGCTGTCCCGCGTGCAGAGCCGGTGACAAGCACAATCGAGCTACAAGCAAGCGCAGTCACGGCACCATCTTCGTGAGCCTCGAATCTGCGGGCAGGTACGACGGAAGAAGATGTTTTGGGGGTATCCCAATCGTAAATGCCAACAAAACCCAGCAGATCACCAGTGATGATAACACTGCAATCCTCTGACTGAGCTGCAAAGACAGGTTCGACGATGGAGTTGCATCCGAATGAAGCATCACCAAATGCGGTAGTTTCGTATTTGCCAAATGTAAGGTCAACTATGACTCGATAGAAGAACGGGTGATCGGAGTACCCAATGAGTAGTGCTGCCGTTGCCTGTGAATGACGACGGACACACAGCACAGTTGGCTGGGGTTTGGATATGACTGCGTCCTGGGGAGATGATTGCTCTTTGGAGATAGGCCACATGATGCGATGTTGGACAAACGACGCTGGGCTGGAAAAGTCGTCTGAATGGACTTGTCCGGGTGATGTCCACAAGAGAATGTCTCCACTATTCAAAGCACCAACGATCATGCCATCTGCAAGATCAGAAGACACCTTAAGGAACGGGTCCGCTACAAGCGATTGAAGCTGCTTGTCGCTAGACCACAAGCATACAACCGTCTTGGTATCCCACAACTTGACTTGCCCGTCGGCACCTCCGGATACAAATCGGCTAACAACAGGATCCAACGCGATCTCGTTCACAATGCCGTCGTGGTGATCCTCGACTTTGCATCTAACGAGCTTTGATGAGGCACGCCCCGGATCCATGACCCGAGAAGCCGTAGTCACCGCCACTTCCCCATTGCGCTTCCCCCAGAAAGCCCTGGCTGTGCCACCATCAGAAGTGAGACTGCAGGCAGAGACGTTGGGTGTGAATTCAACATTGGGATTTCCTATACCCAATCCTGTTCCGGCAGCATCGAGGTACCCCTTGAGAACTTTGCCGCTGAGCGGAAGTGAGCGAGCCACTACTCCGTATTGAATCGAAGATGTGAGGAGACCAGACTCGGACATCAGATGGACGCTGTCGATGGTAGTGTCTTGAGGGGAATGAGTAATCGTCCCATTGCGCGAACGTTCCCAGCGCCTGACACAAAAGATAAGAGCAGATCTGAATACGAAACACATCCACGAACCTCCTCAAGTAATGTCTCATGATAAACTCCCTGCGCCAAGTGCGTTCTGACTTCCTCAGTAAGAGAATCCTCTCATTCTCGAGATCATTCTCAGGACCAATCCCAACAAATTGATTGATGAAAGCCCGATACCAAGTATTGTCATCATTTATGTGTTCATTGAGACGTCGGTTTGTCCTGGAGAGTGCAAGGAGCGACGGAGGAGAAAGGAAGGAAGTGATGTGAGTAAGAGACTCGGCGGGGAGGTCGAGAAGACTGGTGCTTTGAACGACTCCATGGTGTGATTCTTGATAAGAGCAGGTTAGAGTTGGTTTGGATATCAATTTGTCTTTTCGGGATGTGTCTATAAACCTTGTGGGCATATAATAACAAGGAGAGTCGAATAGCTTTGGTTGCGGCCGCAGAACGTCGAAGGCTCCGTCTGCGATGTGGTAGAAGGTCAACTATCAAACTGACTAATTTCCCAGTCAAGAGGATGATCATGTGATCATGAACGGTGTCGGTCCTCGGACACTGCCAGCGAACTTGTCAAGGGTTCTCTCTTGGTTCTCTCGAGTTCTAGCTAGGATGCCTCATTGTGATTAAAAAAAATCCTGTGCGTCCTTCTGCATCGGATCTTGCGTATAAATATGTTTTACACCCTCTTCTCCGTCAAATCCATGACTGATTAGCTAGTAGGAAACTTGTTTGGGCGTAAGTAGTACTTGGGGCGTTACTACATCACTCTCAACGTACGGGTTCATCGGATTATCTCACATCTAAAGCTAGTGACAAAAATACTTTCTGGTTGGTGGCTCGACAATCACTGCAGACGACGGTCGAAAGGGACTGTTTCCTGCCATCTATACAGAAACCATTATCGCCGTCGTTTTATCAAGATTCGATGCACTGCATCGTGCTGCCCTGAGCGACTCGGAGGATGCGTTTACGATACCAGGAACATTCGAAGGTCATGCTATGGACACAAGAGATGCATCAAGCGATTGACCAAGCAACAAGCTATAGCATTTCAGATTCGAACACGAATATATTTAGGGAGAAAGTCGCGATGCAACAACGATCACGGGTTGGTTTTGATGCATCTGTTGACCAGAACTGCAGTCAGTCAGGTCCCTGGCAGAACTTCAGGGGCTAAATCTTACGCTAAATAGACCCAGAACTAAAGTCGAGAAAATCCTCCTCAGTCAGAATTCGGCCATTGAGCATCTTTCCGAGATGAGTTGGAGAATACCTCACGCCTTTCCTCCTCATTCCGAACAACTCCTTCAGTGGAGGAAGCTGGGATCGCTTGAACGAGCACGATGCTCTCGCAGAAGGGCGATTCTCCTCCCTGATGAACCCGTCGCTGTCGGCTATCAACTCCTTGTCCCCTAGATCCGGTGCGTTGAGCCCTAAGAAACTGCAAGTGCGGATATACATTTCATAACTGGAGAAATAGAGTTGGCCGGCAAAAAGGTTGAGCTGGCAAATCAGCGATTCCGATGGTGTCAGCTGTGGTGCCGAAGGAACACAGTAGAGGCGAAGGTCATCACACGCCTGCATCGTTTGTGTGGTGCGAGGAGTATAAACGCACAAGTGAACTACTTTGCTTTTGCGGATACGAGGCAGTAGTGTGTTCACTTCGTTCGGGCTCATGACTACTAGCACTCCGATGCTACTGGATACGATCCAATTGACGGGCCGGAGATAATCTTCTGCGTTCTGTACAAGAGAGAGGCCCACTGTGCGAGCGAAGTCATGGGTGACAAAGAGGTTGCGTGCCCACTGATCACGTTCGTGAAATGCAGCAGTAGTGTTGGCAAGGCAGGATAGCGCTGGAATGAATGCAGAAGACCCCTTGGGAACTCGGCCTGTCCTGACGAATCGACGAACGTCCTCATGCAGGTCTTGAGCTGCAGGTTTTACCCTGGGCGGTCTTTGAACTTGACGTTCTCTCTCTACCTCGTGGACTACCTCCCTTTCTTGTTCCTCATCCATGCTTCTGTCGGGTCCTGCTACAACTCCGAGCTCCTCGTACTTCCTTTGAATGTCTGGATCGCAAACCTGGGATGCTTGTGAATAACTGCGTGGTGCGTACATATCCTCTAATGAACGCTCCTCCGGCTGCAACCAGGCTGTCTTCAGGGTAGGAACCGAAGTAGTGGGCGCGCGCGAAAATTCAGTCCATGCGGAATGTCGTGTCTTAAAATCCGTTCCTTGTTGAGCCCAGTGGAATGCACGCATCTGGATATCAATACAGGTTTCGAGCATAGCCCAGTGCAGGATGTCTGCCACATCGACACCATCGGTATCAACTTCCTGAGTCGCCGAACGAATGCTCCGGTCAACTTCTGTCGGAGCGAAGAACATAACTGACTGCCCATTGCCCAGCTTCCGCATTCGCATGCATCCTGTGTCATTGGTTATCAGCAGAAATATTACACATGAACTCTGTAATCACAAACCTTGCGTCAGGCGGTTTTTTGTGACTTTGGGACCAAGCGTGACAGCAGCTCGGAAACCGGAAGGCAGCTTGACATCCGTTCCTCTAGTGTGCGCGTCGTCCAGATATATCACGCACTGGTCAAGCTGTTGGGCAAAGGGGGATGACACAAGAGGCTCTACTGTCCCATCCCGACTGACAACAACAAGTTCGTCGTCGTCATTCACAAAGACTGCAGCTTGGGCATCGCGCTTCGCTCGAAGCCATGCTTCGGCCAATTCTTACCACCATTGCGTCCTCTTCACGTTCTGGTAGCGGCCACTCGTGAACTGTAATTGTAATGGATTGCATTTGCGTCACCACGTCGCACAATTGGCATTGTTTCTTGTGGTAATCCCAGCCGCGGGAGCTGACACCGTATTCGTGCGATAAGCTTTCTGCGCGCTTCTCTAAGTCACTGTACCTCTTGTTGAGGGTCCGAAGCTCAGCCAACTTCTTCGTCCGCTGTATCTCGCCATCCTCCTCGATGAGGGCCTTCAAATTCTGTAGCTCTGGTGACTGGTAAAAATATTGCGCCGCGAACGACTTGTCATCGTTCGTAACCCAGAACACCGACAGACGGCTGGAAGCATGGCAGTGACGAGCCTTCAGGTAGGCGTGCAATTTCTTCAAACGACCAAGTGTAGAAGCTTTGCGGATTCAAAGACACTCCCAAAGTACTCTGCCAGGAGTGGGATTTGGCGAACAACGATCTTATCCATGGCTACCCAGAGCTCGAAAAGTGTGAGAAGCATGATCGACAAATTCTCCGGGTTTCCACTGTAAGCCTCCAATGCTCTCGAGGAGTATGCAGAGGCGCACGCCTCAATCGAGACGCATGCAGAATCGATGCTCTGAAGTGACACACACGCTACCCAGTCATCAATCCCTGACCCAATGGCAGTCTCAAAGTCTGCGAGGGCAAGAAATGGTTCTTCATCATGAGCGGCTATCAGGAAGCTCGCATCAGCGTCAAGGAAATCGTCGATTGACCCGCGCACGTGGTGGCAGGGATTGAATGAGGTTGTTTGACGAGACGAATGCTGGTTCTGTAAAGCTTGGCGTATGTACTCTCGGCTTGTGTTCAAGGAGAGATGGGTATCCCGCAAAACCCGGAGGTTCTCGGGAGCCCAAGGAAGCGAGGCCTGCTGCGCATTTTGAACAGATGACCATCTTTCCTCCATGATAATCCGTACATCCCTGGTGACCATGCTCGCCATCTGCAATAACTCCGGAGAAGCAGAGGATCCAAGCTTGAAAAGACGGCGTGCGATCTTTGTCGACATGAAGTGTAAGATGTCATTCGAAAAGTCATCTTCAACGACAAGGGTCGTGAGCCTCGCCATGAAGAACAGCATGAACGATTTATACGTCGTTCGTCCGATATCACTGCGCTCCAGAGTCGTTTGTAAGGCAACGCGAATGACGAGCCAAAGTGGAGATCGCCTCCACGGCAATTTCGCGTTGTCCCACAGCACATCATCTCCAATGCGCTTGCGGATGCCAGGAACATCAGCGATGCTCCCGAAGCCACGCAGAATACCGGTCAGGAGTTCCGTGATATAACGAGGATGCGTTGTGTCTCTCTCTTCGACAACAGTGGAATTGGCTTTTGTCCTCGTCGATGCCGCATCAAGGACATCTTGATCCATGTGGACGAGAAAATTCGCCAACTCAGAAGAAAAGGTAGCATCATTGATAATCGTATCTGGAACTGTGATAGCAGGTCCAGGATATGAACAAATCAGCTTTCCCTTTGCGCCCATCACTGCGGTGGGGTCAGGAGACATCTCGAATGATTCGAATATGGTCTCGGCATCAAGTTTTCTCATGACCACCGCAGCGTTTTGTGCGCGAATCATATATACAAGGACATCTGAAAATCGATGATCAGTACGGAAAAATACAAATGAGATGAAGGTAGCAGACCTTTGTTGTCCATCGCATTGATTTGAGATTCGATTTCCTTTGCAGACATCACGCTAAACCTGATTGAATCTTTGAGATTGCGAAGCATTTTCAAGATGCTCGTCCAAAGTAGCGACTCATCAGACGGCAGCTGGTCACTGAAGGCGAGACCAGCATCAAATACTGCCTGAGATAAGGCCAGGTCATTCTCAAGGGAATGGTCACTCCTTTGCGGCAACTTGAGGGGAAGAAATACATGATTGATGAGATATTCCAGACTGGATTGATCTGTTGAAAGACGTTTTACTGCTGAATATTGAGCCATATGATGAGGATCGATGAGATGAAAAGAGTTGGGCACTGACGGTGAAACTTGGCCACTCCAGTGATAAGGAAATCTCCTGGGCGCTCATCCTCATGCCTCAAGGCCTCATGCCTCAGGGTTAGCTAGGGTTAGATCCGCACAAAGCGAGAACCTTTGAGTGCAAGATATCATAGAAGTTCCACTGAGGAGTGCCATGCGTTGATGCTGTACATGTCCGTGTACTAGAAATTTGATCGCGCATGCCTGAAACATCGATGCAGGGGCGGCTGTCACCTTCCTTCTAGTATTTGGTCTGTCTACCGGAGAGACATAGAGTAGGTCTGACTCGTAATATGACAGAATGTCGCGGGAGCTAAATCGGGTGCATGTTGAGTCTGAATCGGAGTGCCGCGTCCACTCGAAGGAAGTGACTAAGGAGGTGTGGGACTGGAGCTATTGACTCTCGTTTTGACTCTCGTTGCATGACAAGGTTTACTGTGACCACATCCAGTACATCTTGTATACATTGCCAAGAAATCGTGACTGTGTCCTGCTCGAGAGTCACATAGTGCTAGTGGTCAACGACATAGTAAAGTTATCTCTTCGTCTTCTGCTGCTGCGAGGAAAAACCATGTTATACATATTTGGACAGGGGAGTAATGGAACCCACTGGCCTGTCTGTACTGTCATTTGTACTATGATAATGATCAATATTGCAAAACATGTATAGTATGATCACAATCGCCTCACCTCAGGCAACCATAATCATATTCTACCCTTTTCCCAGCACGGAATCCAAGTATCCATCGAAGCGATTGTCGATATCTTCCGCGATCTTCTCGTCAGTGTCCTCCAAGGCCAAGCCCCGCTCAGCGCTAATCTCTTCTAGATGATCAAGTTGCTTGTCCGCAATACTATGTGCTGTGAGATCCTCAGTATATGCAGCGATGGTGAAGTCCGCGTCATCTTCGAGCTGCTGATTGGAACGTTTGGCCATCACTGATTCGAAAAAGGCTGCCTCTGCCAGGCTATCAAGATCCCGTTCCGCATTATCCTTCATGATTGTTTGAAGAAGTGCCTCGTGCCTTACAGTTGACTCGAGGTCCCATGCTGTTGCGAGAGCGTGCAAGCGCTTGCTTTCAAGATCGGCTCGCTTTGCGATGACAGCTGACTGGAGAGTCGCATTTGACATATGCCGTATCCCTTTTTCGAAGAGCTCTTTGCCCTAGTATGATGCTGTTGGCATGATGGGATCTGTGGCATAAATGAGGCGAACATACCTGCTGGACGTCTATCAGACTGATATCAGCCTCATTGTGTTTCAGAATGTTTTTCATCATGAAACGGTGCTCCAGGGCTGTAGGAACCTGCTTGCCCAGCTGATAGGGCCTGAACCTTGAGCTAGCCCGCTTTGCGTAGTACGACATATGATACACCACGGGTGGGAGGCATGATGAATCATCAGGAGAGTTGGGGTCTATGGTTCTCATTCCCCTACTAGAATTATTGTGATGACGCTGGGCGTGATGAGTGCTGTCGTGCACGGAATTGTCATCGCTAGATTCGACGACGGGAGAAACGGTAGGAATACCAAGTGAGAGGGACATTATTGATAATAGAGACGCGACTTGCCACGGCGAGGACCTGAGGGGTCTTGCTCCAGCTGGTCGGCTCCCGAGTCGTCACCTATTTCAATATTAGTGTGAGAATATCAGCGGGCTTCTAAAGAAAGGTGACTAGCTACAGTTAGTATAATTCATCGATTGCCCTCGAAGTGCACAGAAAAACAGGAGTCGTAGAAACCTTGTCAAGCAAGGTAATTCACAGCTTCCCATAATTAGTAGCCAACTTTCGACCAACCGGTAATTTCCGGACGTTCACGTGACCCGTTCCAGAACGGATCTCCTTATATGGCGTCGCCGCGCGCCCGGCAACACATATGTTATGTTTTGATTCGCATGTTTTTAATTTCTATACAACTAGCGTCTGCTTTGTAATTCCTTGAGCTTGACTAATGTTTGGGTCAAGCAAGGTTTCTGTCGATGCAGGCGGCAATTCTCGAGTCACATAAAGTATCTGTAAATGTTCTAAGTATCTTCATTCTATAAAGGTCTGATACGGGAGACTAAAAAACATGCCGGCTAAGCTCACCGGCTGGATGCTTTGCGATGCGCACTGCGGAGGCCCTTGTCATTGTGGATTGTAACGGGCGCTCAACAAAACGAGGGAGGCGAGCGGCGGGAAAACGAGAGAGAGAGAGCCAGATACTGGCGTTGATTCGACAAGAGAAAGGTACAAAGCCCTGAACCACATATAAGTATCTTCAGTAGTGATAATGTAATGTGAAACTGAGTGAGACCGCGAATAGTAGAGGAGTCAATGGATACAATGGATAACGAGTCCGAGAATATCCGAACGATCCGTTCCGTCGATGACGGAGTACATCAGCGCAGTGTTAGTAAGTAAAAAGACCGTGAGCTATGTAGAATGGCCGTGACCGTGACATGGATCTCAAAGTAAAGGCAGTCTCAGGCGATGGATAACAATGAATAACATTTGCGCATTGAATAATTTATGTACATCGAGTACGACAAAAAAATATCATAGTTCCAATATCATATAACAAGTTCGAATCTACCATGCCAGCCACGCAATCAAAGACTGGAAAGAAAGTGTGAGTGCAAATTCCAGTTCGGCCGCGTAACTCAAAACATACCTTCGGGTATTTCCTCACGATAGCTTTGCGAGTTTCATCCATGAGCAAGATCCCCAGCGCAAAGGTAAACGGAAGACCCCAGAACATCCCAGGGATCGGCCTTGTGAGGAACACATTCTGGAAGCCAGGTCCGTAGAGGTTCACGATACAGATCAATACCGTGCCCGTCATGCCAACAAGTACTAGCAAGTTGCGGCGCGGGCCCCACAGAGGATTCGACTGGAGTATCGATACTCGGCGGTTACGAACCGACAGGAGAGTCCCGTACTGTCCGATGGCCACAGTCACATAGCTATTGACTGTTACAATCAAAATCGCAAGACAAAAAAATGACGACGCACTAAATGCATTGACCAACATCGACGAACTGTGCTAGTTGATCGGCAGAGTAGTTTTGCCAGCCATCTCCCCATAGGTTGAAAGTCAAGATGACCTCGTAGAAAGTAAGGCCCTGCTGTTTCATGTACAAGAACCACATTGCCATCGCGCAGGGCCATAGCATCAGTCCATAGAACTGGGTGAGTGATTAACGTGAGCACATTGGGATCACCTAGGTCATAAAACGTACCAAGTAGACATGGAAGAAAAGACGCCAATCCGTAAGCCTATCGGTCCTGGCATTACGCGGTTTGCGCTGCATCAAATCTACAACAGGAAATGAGCATTGTAAAGTTCATAAATGCGTAAATACCCACCCCACTCCGGTTTCTCATACATCAGTGAAATGGACATGATAACATCATTGGTGATGCAGTAGCAGACTTGTTGATACGAGTTCATGGGAATCTGCATGCCTAACAATACGTTCGTGACGACCGCCATGAATTCCGAATAGCTTCCAGCCTGTAACATCATAAATTTAAAACCCGCTGAGATTGTGATACTGCTCCCGCAGATGCTACTCACAGGCATGAGGTACAGTGTGACTTTCTTCAGGTTATCAAACACTAGTCGACCCATCTGGATCGCGACAGGGATGGAAGCAAAGTCGTTCTTCAACAAGATCAAGGCGGCTTGAGAGCGATGGAATCAGCATCGTCGAAAAAAACCCTCAGTAAAACCCTTACCAGCTTCCTTGGCCACGTCGCTGCCACTACCCATCGCAACACCAATATCGGCAGCTTTGAGAGCTGGCGCATCATTGACACCATCTCCAGTGACTGCGACAGTATTATCTCCGCGAGCTTTGATCTCCTCTACAATTCGCATTTTCTGGTCAGGGGTAGTGCGTGCAAATACGATCTCCGTGTAGGTCCCAACGATGACATTCCAATCATATGAAGTGAGAGTTGCGACATCTTCCCCAGTAAGAACCAGGGAGCGAACAGGATCATCATCGGATGGCTTGATCAGATAAAGTTGTTTCGGCTCGACCTTCTCAGAAGCAGCGGCTCGGACCTCCTGGATGGTGTCAACAACGTGCTGGGTGATGATACCAACCTGAAGAAAAGGGTCAGCAAGGATTTTATGGCAGAGGAAAATAAAGAAAAACTACCTGTCGTGCAATAGCTAGAGCAGTGAGCTTGAAATCACCAGTGACCATAAAGACTCGAACTCCAGCCCGTCGAATGATGGAAATCGATGGCGCCACATCCGGACGAGGAGGGTCACAAATTCCAATCAGTCCAACCAAGGTTAGATCGCACATCTCCATGTACATGAGGTCCTCTACATCGTTCGGTGGAAGTCCAGTCTTGATTGCTTCTATGGATTTCCTACATCTTTTACCACGGCAACGATTTCAGATGTCAGGGTTGCGAAGATAAAATGCTTATACTTACAACACGAGTACTCGTTGACCTCGGCTTGACCAGTCCTCTTGAAGCGTAGCGAATGTCTGCCTCGCCCTACTTGTTAACGGGATGACCGTCCCGTCACTCTGTACCACAGTGCTGCAGGAGGGGAACAAGACATCAGGAGCTCCTTTGACAAGCATCCAGGTCGACTCTTCATTCTTTTCAGCGGTTGGAGCTTGGGAGAACACGGAAAGCATCCATTTGTTGCGAGAATTGAAAGGGATCTCAAACCGCTTCTGATGAGTTTCCTGAAGAGTGTTGGTTTCCACACCAAGCTCTGGTATTGAAAGGGCCTCGGAGAAACGCAAAAGAGCGGTATCAGTCGGATCACCCTTGATCGCACGCTCATGCACAGGAAGGTGGTTAGTCGATGCGTCGAATTTCGCGCCGTTGCAAAGCCTCGCGATCTGATGGAGCGCCTTGAACGCAGTAAAGACGGTGGGGTCCGATGCCTTTGTGACTCTGTCGTTGATTTCATCGACACCAAATACGTCATCGAGGAAGGCAATATTCTCTACCATCTGTGGATACATCAGCAAGCCGGTAACGAGAGTAAATACATCGTTCATCTCACCATCTTTCCCGCAGTCAATGTACCTGTCTTGTCAGAACATAAAACAGACATGCATCCTAACGTCTCGATGGTCGCCAGATTCTTGACCAAGACCTGACGCTTAGACATGCGACGGGCGATAACAGTCAATGAGAGTGCCACGCAAATCGGGAGACCCTACAAGATGTCAAATAAGAAAGGATTAGAAACTTTTGTTGCGGGCCACCTACTTGTGGGACGAAAGCAGTCAAGCAGCCAATCGAGTTCACAATGGCAAGAGACGTTGTGAGGAACCCAGGATACGATGTCCGCAACCAAACACCGTATAGGAGAAGCGACAAGCAGAAGAAAAAGAGGGCGAGACATGAAATGATCTTGGTGAAATACCACACTTCTTTTTGGATGGTGGTAAGCTTGAACTTTGTTTCTCCCGACATCTTGACGAGACGTCCCATGACAGTCCTATCTCCCGTGGCGAACACGACACCATTGCAAGTCCCTTGTACGACAAAAGTGGAATTCAACGCGAGGTTACGAGTCTCCAAAGCATTGTCCGATGTCGCATCAATAGCTCCTGGGATCATATCACTGCAACTAGACTTCAGCTGAATTCAAGTACGTAAGACAATGAACAGACCTTTCACCCGTCAGGAGAGAGCGGTCAAAGCGAAGGTCAGATGATGCCTGCACAACACGCATGTCGGCCGGGACACGGTCGCCAGCATTGAGGACGACAACATCGCCAACTACAATGTCAGCAGCTTGGATTATTTGCTGCTTTCCGTCCCTAATGACCGCAGCCTCGTGAGCAATTAGAGATTTTATGGATTTCATGATCCTGCTCGCATTCCAATCGACCAAAGCATAGAATGCAGCAGAAACGATGATGACGAGGAGCTGTAGTTGATGAGATGGGGGAAATTGAGCACTGGAGTTGAAAATCACGAACCAACAGTATGGCAACACCAAGAACGAAAGGTGTAGGAGGCCCGAGTGGTTGATAAGAGAGCTAAAATGTACATCAGAAAGGTCACAATGGCAGGAGAACAACGGCAGTCACAATGGTCAAGATGAACGCAATCCACATGAGAAAATTGAAGCCACCAAAAATATAATTGAGCGATTTCTTCCAGTAGACGGTAGGTGGGGGACTAATGGTATTCTTGCCATCACGCTCCTTGCGACGAACAGCGGCAAGCTCCAATCCGACTGTAGGATGACTTGAATACCGGGTGTATACTTCGTCGACGCTCAGTAGATGGGCTTCTATGCTTGCAATAGCGTCCGATGGGTCTCGCGGGGATTTGGAGGTCGTAGTATGCTTCTCTTCGACGCGACCTGATAATGTACGGTATCTGTTCGTTGTAAGGTCAGCGACATACTGCGCGAGGTAAAGCTGCGAATGGAATACGAACGCAATTTGAATGCCATAGCCTTTCCCGCCTGGCCCGGGCTCAGGAGAGGGTGTTGGGTCTGCCATCGAAGTAACCTGCTTCACTTTTGCTTCATCTTGTTATTTATCATACTGCACCATGAAGCTCGTGGGTAGCCCGTACTATGTACTTAAGGCAATGCATCATTGTGCCTTGCCAGACCAACCCAAGGCGAGAATTTTTTTAGAGTCCGTTCGAACGAGAAATTCCCGAGGGGCTGTTTTTGCCGAGAGGTGTTTTCGCTATTCATGCGCAGGGCAGAAAGCTCCCGAGACATCATGCAGGCATTGTTGGCGATCTAGCCACAAGATCAAAGTGAAGCACACCTTATTTTCAGGTCGGGTTACTTCCCACAGTATTAACGCGATTTTCTTGATTCGTTCAATCTGCCCAAAAAGAAGCAGAATCTCGTCAGAGATTGGCCGGTGACCGTTTACTTACCTTCACTTAAGCTCAGGCTACGCTGGGCCACGTGGCATATCATGCATGCGCAACAATCATATCACCGTCTCTCGCTCTCTGCCCGACTTTTCAGGCTATCCGTCGTGCGGGCAAACGCTGCGACGAGACCTCCACGCTCCTCCGAGCGGCAAAATTTTGGTCCCATGATTTCTTCGGCAGGCCGTTTGCGCAGCGCCTCTTTTCCGGTGACACGGGGGCCACGCTTTCTATAAATGTGGGTGCCTTAACTTGACCATACCCCCCACAGTGTCGCGGTTACGGACTCCTGTCAGGCTGTGGGTTCCCAGCGTGGACCGCCAGGACCGTCTAGCGTCTCTGGCAAGCTGACCGCATCGGACCGAGCAATGGCATTATGGGTGTCCCATGCCCCTGTACGACGTTGAACTGTAGAATTGTTGTCACGATAATATTAGCGCAGTATGGGTCTTATTTGGGGGAGTACAAAGTCTACAGACCATGCGTTCGTACCTGTTCGTACACTCAATGCCGTTCCTCCGTCCTTTCGTTTCCGACTACATTCACATGACACTGCACCTGCAGCAAGGTAGCGGCCAAGGTAACAATTGTAGCTATGGCTGCAATGTAAGCGCCTCTTGACGGGGTTCGAAATCCAACCAAGCAGTCTCTTCCCCACTCCTCGAATTTAATATATCTGAGGCTAGATCTCTTGTTCCTAGCTTGGGACTTCCCACGGGCAGGCATAAATAAAAGGGTTGCACCTGCGACGTGAATCACGTGACATTTGGACATCTCTCCATTTTTCCGATGGACCTGTGCGTATGCGATACTGACAATATTAATGTTATTCTGTCTAGTCTTCAAGCTTCTGATATTGGAGATATCAAAGCCAGAAAATATGTGCACAGGTACGCACACCAAACGCAAGAACAAAGTTCCAATGGATTGTGTCGGCACGCACCGAGATTGCCCTCGGCATCAAGTCACATGTGACAGCCGGTGACTCATACATCAATCTGTCACTTTATTTCGACGCTAATCGCTTCCGCATTTGGGAGCAGACGGGAGCAATCTCCCCTCCCGTGTACGACCTCTCAAGTGCCACAAAGTCTTCTCTAGAAGGCGTTTAGGGCACAGATCAGGGGTGGGAGCAAGCTTCAAGTTGTTCTGGACTGGGGACTTTATTGATCGGTTTTATTCGGTTCGAAACGGAGACCATTGTATTGCTCGCGCGGGCTATGAAGCATGTGCGCCCGCCCATCTATGGAGAACCAAGGAAGTGATGCTATCTAATGTATCTTTGGGACTCGTATGATTCGACCTAACATCCAGCTGCCACAGCCGCTAAAGCCATGGGCCCCGCGCATTAATTAAGAGATACTTATAGATAATATTGTCGTACGGGCGCGACCTACTAGATAAATTGTAATTGAGTGGGGCTCATATTTGTGTACGGGCGCGACCGTATTACTAGATTGAGTGGGGCTCATATTTTTGTACGGGCGCAGCCCACTAGTATGAGTACTTGCTCAACGATGAGACTCATACTAGTAGGTCCCGCCCGTAGGTTTCACATGTTCACCGTACTGTTTCCGCTCTAGAAAGTATGTACTCCATGGATTTATTTTATACTTTACAGGCGGCGAGATGCCTCCGCATATCATAATCTCAATTGCTATCATTTCTAGGCTATATACTGTTTGACTAATAAAAGGGTATTGTTGTGTGGCAGCTCAGACGACACAAATGCCGATCCTACGCTGCCATACAAGTAACATTCTCCCAGACCAGGAGATACCAAAGGTGTTACCAAGCCATTTTGGCAACGATAGACTGTAATTTGCCATCAGGATTAAGAAAACGAGACGATGGTTGACACTTACCCTTGGATAGGACCTCACAATCAGCTTGCGGACTTCGTCCACGCAGAGAATTCCCAAGCCAAAGGCGAACGGAGGGCCCCAGAACATCCCAGGTATAGGGGTCGTCAAAAACACATTCTGTAAACCTGGTCCGTACAGATTGGTTATCGCAATCAAGGCAGTCGCCACCATGCCGATCGGAACTGCAATATTCTTGCGAGGTCCCCATAGAGGGTTAGAATTGAGCAAGGAAACCCTGCGGTTTCGAATGGCGAGGAGATTTCCGTACTGCATAAAGACCATCGTCACGTAGCTTATGATAAGAAGCATCAATATAAGCATAGGGAGAAAGTATTATCGCCACTCACTAGATGCACTGCCCGACGTTAACAAATTGAGTGAGCTGATCAAGTGTGTAGCCGTGATAGCCATCTCCCCATTTGTTATAGGCTAAGAAAACATCGTGGAATCCGAGGCCTTGCTGACTCATATATACAAACCACATGCTCATCGCGCACGGCCAGGCCATGAGTCCAAGGAACTAGTAAATAGGTGACCTGTGAACACCAAGCATCACTGGGTGCGGACTAACTCACCAAGTAGATCTGGAAGAACAGTCTCCAATCTGTAAGGCGGTCGGTTCTAGCATTACGAGGCTTCCTCATCATGAGATCTGTCGTGCACTTAAGGAATGGCAGAAGCTGCAAAAAATTGAAAAGCTTACCTGATTCAGCTTTCTCGTACATCAAGGAGATTGACATGGCCACGTCATTTGTGATGGAGAAACAAACTTGTAGATAGGAGCTCAAAGGAATTTGCATTCCAAAGACAACATTTGAAACCACTGCCATGAACTCTGTGTAACTTCCAACCTTGAGTTGGGGTAAGCAAGTATCTTATGTGTGATGATGCATTGGCTTACAGGCATGAGGTAAAGCGTCACTTTCTTGAGGTTATCGAATACCAGGCGACCCATCTCAATTGCCACTGGGATAGAAGCAAAGTCATTGTTCAACAAGATCAGTGCAGCTGAAAGCGTTGAGAGTTAATTGTCATCTCAAACAAAGTCACGCGACCTTACCGGCTTCTTTCGCCACATCACTACCGCTCCCCATCGCAACACCGATGTCAGCGGCTTTGAGTGCGGGCGCATCGTTCACACCGTCACCAGTTACAGCCACAGTATTGTCGCCACGGGCCTTGATTTCCTCGACAATCTTCATCTTTTGATCAGGCGTGGTACGGGCAAACACAATTTCAGTGTATTGCCCGACGATTATGTGCCAGTCAAAGGTGGTAAGGGTGCCGACGTCCTCTCCTGTAAGTACCAATGCCCGGATAGGATCGTCTTCCGAAGGCTTAATAGCGGGCAATGGAACATCGGTGAGGTTCTTCTCGGACGCTGAAGCCCTGACGTCATCGATGGTATCTACGGAGTGCTGTGTAATGATGCCGACCTGTAATCGAGTTAATCCTAAGTATCAGGAGGCAGGCGCTCGATCCGACTCACCTGGCGTGCGATTGCGACAGCAGTGAGCTTGAAGTCTCCGGTCACCATGAAAACCCTGACACCGGCGCGACGAATAATGCCCACACTTGGAAGCACGTCGGGACGGGGCGGATCGCGGATACCAACCAGTCCGACCAAAGTGAGATTGGCTATCTCCGAGTACATCAATTCCTCCATGTCATTTGGAGAAATGTTCGGTTTCAAGGCATCCAGCGGCTTGCGACACCTGAACGAGTATCAGTAAAGTATCCCCACACAAATAAATAGTGCATACAGGGCAAGGACTCTCTGCCCTTCACTCGACCAATTGCTTTGAAGATCGGCTATGTGCTCCCTTGCCGCTTCATCGAACGGGACAACGGTGCCATCGGACCTCATTACCGTGCTGCAGGATTTTACCAGCATGTCTGGAGCACCTTTCACGAGCATCCATGCTCTCGAGTCCTTCTCAGTGATATCCCCTTCAGTCGTTTGAGTCTCCTGAACAACGCTCAGCATCCACTTGTTTTTTGAATTGAAAGGAATTTCAAAGAGCTTTCTCCAGGATGACAGCAGCGCTGAAGTATCAATGTCTAAGGCCGGAATAGACAGACCCTCGGAAAAGCGAAGCAAGGCCGTGTCGGTGGGATCTCCTTTGACGTTCCGCTCGTGAATGGGCTTGTCAGCAGTCGCAGAGTCGAACTTTGCACCGTTACACAGCCGCGCGGTCTGGTGCAAAGCGCTCAAGCCAGCGAATAATCGAGGGTCTGGTGCTTCGGAGATCTGCTCGTCAATTTCACTGATCAAAAGATGATGATCCAAAAAGGCGATTGATTCGACCGCCTGGAAGATTTTAGTCAGAAAAAACGATGTCACATATAGGAGCGTAAAAACGAACCATCTTGCCTGCAGTCAGAGTACCAGTTTTGTCTGAGCACAAAACAGACATACATCCAAGCGTTTCAATCGTTGCGAGATTCTTCACAAGAACATGGCGCTTCGACATGCGACGGGCAATGATGGTCAACGAAAGGGCGACACAGAGGGGTAGTCCCTTTAAGGCGCTGGTGTTAGAGAAGCCATTAAGAACAATGAGTTGGACTATTTACCTGAGGCACGAACGCCGTAAGGCAACCAATCGAGTTCATGATCGCTATGCTGATGTTCTCATATCCAGGATAGCTCGTCCTCAACCACACGCCGAAGAGCAATAAGGATATACTGAACATCGAGAAAGCGACTGTGGAGATAACCTTGGTGAAAAACCAGATCTCTTTCTGAATGGTTGTAAGCTTGAATTTTGTCTCGCCAGACATCTTGACAAGGCGTCCCATGACGGTCCTGTCCCCAGTGGCGAACACGACACCATTGCAGGTACCCTGAGTCACGAAGGTCGAGGTCAGAGCAAGGTTGCGCGTCTCCAGGGCGTTATCAGATGTGGCATCGAGGGAACCGGGGACCATATCACTGGAATACTATGAGCCAAGTTTTGGATAATTATAATGTAATCACCTTTCTCCAGTGAGTAGTGAACGGTCAAAGCGCAAGTCAGACGAAGCCGCTACGATCCTTAGGTCCGCAGGAATTCGATCGCCAGTGCTGAGAACTACAATATCTCCGACGACGATGTCCGTGGCAGGAATGAGCTGTTGCTTTCCATCACGGATAACAGCGGCCTCATGCGCGATAAGAGACTTGATGGATTTCATGATTCGGCTAGCATTCCAGTCCACGAAGGCGTAGAATGTAGCTGAGATGATAATGACGAGCATCTGAGGAGTATAAATAAACTGAAATATGACATGGGGCCAAACGCACCAGCAGAACTGCAACACCAAGGTTGACAACCGCAGGGTGAGGCTCTCCCAGGGGCTTGTACGACAGCTGAGATACAATGTGAAGCACTGGCCAAAACACAACTCATGAATGCGTACTAGTGTGACAATGAACGCGATCCACATGAGGAAATTGAAGCCTCCAAAGATGTAGTTGAGGATCTTCTTCCAGTGTTGGGTTGGGGGAGGGCTGATGACATTCTTTGCATCCTTGGACCTTCGTTGAACAGCTGCCTGCTCGAGACCGACAGTAGGATGGCAAGAGTAACGAGTGTACACCTCATCAGTACTGATGAGATGGACGTCGATGCTAGCTATGGCATCTGCCGGATCTGCTGATTGCTTAGCCTTTGAAGGGAGGTCCTTCTCTTCCACGCGAATGGAAAGGGTTCGATATCTATATGGAAGGTGAATGAAACATCCGGAGCACGTTCTAGGCTACGCACCCTATCTGAATTCCATAGCCTGGCGCTCTTTCGTGCTCAGACGACTTTCGAGAAAGTTCTCTCATCGTACAAGCTAGCACTGTACCCGAGACTGCACCGGCTTTTGATTTTTCGCACTCACTCTTTTTATCTCAGCGCTCTTGTGGAAAGGTTTGAGTTTGTATTTTTTTCCTGTGTTCCCAAGCAAAGTTGCGCGATTTTCGCCATTCAGCGGTGGGTTGGCGGATGCGCTGATTTTGCCATTCACCGCAGATATCGCTACCATTATTATATAGAGCACCGCTTTCGCGATGGAGTGCGATTGATTGTGATCCAATAAAGTATCTGTTCAACGTTCAACGCAACGTTTGTGTACGGTTGATAGGATTATTGCCGTAATATTTAATATCTATGTAATCTTGACCAGACTTTCCAGAACGCTGCACCAGAAGGCACTAGTCGTAGCAGAATTATTGTCCCTGTACCTGCCTAGAGCGTTCTCCAAAATGATAGAGAGCAAGGAACCCACCCTGATATTTTTGGCCGGCGACGGAAAATCGGGGCTAGCACACTACCGCTATATCCGGCTAAGTAAGGGAGACAAAACGGCACGATGCGTACGTTCATAGCTTCAGACCTATCTCGGATTACCAATGCTCACCGTCATTTGGAACCGCCGAAAATCCTCGACGATAATAGTTCAGATCAGGGATGGCATGACAATTGACAGGTACAAGACTTCAACTGACAGGCTTGTGGGGACCGGAACAGTGTGGAGCCTGGTACAGATAAAGATTCAGTCAAGCAGGGATATGACGAGATCTGGTAATTGGATTACACTTGGCCCTGCAGCTGGTTATGTGGTAGGTTTGAAGGGTGGCGTATCTGCAACAATCTCGACGCAACAATTGATTTGGAGGTGAGATGGCGGCCCGCAGGATGACAAGCTGGTCGAAAAAGGGCGCCTTGCGTGAGCTTTTTGGAGCTTGTGGCACAGAGATCCCACTGGTCTGCCCTAGCTAGGGTCGGACTTACTGGTACGAGAACAACGAAGGTCAGGCACATATGTATGTCAAATGACCACATGTGCGATCCTTGCGAGCCCTTGCGTCGACGTGTGTCCTGGGCATAAATTACGCACACCTGGCACCTGCTGTGAACAAAAGCAACAAATCAGCGGTACATAGCACATTCCGACCTGATCGCCCTCAGATATGAATGTCGCAACGGCATATATAGAAACTTGTTAGTTCGGCGACGCATACATACTGGTTGCCGGTGGTGTGTGAGCGAACAAGAGTTAGGAGGAACAAGACCAAGACAGCGATGTTCGCTGTTACGTAATATACCTTTGTTGCCATGGTCAACTCCCTGGTTCCAAACGCATGCGCCCCGCTGCAGTTTCAGTATAACCCAGATGGGCCTACGCCGAAGCGTTTCACTTGAAAAGGATCTATGAAAGGAGCTTCAGAAGTTTTGCTGGCATCCCTGGCACGTTTCTAGCGGTATTTCTTCCACTGGTGGACTGAAAAATGACAATTGAATGAAGTTGTCAAACAGGGTGACCCTTGACGGTCCGCACCTGAATACAAACACCTCTCCGCGACGGTCACGCAAGAACCTTTCTAAACGGGCGATTATGAGTGAAACTACCGACGCCCCGATTCCTCGTACTTTGAGCCACGTATCTTTGTTTGGCATGTAGTCACCTCATATGATCATGGCATATTGGTGAGATGGTATTCACCGTTGTGGACCAAGTGATGTGTGAGTGGAACCCATAAAATCAAAAATTACCAACTTTCAATATTCACTGATAGTGGCGCGCCGGCCATCAGTGTATGCTCTTCTCAAATACTAACCATTCCAACTTTGACAAGTCTTACTCATGCGGTAAGTGATGATGCTCTCACTGTTACCATAAGAATCGATTGACTCAAATGCGTCTGTTTTCGAGATTAGATCTTCGAGGTGCTTGCATCATGATCTACAATCCCTATAAAAAGCTTTTTCCAGTCAAAGTTTTCTTCTTGAAGAGAGTGGATAACATTAGCCCAACTACACCTGAACCTTATATTCCCTCTACTTCACCGTTGTGGCTGAATCACGCGACGCTGATCAATATTTGGACTGAAGGAATACACGGAAGGTGGAGAACCTGGAGGATTCTGACGGTGCGTTCAACCGGATTGTGCTCATAGTAACGCTTCATCTTTGTTGTCAGATGAGCTTCATAATACGGATGATGGAAGCGGTTGTTGGCTTGTTCCGATGATCTTCAAGGCGGCCACGCTCGTCTTATGCGATAGTGCTTTCATAAGAAGTCCTTTGGGCTTCGAAGACATTTTGCGAAGCACCCGATGATGAACTTCGGGGTGTCAGCTGAAGGGTGAAGTTGCTTCGATAGGGTTGCGATAGGGTGTTTCGGAGCGGTGTCCAGAACATTGACTCACTCGCCAACACACACTCGTTCGTCCACATGATGACGCAGACGGGGTTTCGAATCTCAAGAACCCAAGTTAAGTGTGGTGTGGTGGGCTTTATGCTTGTCTCAATTCAGATGAAGTGCCAGAGCGAAGCACCACAATGATTGGATATGCTATGTATAGTTTCTTACGGGTGCGTGCGACACGATGACGATGTCGGTAGTAGGAATATCTGGGCTGTGATATCCCAGCCTACCTTTAACTTTCACATCGGATTGTGTAATATGTGTATGAAACGTGCTCGCGGGTGGCGGGCGCGCCTAAGTAAGTCACGATCGCTTTCTTTCAGCATGTTCTAGGCATGTTCTGACGACATCGACTGAACTCCGCAGCTACAATGACAGGTTCGCGGCATCTCGAGGCTAGAATCTGTTATGTGATGCAAGTCAGGCATGGAGCTTTCTAAACCCAACATTGTCCGAACCTTGTCCACCTCGTCGATCTCTCTCGCACTTACATAAGTGCGCCTCCGAGTTGACATTCAGGTCATGAGCTGGTCGCACTCTGTAAGCAACATTCTTCAGGAACCTCCCGTTTAGTCATTTCGAACCTTTGCCCCAGTAATGTTCCACGGTCATCTGAGCTGATGGTGAATCATCGCTCTCCGGTATGGAACCCACCTCAACCCAACAGACTGGAATCGACGGCATCACTGTAATGTCAATGCGGGACCCTCAGCCTGCTGCTCATATTCCACTCGGATAAGCGACTAAATCGGGTGCCATTTGTCTCGACAAAACGCTACGTCACTGAACCTGCAATAAGTATACCCCGCGTCCTCTGATTGATTCTCCAAATATCTTTTCAAGGATCCAGTCATTTCGCTTAGGTCCTACATGACGTCAAAGGGATAGAATCAGAGCGCTCAATATTCGAAGATTGGGCCACACTTTGTTGGCGAGGTACAGAATGAAACAATACTTAGTCGTCAAACCACTCATGCGGCAATTGAGCGGTGGCCGGTGGTAATGTGGCGTACCGACTACTTCGTGCCGTGTACGTCGCCCATCTGCAAGCTCCTCATTCATTTCCCCATAGCTGCCGAACCCTGCGCAGCGAACAAATGGGAGATTGTTTTCCGTATCCAACCCACAACGCTCCGTCCGCATACTGCGCTGGCGCAGGGCTGTCTCCTATCAGCTATCTTGATACATTCCTGGGCTGGATCTTGGGTCCTCAGCATTCCACAAATTTCCACAATCTTCTACCTCGGGAATGTTGCACCTGACATTGGCCCGAACTCTACCGTGATATGCGACTGACCCATCGCAATATGAACGTGCTACCTAAACCTACCCCTTCATTACGCCCGACAAGCGATTATCTAAAACAAGCGGCCACCGGCCTTCTTCTGCGTAATGGGGCATTCATTCTAGTAGTCACTCGGCAATCGAAGTCGCGGTGGTAGCCTCATGTCCCACCACGCAGTGCATCCCGTTAGTTCTAGATCTATACACCAATTCACCTTGGAACGTCAGATTGGATCGGTCATATCAAATTTTAGTCATTTGACTACAAAAGACACTAACACCTCTATACACGTTCATTCTGTACCCCGGGAGATATCGACCATACCACCAACACGAGGCTCTCTGCATAAATACCCGGAGCGCCCGATTTCCGGAACTTAGTCGTCAGCCTACCACCTCACATCACCATCGTTCACTACAATGCTGGAAGCATTCAAGATTAGGGAATTCAATTTGGAGCCCATCTACGAGTCTTGGGATAACCCTCCCAGGTTTTACGGCGAGTCGAAGAAGGACATGCCCGTTGACGACTTTCTGCGTCAGATCAAAGCTGGCTGTGCCGAACGGAAGGTGCCAGAGGAGTACTGGCACAAAGTCGCTCAACACTACATGGGGGATAAGGCGAAAGCCAGACTCCAGGAACTCAAGAGCGTTATGGCGAAAGTAAATGGAGGCAAATATCGCTGGAGCTGGAAGAAGTTCTCGATTGCGATGCGGAACATGGGATGTACGTAATTATCTTAATTGCCCACGCGTTGGTGTCTCACGGCTGATACAGGGGAGATCGATGCCAACATCACAGAGACTGTTCAGCTTCACTCCAAACCGTCAGGGATGTTGTGGCTTACCAGAAGGAAATCCACGAAAGACAAGGATGGGTCGCACAAGGAGGTGACTTCTTCCGAAATCGTGGAACTTCAGCCGCCCCTGCCGTCTAAACAAGGACGGCCAAGCCCGATGAAGATGCTTTCTGATTCAGCGCTCGTCGCCGCGGCTGCAATGAGGCCTCGCAGGTCACCGAGCCGCGCGAACTCCATGGCCTCTACGCTGACCACCACCACGGTTTCATCCAACCATTCGGTTTCGTCTAACCACACGGTGACCTCCGACCACGCGTTAACCTCCAACAATGCGGTAACTGCCTTATCTCCACCATCCGCTGACGGCAGTAAGTGACACGTGCCAGATCGACTGAGGATATACTGAATCCCGTTAATCCAGCTGTCACAGCTATATCGAACGCACCAACATGGCTCCTTAATGCGTGCAACGCGCTCAATTTCCTGAGTGCGGAACACCCACGAGCTATGACGACATTGAGTGCTGTCCTCATTACAGCAGGGACCCTCCCTGCAATCCCTGCAATCAGCGGAGGGACTGTCCTCGCTACTGGCGTCGCTCAAGCAGTTGGCGCCATAGCTGTGGGTGTCGGAAACTTGCTCAAGGCTCAGCAAGAAGGTCAGGTACAACAACCAAGTGGCCCGCACCCACAACCACCAATACGATCATCTACCTTCTGACCATGCAGGAAGATTTTTTTGTACTTATCTGTTCCGGTGCATTCAGGCTCGCTGGACGAGCTTGTGGACAATATGAACATAAACCGCAAATACTATCTATACCCTTGCATCATCCCCTCACATACATTGCATTCTACTGATTTCAAATTTCGAGAAGTCGATAGCTATATCTGTTCGCTTTACATGCCGACGCATCATGTATATCATGTACAGGACAATGTAACACCGAGATCAAGGGGGAGCAATTAATATTGCTTGTGGAGTTCACTGAAATTTCGCGGCTACAGTAAGAACATTACGAGGTCAATGATCGGTAAATTCCTCTTCGACGATATAAATAGTGAACTTATGATGAATGTAGCACGCTTTGTCAAGCATCGAGTTCCACCAACCAACAAGCCTTCCAATAAGGTAAGATGAAAGGTAGTGTCTCTTGTAGCCCCAGTCACCGGTCTAGCACGTAGTTTCCAATCAAGTGCATATCATGCAGCTGACGATCTATTCCGCCGGCGATTATGAGCGCTGTACTGGGGGTTTTCGCAGCCATCGGCCTTCAAGATCTGGAACGTCATCAACATGTTGACCATCAACGGATAGGCCGCCGTCAACATATATATGGTCCAACGAGATCCCTGCATCTCTACATATCGCGAGGAAGTCCCTGGGTATAGGAGCTCCGATCCTGAGTCGGAAGTGCTTGCTGGGTCCTGACTTTCTGTACCTCTGAGTGTGTACGCATCAGGAACTTCATTATACGTCGATAGTTATCCGCGGACTTACCGAGAGCGTCAACTGCGCAGCGTGTAAAAACATCCTGTTCTCGGGCAGTCGAGTGATCTTGGCAATTTTCTCGGAAATGCTGCTCCTCGCATATAGGTTATCGCCCAGTATAGGCGCTATATCACCAATGAAACACTTGTAAGATGTGGGATGAGTGATAACGCACTGTGCAAGGAATGTGCCAGGTGAACGCGGAGCTGATGTTTCAGTCCTGTGTGTAGAGTTAGCTTGAGCAACGACAGCGGTGCTGTGGGCTAAAGCGCATTCTCAATAAATCAGCAGTGGAAATCAGTCACTGATACGTACAGACGACGCAAGAAGTTCCCAATCGGTGGCTGCAAACTTGGCAGCACAGCTCTCGCCTATAGACACGCGTCCATCGCTAAATTCCAGGGCGTCTCGAATCTCTCCACTGCGCGCGGGGAAGGACTTCTCTCCTCCACGCACAAGAGCCAAGTATGTTTTCTCTACTACTCGTGACTGAAATTGTTGTGAGAACTGACGGGCAGCTGGGGAGTTACGCGCTAACAACAGTGTCCCTGTGGTAGCCTGACAGCTAAGTTAGCCAGCGCTGATCGAATGAGATAAAAGGAAACATGCCTTATCAAGGCGGTGGACAGGGTACGGCAGGCTCTCCAATCCAAAAGACTCTTTTACGTCTGCACAAACATATCGGGTCATGAACGTCATACATGAAAAGGAAGTACTTACCACGAAGTAAGCCATTGAATTTGTCAAATTCTCGAGGCTTCTGAATAATATACCAGAAGTTGTAGCAATCTCCTTTGCCTTCCAAAACTGAGTTCACCTACGTTTTCGGAGGAAGGGTCGGAACCTTGGCAGATAAGTCCTGCGGGTTTGTTCAAGACGATAACACTGCGGTCGGCATAAACGACATTTCTTGCCCAGTATGATGTCCCCGTTCGAGCAGATTTTAGAACCTGCGACATTCAATGTCGATGAATATCTTGTTTTGGTGCAAACTGTCGACCTTGAAGTTATTTGAGGTTGTTTGTCGTTTTCTTAAGGTTACAGTTTCAACGTTCAACTACTTACGACACTTTGTCTTTACGTCCACCATGCTTGCACCATGCTTTGATCATGCTCAATGATTGAATGATTGGTTCATGATGGACATACTATCGCGATATATGTATCAGCAGATGCCATACACGCGTTTGAAAAGGTGATTTAACAATCTCGACGCCTGTACATGGCCAAAACTCATTGTAATTTGACCTAGTTTTGACACTATGCACTAGTATTGGAGTGCCTCGTATCGGAACACCCCCATTAAGCCCACTAGTGATCACCGAATCGGATCCTCTCCTTCTCTATGTTCGGGAAAGCTTCTGAGCCCGAGGCCGTCAATACAAATGAACCTCGGTTTACAAAACATCAGTATGAAATAGTGATGAAACGTACTGCAGACTTCGTTTCCAACGGTACAGCGGCCTCTAAGTCTCTTCCAGTGAGACATCGGAGATTTCAGTCCAGTGGAGCCTAGCAGGGCGTTAGGTGAAACGAAGGCACGGTTTGTTTAATAGTTGGCACACCTCCTCACCATGCACGTCAGGTGGGTGAAGCTCTTCTCAAACTCAGGGCAGGTGATCATTCATGAGCGTGGTAGCCGGACGCGAATGGAGTATCCACTCGAGCTTGAAACTCCCGTTGATGTTGGAAAACGTCCGGCTCTGTGCTACCGGCTAGGTAGCACTTATTACCCATTGAAGCCCTACGATGGAAGCTTCAAAACTATGTTCCTCCCGTACGGTTCGTACTTCACATTCTCCGGATTTTAAATTTAGGAGCACACGTGTTGATGAGCCATTTCACCATAGTTGTCAACGCGGCAGTAGTGACGTTGTGAAGTAGATAAGGCCATCAGGGACAACAGAACAGAACTTCGGACTCACGGGAGTGCAGATCGATTCCGGGTGCCTGAGGAGCCGCAATGTTCGAGAATTACTTATGAGGTTAAAGGCGAGTGACGTGATGACTTTCGCCACTGTAATGTATCCACTTTTCGTATTACTCAGCTAACTGATTATAACCTTAGAAGACAGGAACGTTGTCAGGGGGTGGAGAAACGCCTCTATCACTGTGGGGCATCCATTCATTGATCGAGCGATTCCCAGGCAACGAACCGCAGTCACTACACCGCGGCTATTGTTTAATTCAAAAGGTGTTTCGCAACTAACTTCTACTGACTAGTTCCGAGGAGCAATCCTGAGTAGGTTCCTCACCCGAATGATGCTGTATCACCTCTATCTGGTATACATTTCTCTGCTTCCTTTACTTTGATGAAGATATTCGGACTACGTAGTCCGGCATCGCTTTCCAGGTCAAGGACACTGCTCAAAAACCACTGTGTTGATGCCCTCCTTTGGCAGGGGGCCTTGCTAGCTGCCCTTTAATTGCCCAGGTGGTTTTGTTGTCTAGAGTCTTCAGACGACTGAAGAATAGTGTTTGCGCGACTCTCTTTTTTGCAAAGTAAAGCTGATCACGTGCTCACATATGTGACATTCGTGAGCACCCGACGGCGTCACAGGGGTAACCTATGAAGACAATATCCAACGAAGAGTCAATGGGGAGAAGTCGACTGATGGTGTCGGTCAAGGAGACCATAGACGTGACAATAGAAATGATTTTGATATCGTGGGTTTCAACACGGGAACTTTGGATAGTTTCAAATGGTGTGGGCTGTCATGTGATCGAGGCACAACCGCAGTCAACCAGTTGCAAATTGTTGAGGCGGTGGCCGATAGCTCGCACTGCTACCCGCCATTGCAGTTCACTAATACTGTCAGCGAGGGGAATCAAATAAAAGAAGATCAGCACATAAATACATAAGAATAAATAAAGAAGGGGCAGGCAAAACGATCGGAGTCATAAAAATGAGGGAAATAATAATGGTATACACATATATTCTGCATAAATGACCACCTCAATTTCCGTGGTGCAACATTCATATTATCGGCTGGAAGGTGACATTGGACAGGAGGGACAATGACTAGTGTGCTGGAGGTATGGTACCGAATACTGATCTGATAAGCAAGTAGCCCAGGTCGAAGCTGGTATACAGCCCGTGGTTCGTCCTCCATTCGCCGAAGATGCTCCGGGTTTGACCTAACAATTCGGGAAGATCCCTTCGGTGCCTAGTGACAGCAGCATTTAACACGTGTAACGGTCATCTGCCACATCGACAAGGGACTCACCAGGATAATACCAAAACGTAACAGCCAAAATCAAGTACAAGCCTACAGAGTGCGTTGAGTGCGAAACGCACCATGATGCCACAGAAACTTACACATGAGGATCATTCCTTCCAACCAATTTGACTTGCCGTCCTGTACGACGTAGTTGACAGTGAGGACTATTTTTTGTTCTTCCGATCAGTAATTTCTCCTGCATCAAAGTAGAGACGCACCAGAAAGGAACAATACGATGGACTCCAGCGGGTCAAAGAGAAGTGTCAATGGTTTGCCCATGATCCAGCCAAGTGTCACGATGAATCTAAGACCATCTGAGTAAACGATATGTAGAAGGGGACAAGGGCACAACGCACGGAATCACAAAGAGCGCAATTTGCTGAAAACGATGGGTTACCATAGAAGCCATGTCTGCAGGACTGAACTCACAATACTCGAACCCACAGCAACGCCCAAGCTTAAAGTCAGTTTATCCTTGACAGATACTGTAACCGCAGTGACGTGCTCCGCTGCATTACCGACGATTGGGAGCAAAATAACACCAACGAACTCCTTGTTGATTGCCCCGGATGAAGTCAACCCATCAATCGAGTCAACGAGGAACTCTGCAGTGACAGCGACCAACTAAAGCGAAAATTCGAGAAATTTGTATCGCTATTATGATAGGCACGTACCACCGTTACGACAATCAAAAGCCAAAGGCTTACGGCCAGGCTCATCATGGGTTGCTCTTCAGCCTCCTCCACTGGTGCCGTAGAACGGGTCCCAGGTTCCACGTCGAGGGCGGCATCTGCGGGGCGGAATGCTGCCCCTCCTTCATGTGTTGAAATCGGGGAACTTGCTAATTCACCGTCCGTGATATTCCTACGATTGCGCATCCTTTGCAACCGGAATGGATTTTCGCCAACGTAGCCCTTGGTTTGTTGCATATCTTCATTAGCGTCGTCGTAAAGGGCTTTGTGCGAAAATAACTGGAAAACCAGATAAGATGCGTAGACTGGATAGTTGAGAAGTTAGTTGCTAAGAAAATCGTTTTATTTGACCTACTGAAAAGAAGAATGATTGCGACCTATGTGAACAGCGTAAGACCAAACGTATCACGAATGTTAGTTCACGCACGCCATGGCTAGTTTTCAATATGTTGTAATCGGTCGATAATTCATCATATTGTGGTTGGCCCTGCAGTGCCATGTGAAAAGCCCCAGGTAATAGAACAGCAATGACGCTGATGGTGAGTAATGACGAGTTAAGTTGCACGGCACCTAAGCCACAGGGGCAAGTATCAAAAGTCTGTACCAAGTTGGGACGAGCAAGTGCGTACTTTGACCAAATCCCTGTTCCGAGAAGCGGAGACCACCGGCGAAGAAACACATGCCCAGCACTAGTACTATAGGGCACATTAATTGATTTCATCACAATCAGCTTGAAGCTTACAGAGGTTGCTCAGGATAGAGCCCACCACTATTGGAAAATAACATGAGTCTAAGGTCAAGGAAGCTGCAGGAGTAATGTTCATGAGACACATACGGGACGACTGAACAATTGTAAGTTGACACTTCGCAAGCGCGATGACCTAGAGTGGGTCAATTGGTCATCCTACAGGCTGCTGGAGTCTGGATATACGTACTGATACGATGAGTTCGACGCTGTACGCAAAAGGGAACAGGATAAGAAAGTGATCAACCAAACAAAAGATTTACCGACGCATTTCCCTATAATCCGTCAAACCTCAGTGGGATACAGGACCGATAAATGAAGCACTAACTAATGTTGCGTTGAGAAGACCAGCTAGAGTTTGACCGACTCGGAGTGAAAGCTCGTCAGTCGCGAAGGCGAGTAGCTGCGAGTACATCAAACCTCAACGATAGCGGAAAGTGAATCTATGTTACCTTGGCTAGTGGTATAATAGCAAGAAATGCAACTGAGGCCACCTGTGAGGTAGCTTACAATGAAGGTGGACTCATGTACTTACAAACAAATATAAGGGTATGCTGATCGGGTAGAGCAAAATTCATCGCCCACTTTCGGACGCAAAGCGTTAGATGGCCCGAGCTAAGACAAAAAGCAACATACAGATATCGGGATAAAGACCAACAAGACATTTAGCCCTAGAAGACAAAATCAACAGAGCCCATGGATTGCAAGAATTCATTTCACATGAAGCAAAAACAATCGCTTGAATGCTTTTCCACACGTTGGGGGCCGTGCCTATCGGTTTTTCTGGCTTGACCATCAATGTTGCAGCTCTATGAATATTCGAAAAGTTGAAGGGGCTTCTTTCAGGTTTGTCACGGGTGTCTGCAATACTTATGCGTGGCAGATTGGCAGAGGCAGACGGTCTTTGGGTAAGCGGAATCGTTTCCTCTATAGTATTGGGTGCTCGAAAGCTACTTTCAGTAGAATGAACCATCTCTGATGGCCCATCGCGTATGGAACCTGTCCATGATGGGCCATGGCAAGAATGATGAGCAAAATCCACACCGATGCGTTGAGTTCTGAACGTACCCATGATACACAGCAATGGCGGCAGAAGGCGGCAGAAGGGGATTTGGTGAAATGCTGTTTCTATGTTGGAAGTCTTTAAATGCGTGCGCACTGCCGTTATGCCAAGATTTCTAAACAGCCTTTCTGGAAATTACCATATATATATGATCGTTGATCGATGTTTCAGCAAAAGGCCAGCAACTCTCAATAATATTGTTATGTAGTCCTCAAGCCACATCCAAGACAATCGACAACGGTTATTATAATTGTCTTGCAAGTTGCAGTTGTATCAGTGCTTCATTTGTGCACAATTGAAGCGTGTTCAGTCAACGACAATCTCTTTGTGCAAGCGCTACGCGTGGAACGTTCTGGATGCGATGCCTGCCAAGTCTGCTAATCCATTAGCGCTCGGCATAACTATCCACCTCAGCCAGGGCAAAATCTTGTTGTTTAGTAGAAAATATTTACACCGCTGACATCAAACCACAAGTCCCCCATAACGATATTGACCATGAGGGTTAAACGGACGCCCCCCCATAACAGATTATGGCTTATAGTATCCGAGCAGCTCGGAAATGCAAGGCTGCCTGCATGCAGCAGTTCACTGCCTTCGAGGTGCACGGTGCACCCATTAAGTTCCGGCTCCAAGTACCTACCACCTTTTGACTTGTGGCTGTTCGAATGACAAACATTGATGCGCTTCACATAGTTATAACTCGACGACAACGTCTTATAGCAGATTCATCGGCACGGAGCGTTGTGGTGAGTAGGCTTGCAAGTTGAAAGACCGAGTCTAAGGAAGGGTGGAGGACGAAACGGGATTTAGGCCATGTATCACAGTAGAGTTTCGGGCCGCAATGCAGCCACGTTGGACCGTCATCCCGTGTCAATTTGGCTGTCTCCGAAAACGTGGCATCCATAGGTGGCATGCCGTTTTTTTGTGGTGTTCTTTTTGTTGTCTGGTGGGGCAAAGCCCTACAGTAGACAATACAGTAGACAATACATGCAGTATTAACTTTATTTACTAGTTTCTTCTTATTTCAGACGAGGGCTTCTTTATTTGTCCAGGCGTAAGCGACCCGAAACTTGTACGCCAACTGAAGGTGAGTGAGTGGTGTTGTGAGCATCGCGTCTCGCCATTCTGCGTTTCCTTGGCTTGGGGGGGTTGACGTGACGTACCCGAACAATTGTTCCAACCTTCTTGTGTGCGCAACGTATCGGAAAAGGCCCTTTGTGTAATCGCGGTTGCTCAGAGCATGGAACGTTAAACGCAAACGAATGGCAGGGAAATGTCACGAGCAAGAACATCGCAAGGCCGTTTTATGGCAGTCTCGTGTATTCCGCGCCGTAAGGTCTTACGATTGCTACTCCAAAAGAGGCGAACCCACTCGTACCCAGGTCAGACAAAACTGCTGTATAAAAAGAAGGCCTGGAGGAGGTCGGCATTATGCGGTGGATCGGACCCGCCAAGCAAAAAGCTTGTTACCTCGAGCCACTATCAAATGAGCGCCAGTAAAATTTGATACAAACTTCCAGTAGGCACGGAGGTTGACAGGGCAAGAGGGCAGGATGATTTAGCCTGATATCTGCATGACGCTCAAATAAATGAGATGTGATTGGCCCGTGTTGTGAAGCTATATTTACCTCGAAGTCAGATTCAGCAAGTCTAACAGAACGAGATAACGCGGGTACTGGGAAGGATGAAAATAGCAATGAAAGTGGCCCTCTGGAGTCTGGACCAATTTGAGGGCTGTTCGAAAAAGCATACCGTGGGTACACTACCCTGGGCTGTCGTTTCAGCCACGTCAATATATGGAAGCGTAAACGCTCGTCCAAGGAATGGATACCCTATGCCTCCATACCTCGCCCGGGTGGGAAACCGAACCAGCATGGCGACACATTTGAAGCAATGTCATCGCCGATGGATTATCTGAATCGCCAACAGTCGTCCTGGTATCTCCATCGGAAAAGCCGCCATCCGATCCATGGTTCGCGCACCAATCATTATTCAGTGTTCACAAACGTCGCAAGACTACGAAGGATAGGATGTTCGCGGATCGGGAAGTCGTCCTGCAGGACCATTTTGTGTTTTTGGGTATGTCAGTTCAGCAAAAATAGATCTCTGGAGCCAACATACACACAATTGACGACACCGGCGACGCTACTGCAGGTATTTGACAACAATGGCCTCTCACTAGATTGTATGGCGAGAAAATTGATGACGGTTGTGAACCACAGATTCCGACCGCAGCAGAGCCTAGGCTGCTTGGGGTAATTGTCAGAGCTTTTGAAGGTGAAGGTTTTGGAGCAGACTGGCGATTGCAGTGACTATTGCGTCAGCATCGGGTTATGTATACAAAAATGTGGCGGCTCGGAAATAAATATTATTCGACTCCATTCCTTGTCCCACTAAAAACTCTTGCAACACATTCACCCACACCCTCGCCAGTTCATCTCTTGGAATGGCTTCAGAATCCAGTTCAAATGGCCTTGTCGCTGTCTCTTTGCCAAACAGAGAAGGAAACATTGGGAACAAGCCACCGGTATGGCCTCTGCAGGACACCAGTGGAACACTTACCCCACCTCTGCCCGCGAAATGTGACAGAAACGATCGTCGGGACGGTGTTTGCTGCAAAGACTTGAAAGATGAAGATGATCGCACGCTCATTGATCCTGATGTCGTCCGTGATGTGTGAGTAACTGTCTTGATTTCATCTTATTGGACGGGACATGGAGATAATTTGCAGTGTCATCGGACTTTCAGACGGCTTGACAGTCCCCTTCGCACTGGCAGCGGGTCTGTCATCTTTGGGCACCTCAAGATTAGTTGTCGTCGGTGGAATAGCCGAACTCATTGCTGGTGCTATTTCTATGGGCATTGGCGGCTTCTTAGCATCTTCGGCAGAGCGGGATCATTACCAGTTCATGCGACGCCACTTGTCGGCACGGGTGCAGCGGAGCTGCGTTGGAGAAATGGAGAGGGAAGTATACGATGTGCTTGGGCGCATAGGTGTCGACGAGCAGACATGCCGCGCGGTTACCAAGTGCCTCAAAGATGCGGAATTTGACCCTGAAGTCGATGGAAACAGTTCGCCGTCAGATGAAGAAGCGCAGTTGCTAAGATGGAAGAACCAAGTCGGTCTGACACCGTTTCTACTCAAATTTGGAGAGGGAATGGGTGTGTATCGTTTAATTCATAAATACTGTTCATACTGATAATTTTATTTTTAGAGGAAATCTCGAAGCGTCGAGTATACGTTTCGGCGCTGACAATTGGTCTTGGATACTTGGTTGGCGGAATCATTCCCTTGATTCCATACTTCTTTGTTCCAGAAGCGCATGTAGCGCTCATATACTCCTGTATTGTCACAGGTATCGTCCTGCTGATATTCGGAGCTGTGAAATCTCGCGTTACTGGTGCTGGGCAGGGCGCTGGAGGGTACATATGGGGAGCAGTCAGCACTCTGTTTGTTGGTGGTACCGCTGCCGCCGCAGCTTACGCTCTTGTTGCATGGCTGGAAGTTTCGTAGGCTTAGCGCGTACGAGTTTTCCTCGATTTATAGAATCAACGCATCATTTACACGAGCAGCATGAGTGGTCTGGTAGATGGCTGAGCGCTGAGTTGTTGTCAACTTGCAACCTTGGGTGTTGTTTGGACAAGTAAATGCGTACGGTCACGTGATTGACAGCACATCTAAAATCTTCCAGCACCAAAAGATCTAACCGCCAAATTAAACGCTACTGTTCAAGCTACCATGGAGGCGTACGAAACTTATCAGACACCTCTTTCCAGGTATTCCACTTCTCACTTGTTCAATTTCCGTCCTGATTCACGTCTGCGATAGCCGATATGCGAGCAAGGAAATGGCTCATCTCTTCTCCCCGGCAGTACGTGATCGCATCGTCTATTGCAGCTCCTGCTTAACTCTATAACAAGCATCGGTTCAAAACATGGAGAGAGTTATGGCTCAATCTTGCGATTGCTGAGAAGGAGCTCGGGCTTCCAATCTCAGAAGAGGCACTCAAACAGATGAAGAGCAATTTGGTGAGTGAATAGTGTAGTGTTGCGCTGTTACGTATCTCATTTTCAATGCGGTCAGGACCTTACTCCAGAGCAATTTGATATCGCTGCGAAAGAGGAAAAGAAGCGTCGCCACGATGTCATGGCGCATGTTCATACGTTCGGACAAGTCGCACCTGCTGCCGCAGGTATCATCCAGCACGTCGTGTCACTGTCCTTTTCGACCCTTTACTGACGTGCGCTCATTTTAGCCTTGGTGCAACGTCGTGTTATGTGACAGAGTGAGCGTCGGGATTTCATATCCGCTGTGACTCAGGCTTACATTTGATGTCAGTAATGCGGACCTGATCTTCATTCGCACTGGCTTGACATACCTCCTGAAATCGCTTGCTGTTGTAATCTCACGACTCTCGGCGTTTGCTGCGCAATATAGAGCACTGCCTACGCTTGGATTCACCCATTTCCAACCAGCCCAGCTTACAACTGTAGGCAAACGCGCTACTCTGTGGATTCAGGTGCAAGGTTTTATGTATTAACCCCTGGATGGAACTTAACACGTATTACACATGTAGGAGCTTCTGTGGGATTTGAGGAACATTAAACGGGCACGCGACGACATCGGATTCCGTGGGGTGAAAGGCACGACAGGGACGCAAGCGAGCTTCCTCACCTTGTTTGACGGCGACCATGACAAGGTCGAAGAGCTGGACGAACTCGTGACAAAACTCAGCGGGTTCAGCTATGCATACCCTGTTACTTCGCAGACATACTCGAGGAAAATAGATGCTGACGTCCTTGCCCCTCTCGCGTCCCTCGGTGCCACAGCGCACAAGATCGCGACGGATCTGCGGTTATTAGCGAACCTTAAGGTGCTCTTCTATCGTGCTGATGCGATTTGACGGTGATTGACGGCGATCGCACAGGAAGTGGAAGAGCCTTTCGAGTCGACGCAGATAGGATCCTCTGCAATGGCGTACAAGCGGAACCCGATGCGCTCTGAGCGCGTGTGCAGTCTCTCGAGGCACTTGATGGTCCTCCATCAAAATGCACTTATGACCTCTAGTGTACAGTGGTTTGAGCGGACGCTTGATGACAGGTAGCCTCCGATCATCAGTGGTTCGTGGGTTGAATGCTGACATGGCGATGAACAGTGCCAACCGAAGGATCACTCTTCCTGAAGCATTCTTGACGGCGGATATTGTTCTCTCGACGCTACAAAATGTCTGCGAGGGCCTCGTGGTGTACCCAAGGGTGATCGCACGTCGGATCGCTCAGGAACTCCCGTTCATGGCGACTGAAAACATTATTATGTCTATCGTGAAGAAGGGGGGCGATAGGCAGGAAGCTCATGAGAAGATCAGAGTAAATGAACACATCATATCGCTGTTGTGACAACCATACTGATACTTTCATCATACTAGGTCCTCTCCCACGAAGCGGCACACCAAGTGAAGAACCTGGGTCTGGAGAATGATCTTATCGCACGTGTGCGAAACGACCCATATTTCAGTCCTATCCATGAAGAACTAGAGCAACTGCTGGACCCTCAAACGTTTATCGGGCGCGCACCAGAGCAGGTGGACAAGTTCCTGAAGGAGTGGGTTGAACCTGCCTTGGATGATGATGAGCTGAAAGTGGCAGTCGCGGATGGTGGTAAGGTGGAGTTGAGTGTTTGATGAAGCTCTTGAGAAGTTTCATACGGGGAGCGGTGGCCATGTCGATGCCCACAAGAAGTTTAAATCATAGATATCACGCTCACTAAATTTAAGGATGTTCTTGAGATGCCGAGGTTCCGGTGCGGTGTTTAAAGATTTGAACAACCGCTAACCGCGAGTGTGCTTGCAGCAGTAAGTTAACGGCGTTTTCGGTTCTTTGCCCTCTCTCTGCTGTTGTCATACAGCGCAAAAGTAGTAGGAGAATACCCCAGATCGCAGCGAACGGTGAGCGATCCCATTTTTTTTTGGCTGAGGATGGTGAATTGACCATCAACGGAATGCCAGGTGTGCCATCATCTCCCACGCCGTCGCGCGTGGTCTTCTCATTTCAAGCCTTCGAATATCAACATTCTTTGCATCTATCACCCATACTGTCATCCTTCGTAACTGCTGGCTAAAACTAAAGATCTGAGCCGCAGTACATTCTATCAGAAGCTGGCATAAGAAGAACCTGTGAGCCCTCTCCTCCTTTACCTTTTTAGTTATGTTCGGGCAGTCCAGCAATCCCCACGCGGCTGCGTTGTTTTTATATGCATCTCTAAACAATGAACAGCTTTCGGGTCCAACCATTTACCCGGAAAACAAAGTCTGACTGCGAGTTTCCTTAGTTTCTGCTCGTTCATATGGACAGTCTTCAAATCCCGGACAATTCTTATGCAGGTCCTTCTAGACACAATGGCGCTTCGCGTCCTGTGTCTGTGTCTCCATCACCTGTAACCACGTCACAGTCCACGTCACGGAGACAAAGGGCATCACACCAAGTAGTCTCTTCGCAGCAGCAACTCCAGCAGCAAGCCGAAGATCAACCAGCTTATCGCGACGTTTACTCCCACCCAGCTGCTGTGGCATATACTGCAGCCCACCCAAGGCGTACTATTCCGAAGTTTGGGCCCTACATTTTACTTCAAACCGTCGGAGAAGGAGAATTCGGGAAAGTGAAGCTTGGGTTACACAGTCAATGGGGAGAAGAAGTCGCTGTCAAGCTTATACGGCGAGGCAACATAGACACCACTGTGCGGATGTCTAAGGTGGAGCGTGAGATTGAGGTTCTTCGGGTAAGAACTCTATACATTCGGATTAAAGTCTATGATGCCGATACTCGTCGATCCACAGACCCTCAAGCACCCCAATATTGTTCGGTTATACGACGTAATTGAAACGGATAAATATATCGGCATCATTCTCGAGTACGCCTCCGGCGGCGAGCTCTTTGATCACATCCTGGCTCATCGGTATCTAAAAGAGAAAGATGCTGCCAAGCTCTTCTCTCAGCTAATTTCGGGCGTCTGGTACATCCACCAAAAGAAGATTGTTCACCGCGACCTCAAGCTTGAAAATTTACTTCTTGATCGTCACCGTAATGTCATTATCACTGACTTTGGATTCGCCAATCGCTTCGAGCATCGCGCAGATGATCTCATGCAGACGAGCTGCGGTTCACCTTGTTATGCCGCTCCAGAGCTGGTCATTTCAGAAGGGCTCTATGTCGGTTCTGCCGTCGACATTTGGTCCTGTGGCGTCATATTGTATGCCATGCTTGCAGGATATCTTCCTTTCGACGATGACCCTGCCAACCCCGACGGTGATAACATCAATCTGTTATACAAATACATTGTCAACACACCCCTCTCTTTTCCCGACTATGTCTCTGCGGAAGCCAGAGATCTCCTCGCTATGATGCTGGTTCCTGATCCAACACGGCGTGCTGATCTGCGGTCCATCATGGCACATCCGTGGCTATCAACGTACGCATACCTCTTCGAGAAGAACGTGGATGACCTTGAGCATGTTGCGATGGAGCAGCACCAGCAGAGGAGACTGGCGTACCAAAGGCAGATGAGGCAGGCTGCGGCTGCGGCATCGGCCAAAGATCCTGCCAAGGTGTCGCGGACACAGAGCGCACGGGTTGAAGGCATCTTAAACAGCGCTGGTACCTCCGCACCACCACCAAGGAGCCACTCCTACAGAGACCACCCATCTGGTCAGCCGGAGCTGATCTATGACAGTTCAGTAGACCAGTCCATTTACTCCTCGTCTTCTCCTGCCAATCCCATTCCCGCTTCCCGTAAAGGCGCAGTTTCTGCCATCGTCATGCCGAAGACCGTACAATCGTCCAATGATGATGATCCCTTCGCACCGTCTTCGCACGCTGTTCATATCCCCGTTACCATTTCCAAACCCAATGACACAGCGTCGGTAGGAAGGAGTAGTAGAGAAGGCAGTTCTCAAGGGGCCCAATCTTCGCGTCATGGTCCCCCGCCATCTGCCCATATCGCGACAGATTCCGGAAAGAAGAAAGGCATGATCGATAGACATACGATCCAGGTCGAGTATACTGACCAGAGTGCTCCAACGCCGGAGCTCGCTCCAAACTTCAGCCAATCCATCACCAAGAAGGGCAGCTCACAGACGGGTACCTCAGATCGCATCATTTCCACCTCAATCGCCAGTTCTCCTGCAAAGGAAAAGTCCAGCCACGACTCTTCTTTCAATGCAAACCCGAGGCCACTTCCTGCCCCTCCTGCAGTCAGCACTCCGTCACGAAACCAGCCATCTCAGCTTTCTTCCTCGACCTTACGTGCTGCGCAAAATCGGACACCTACCGTCTCTGTTTCTCCAGCAAGTCCCCCTATGTCTATGGAAGACAAGTCGTTTCGGTCTGTCAAGACAGGCAATGGCACCAGTTCAACAAATTCTACCTCTAGCCGCCACCGGAAAGGACTCTCCATCGACAAGTTCGGTTTGGGCAAGATTTTTGGTACAAATGGCGAGCACGCTGCGGCCAATGGATCCACGTCCCGTGTGCCGTCGGAGAGCTCTGCTGCTGGGGCATCTTCTATCGTAGAGGAGAGGAGAGGATCAGCGCAGAACAGTGTCAGCGATGTTCCAGCTTCTCGCTCCAAGTCTTCGCTCCTCAGTCCAGGAGGATCCAACAACATCACTGACGCCGAGGCAAGCAAAAAGAACCGGCGGAATACCCTCACCGTTATGGTTGAGCCATTCAGCCGCTCAATCAAATCACTCTCGAAGAAAACGCCTACTGACACGCCAGTCAAGGAGAAAAACATTCCACCCTCCGCTATCGCCTCACCTCAGAAGCAAACCGCTGTGTTCCCTACCCTGGACAAGATGCAAGATGGACCCACTGGCGATATGCCAGCTTCAACGACGAAGGCACGCAACGTCATGCAATGGTTCCGGAGGAAGAGTACCGCCAAGGCTGGCAGGGACATCGACGATTCCCCCGACATGTCTCCCTCTCGTAGGACAGACTATTCTTCGCCAATTCCTGCCTCGAGAATGGAGATCAGAAACGCGGACCTATCCAGTTCATACCCTGCGCAAGAGAATTCCTTCTCGTTCAGCAAAGCCGGACGCATGTTCTCGTCGTCGTCGCCGTCGGCAAAAGATGTCTTGCGAATCCACCATGGCGCTGTTGATCAGACTACTATCACGACCAGGCCTCCTCCTGAGGTGATCAAACATGTATGCCAGGTGCTCGAGGGAATGGGCATTGAACTCAAATCGGAGAGCGAATACAAGTACCGCTGTATACGGGCGAAGAGGAAGAAGAGTGGTACTATTGGCTTGGGATTCAGTGGAAGCGGTAATGGGTTAGCTGCGTTCACGATGGTTGGGTCAGCAGCATCCAATGGGGTGAGTTTAAATGGTTAATGCTGCGGGTTGTTCTAATTTTGATGACTAGGTTGACAAGCGCGGATTGCCTGTGCCATCAACCTCGTCGTCAGCGGGAGGGATGCTCAAAGGTTTGCTTATGCGTAGGCAGTCTTCCCAGGTATCAGGCGTTGCGCCATCCCAGGTGTCGATGGATGATGACAGTGGTGTCACGGCTTCATCGCCGGTCGATTCACCATCGGGCACTAACGAGACAGTTTATGGTGACACTAGCCAAGACGCAGGGGATGAAGTCCGCTTCTCAATCGAGTTGACACGCATAGATCGTTTGAAAGACACGTACAGCCTCGACATCCGTCGTTTGAAAGGTAATCTTAGGAGCTACAAGTTCTTGTATGACACCATCAGAGAGTGCGTCGCGCCGCTTTCGTTGTCTTCTGAACCTTGGCTTATCTCGTTTATAGGCGTGCCGATTTACAGCGATAATTTCGGGGGCTGGAACCCTAAAGCCATCGACACGCATTCATGCTTGCTCCTCGTTTTCTATACCCTACTCGTGCTGTAATTTTCCTCGTTCTGTTCCAAGGCTTCCTGCCCTATGTCTCCCCTGCGTCGCTGTCTGGTTTTCATTCCACTCGTGTTCACTGCTATCGTAGCTCCTTGGTTTCTACATATAGTCCATCATCACACCTCCTGCGCTTTCAGCCAACATCATAAAGTCCATAAAGTTTCTTCTTTTTTTCCCTTTATTCTTTCCTTGTCTTTCTTCCGTAGTAGTTATAATTTGGCAAAATCTCGATTCAAGTTTATGCTGTACCGTATATACGTATGTGTCACTCGGACCAGTCTTATTTACCCTCAAGGAATGGATAATGTACATAATTCAATGCGACATACACGATTGAGAATTCAAATCCGCATTGTACACCGCCATTCAATTCAACTGCTTATACTCCACTTCTCTGTCCTCAGTAGGTGTGTGCACGAACGACTCATGGATGGCATGTTTGGGGGTGAGGCGAAGTCCGATGGTGAATCAAACCTCCGTCATGTCGATTGACCGAGAAACAAGCTATTGCATTTCAAATATAGTATGGACTGCCGAGACTTGAGTCGGAGGTGAGTTGTGTACGCCTCATGGCACGCACAACCCATTGCCCACTAGATCATCTAGATTTGACAAGCTTAAGAAGAGCGCTCACAGCATTCACACACCGATAGCGATTAAAAGTCTACTACTCTCAGCGCTGAACATTTCTCACCGCTCAGTCCCATTACTACCATTAACCTTTCTTCATGGATTCTTCAAAGATAAAAATGAAGATCGATCGCTTCCGAATTCTTATCATAGGAAGAGCGAATGCAGGGAAAACTACCATCCTCCAGAGGGTGTGCAATACAAAAGAGAACCCTGAAATATTTAATAGCGCTGGGGAAAAGGTGCGCATCATGATGCTAGTACGAGGCCAACAGTGATGGCTGTCTCATCGACATCAGATCGATGCCGCTGTTTTGACAGCATCTAGAGAGGTAACATGTACCATTAGTCGGCAACATAAACTGACATATTCACAGCGTGGAGAGCACGACATCGAAAATGAAATGGTGTTTCAATCCAACCCAGGATTCATCTTTCATGATTCGCGCGGCTTTGAAGCAGGCGGCGAATCCGAGTATGACAGGATGAACAAATTTATCGCAGACCGTTCGAAAGAAGGAAACATGAAGGATAGAATCCACACTATATGGTAATTGGTCGAGTTGGCGACATTCACTGGCTCACTGCTTTGACATAGGTATTGCATACCTATGGATAAGGCAAGCAGGTGTTTCACTGAAGCCGAAACCAAATTCTTCTCCCGCTGCGACACTGGAAGCAGTAAGCTTTTGGACTTGTCCATTAACCATCAACTGATTCGCAACTTCCTCAGTTCCAGTCATCGTAATATTTACCAAATTCGACGCACTCTACGCTACCGAATTCACGCGACTGACAGAAAACGGAATGTCGAGGAAAGATGCCAAACGGCTGGCCCCAAAGCACGCCGAGGAGTCATTTGCGAACGGGACACAAGTAAAGTATCTATACGACCCAAAGACCATCCGGCGGCCTCCAAAATGCCACATCTGCCTCCCAGGTAAGCTGTAGATCATCGAAGTCTGATACATGATGACTGTTGATCCATTAGACATGAACATGGATGATGCTGATTGCGGGCCACTCATCGAACGGACTGCTGGCACTCTGGACGATCAAGTCCTTCAGCAATTGTTTGTCTCGACGCAGCGGACCAACTTAGAACTCTGCATGAAATATGCAGTTGAGGAGTATCTACCTATCATTTGCCTGCCGCGAGCATTATTAACTATCGTCCAGCGTACTTGCAGAGCTTGTTGCCCCAGATGAGAAAATCTCATCTGAGGATGCAATAGCTAATTTGGGTAACTGGTTTCCACATATTTGGGTAAGATTACGGGAATGTTCGAAAGTTGCTCTCATTTATGTTGGGTGTTTTTTTACAGGTAGTACGTCTGTTGATCCTCGTTCGCGCTCGAGCCATGCTGATCCAAGTCGTTGACCACTCTTCGCAGGTTGTGAGTGTCTTGATCCTCCTTCGAGCTCGAGCCATGCTGATCCAAGTCGCTGCCTACTCTTCGCAGGGTGTGAGTGTCTTGACCCTCCTTCGAGCTCGAGCCATGCTGATACGAGTCGTTGCCCACTCTTCGCAGGGTGTGAGTGTCTTGATCCTCCTTCGAGCTCGAGCCATGCTGATCCGAGTCGTTGCCCACTCTTCGCAGGTTGTGAGTGTCTTGATCATCCTTCGAGCTCGAGCCATGCTGATCCGAGTCGTTGCCCACTCTTCGCAGGTTGTGAGTGTCTTGATCCTCCTTCGAGCTCGAGCCATGCTGATCCGAGTCGTTGCCCACTCTTCGCAGTTTGTGAGTGTCTTGATCCTCCTTCGAGCTCGAGTCATGCTGATCCCAGTTGTTGCCCACTCTTCGCAGACTGTGAGTGTCTTGATCCTCCTTCGAGCTCGAGCCATGCTGATCCGAGTCGTTGCCCACTCTTCGCAGGGTGTGAGTGTCTTGATCCTCCTTCGAGCTCGAGCCATGCTGATCCGAGTCGTTGCCCACTCTTCACAGCTTGTGAGTGTCTTGATCCTCCTTCGAGCTCGAGTCATGCTGATCCAAGTCGTTGCCCACTCTTCACAGCTTGTGAGTGTCTTGATCCTCCTTCGAGCTCGAGTCATGCTGATCCACGTCGTTGTCCACTCTTCGCAGCGTGTGAGTGTCTTAATCCTCCTTTGAGCTCGAGTTATGCTGATCCAAGTCGTTGCCCATCCGTTGATAGAATGTGAGTGTTGATCCTTCTTATCGCTCGAGTCTTGCTGAGAGAAGGAATTCCTGATCCATCGGCAGAATGTGAGTATATTCATCCTTCACCAGCCTTGAGTTATATTCACCGAAAGAATTCCTGATTCGTTAATAGCTGGTAAGCATGATCATACTCTGTCGACCTCCTGCTCTGCTCACTGACGCAATTGTGGATCCATTGTCAGAGTGTGAGTTTCTTCATCCGCTGTCGACTTTGAGCCCTGCTGACCAAGTACGTTGGGTGATTCGTTGACAGATTGTGAGTTGGTCTATTCGCCGTCAAGCTCGAGCCATGCTGACGGAAGACCTCGCCCACCCGTTCACAGACTGTGAGCGCATCGATCCTCTGTCGAGCTCCGGCATTGCTGACCCGTGAAATTGCTAATCCACATTGACAGGTTGTGAGTGTGTTCTTCTGCCGTCGAGCTCGAGCCTTGCTCACTTGTGGCATTGCTCATTTCTTAACAGACTGTGAGTGTCTGATCCCTCGAGCCTTTCTCAACAACGACATCGCTGATCCATTGATAGGAGGTGAGTTTGTTCATCTTCCTTTGGCCTTGAGCCATGCTGACCGAAGACTTTATTCATTGACAGAATGTGAGTGTATTGGTCCTCAGCAGAGGGTGACAATTTTCAACTTTCCATCATCACTTCAGCTTTACGGTAATCAACGTACAGAGATGCGGTCTAGGATACTCTCTGTGGTGCGTTCAATTGGTCACAGGCTGTACGCACCTGTTTAAATGTACCAGACTTCTGCCAGTGCATCACCATTCGAGCAAATTCTCCAGCTTGGTTCTGGTGAATCTTCAGGCCGCATCGCAGTGAACTTGCTCATTTTCAATCATTTAGCTGCTGTCATTATTTTCGAACACTCTTTCTACATTTTCGACCAGCGACGCCATCTTAAGGACCAGCAAGAATCTGTTTCCTCTTTTCATGTCGCTCTCGAGCGGTATATGGCGTCTCCGCAAGCAATTGCTGTCAGGGACGCCGTGAACACTGCTGTCAGTGACGCCGTGAACACTGCCGTCCACGCAAATCAAGGAAACTCGACTAATTGGAAAGCGAAGCTACTGTTTGGACGTTTCCGGAGGAAGGACAGACAATCTAAGGATTACTCGGGTTTACTCGAAACAATTCTTAAAATCGCTTTAGAACATCGTCTGCGTATGTTTTAACTCTCATGATTGTGGCAATTCCGCTGATTTATTTGTCTTCAGCACGACCTTGATGTCAGGCAATGGATCACGACGTAGATGATGCTTAGAGTCATATCCTGGAGACAAATGAGGGTTTCTAGAATGGTCTGTCGAGGGCGGTTTAAATTTTGTGGGGTGTGGTACTATCAAATTTGTACAATCATGCAATTACGGGACTTTCTCTCTGGTATGGCGTATATATGCGTGTCATTTAGCTGAGACAGCGGTTAGGCATACTGGGTCTCTAACAGCAGCTTGATGTATCTCCCAGCTATTCTGGTCCGATTGGTCGTGTCAGAACCGCGTATCATTCTGCTCCAGTGTTTCTCAACTTTTCAAAAAGACATCTCGTTTATTGTCGTTTCAGAATTATACTCTACAGAGACACATGGAACGTCCCCGAAAACGTCAGTGACTCCAGCTAGTGGCTGGGTAGGATCTCTGGGAAGCCTGCAACTTGGTGGATAATGGCCACGGACTTCAAGCAGCGGACGCACCCTGAAAATGTCCAGCTGTCGTTCTTTGCAGGGACAGCATGCATGTTATCATAGCTCTGGCTTATGAAGTCAAGGTGGATGTACTAATCCCTCATACGTCAAGCATTTGCGCTCTGTGCACCCAGGGCCCACGGTTACTACGGCCTCGCCATGAAGAACGGCATGAACGATTTATATGTCGTTCGTCCGATAGCACTGCGCTCCAGAGTCGTCTGTAAGGCAACGCGAATGACAAGCCAAAGTGGAGACCGCCTCCACGGCAATTTCGCGCTGTCCCACAGCACATCATCTCCGATGCGCTTGCGGATGCGGGGAACATCAGCAATGCTCCCGAGGCCACGCAGTATACCAGTCAGGAGTTCCGTGATATAACGGGGATGTGTTGTGTCCCTCTCTTCGAGAACAGTGGATCTGGCTTTTTTCCTCGTTGGTGCCGCATCAAGGACATCTCGATCCATGCGAACGAGAAAATTCGCCAGCTCGGCAGAAAAGGTAGCATTATCGATGTTCACATCTGGGACTGTGATAGCAGGTCCAGGATATGAACAGATCAGCTTTCCCTTTGCTCCCATCACTGCGGTGGGGTCAGGAGAGACCTCGAACAATTCGAATATGGTCTCGAATTCGAGCCTTCTCATGACCACCGCAGCGTTTTGCGCCCGAATCATATATACAAGGACATCTGAAATTTGATGCTCAACACGGAAAAATGCAAATGAGATGAAGGTAGCAGACCTTTGTTGTCCATGGCGTTGATTTGAGATTCTACTTCCTTTGCAGACATCACGCTAAATCTGATTGAATCTTTGAGATTGCGAAGCATTTTCAAGCTGCTCGTCCAAAGCAGAAACTCATCGGACGGCAGCTGGTCACTGAAGGCGAGAGCAGCATCAAATACTGCCTGAGATAAGGCCAGCTCATTCTCAAGGGAATGATTACTCCTTTGCGGCAACTTAAGGGGAAGAAATACGTGATTGATGAGATATTGCAGACTCGATTGATCTGTTGGAAGACGTTTTACTGTTGTTGAATATTGAGCCATGTTATTGGGATCAGTGGGATAAGAGAAGAGTTGGCCACCGACGATGAATTTTGGCCACTCTGATAAGGAAAACTCCTGGGCGCTCATCGCCTCATGCCTCAGGGTTGAACGTTGAATCCGCACAAAGCGAGACATCACAGAAGTTTCACTGATGACTCGAGCGCCATCGATAGGCTGTACAAATGCGTGTACTAGAACTTTGTTCGTGCAGAGGGACGACTATCATCTTCCTTCTGATCTGCCTATTGGAGACTAGGTCTGGCTCCTTATATTGTTAGAATGTCGCGGGAGCTAAGTTGGTGTCGAGTCGGCGGTGCACCTATAGATGTACGGTCTTGTACGGTTCGGAACTTCGGATATTAATTGAGGAGAGTTCCGCAGATAAGGTTCATATAAGGCTAGCCATGTGACTTCTCGCTGATGATCTTTCCCAAGTCACGGTTTTGCTCCCGCTCCCGCAACTGCCTTGCAACATGAGCCTGCCAACTGCCAGGTTTTTCCACGGCGAACGTACAGCAGTAAGCTGCCAATAACACAGGTTACATGAGTCAAACCCACGGTTGTGCTGGGTTTGAATTTTGCACTAGGTTCTATGTACTACTAATAAGTAGCAAGTAATGATCAAAGTTTGAACTACATAGGTATGCTTGTTATCCATCCTTCAAGTTGTTGTGATATTTGCCTTGATCCCTATTCTGTCCCAGATCTTGCTACTTCTCCACATGCAATCGCGTGTGGCCATGTCTTTTGTCTCACGTGCGTCTAAATTTCTACTCCCGGCCAGCCTGCACCCAGCAATAATATTCATCTCTTGTTTTATATCCTCTTCAATCCCAGGTGCCTGTACTCTTTAGCCACCAGTGCATGTCCCCTCTGCCGCGAACCTTTCGAGCTAGATCATGTCAAGAAACTCCACCTCAGAAGTGAACCCGAACGAGATAATGCTGAACGGGGTGTTGTCTCCGATCATGCCAGTCTCCTTCTTCATCGCATGTCTCTAGTCTCAGGCGAAGACACACCAGAAATCGACGTCGTCGAAGTAGTCTCCGAAGTGCAGGAATGGCTACAGTCTCAACCGGATGACCCCAATTCTGTGAGTCCTTTTCATCGTGCAGGCGCATCGCAAACGCGACGGCACTTGTTGCCAACACCTCACCTAATTATTCTCAAATTTCTCACATGCGGCATTTTTAGCATATACCACTTCGAGCTGCGGTAGATTCCCTCCAGCGATACAAAGCTCTTCAACATGAGAGCGAGCGTGACAAAGAAGAATGTCGTCGCCTTCGCGAACAACTTCACAACAGCACACTAACCATAGACCATGACTCCAGAACATCTCGCGCTGTGGAAGACAGTCTGCTTTCTAGGATCGAGGAAATGGAGAATGAGCATGCTCTGTGAGTTTCCACTCATAAGTAAACAATTTTTTTCTAAATGACTTCTCCGCAGAGAGGTGATCATTTTGTTCAGTGGCATTTACGTTGTTGGACTTACCTTGCGTCCTCATAGCTGTCGCAATTGCATTCTCTGTTAGAGCTTGATAATTTACCCTGCGTCAGCGTTCGATATTCGGATAGTCCTGGCTACGTATATATACCTACCTCGTAGACTATTTTATTCTTGCCGCGTCTCCTGCCATGTCGTAGACATCACTCGCACCACTTTTATTTATCTTCCATGAATGGATAATATACATAATTCAATGCGACATACACGATCGAGGTTTCATCTACATCATACACCATCATCCAATTCTTCCACTGCTTCTCGACGCGCGCTTATTCCACTTCTCCGTCCTCGGTAGGTGTGCATGAATGACTCATGAATGGCGTGTTTGGGGGTGAGATTGCGCTCGAGAAATAGAATCCAGCGCTTGCCCCAAACTCGCTGCGTTCCACATAGGATATCCCAGGTGTTATGTACGCTGACATGCTGCCGAACTGTATTCCAGGCACGAAAGTCGGGGGAGGTAGGAGCTCGATGGGGGCCAAGATATGGTCAATCAGCGGGGGTGTCCAATCAAGGGAAGTCATGGAGGATGACAACCCGACAGGGCGGGATGTAGCCACCAGGGAGGCGGGATGTAGCCACCAGGGAGGCGGGATGTAGTAGCCCTGCGACAAGTGGACACTGGGGGGCACGGTGTAGTAGTGCTGCGGGGTAAAGGCGAAGTCCGACGGGGGCGCGAGGTAGCCCTCCGACGAAAAAGGTGCTATAGAAGACCCTTCACTCATAGAGTTGTCTGTCTCATCGTCCCCAAACACCAGAGCCAGATCGTTCTGTATGTCTTCCTGTATGCGAACAAGATTGTGCGAGTCCAAGTCTGAGCTGTTCTCAAGCGGTAACTCAAGGGAACTTGTCAAGGGCATCCTCCAAATCATCCGAGTCCGCGTCCGCTACAAATGGCAGGTCACCTGGCTCTGCACTGGAAGATGAGGAAGTGGTGTCCATGGTCTGGAGTGTCCGAACGACTAATGAGCATTTTGTGAATCGGTGAGGTGTTGCAGCTGAGAATCGAGGAAGGAAGGTTGGGAATGTAAAATGACCTGAGAGTCTTAAAAATGAGGGACGGTGAATCATGATATGAATGGGAGCCTTTTGTAGGGTCCACATCCACAACTTGATCAAGCAGCGCATTGTGAACTGATGGCGGTGAAGTACCAGTCGCCATTGTCAGGGGAATGTGACCAGGGAAAGCGAACCTTGAAATAACAGTAGCAGAAGAAGCAGAAGATATAGTACAACAATAGAGTACCGGACGGCCATAAGAACTAGATGAAATGGTAGAAAATGACGATTAGGAACAAGAACTGCGAGGTTTCTTCCCTAGTGTTCATTGTGTACTCAACAGACGCACTAGCACAGGTGATCCAGAGAAAGAAATGATTCCAGCATCCGGCCTGTATTCACCACACCCTGGCAGGGGTATTAATACACCCCTGGCCACTGTAGAAGGGTATGTATCCATACTCACCAGCTATTTACAACGCCTCCCTGTATGCATACACACCTTGGGAGCCTTTCCTTGTATGCATACACACCTTGGGAGCTATAGTGTGCTTCTTCGGACAGTTCTAATAGGTATATATTGACCAAATAAGTAGTATAACAATGATAGTAATCTTAGATCCCTTCCCCGCACTGCTATTTTTATGTGCCAACCCCGGACCATCAAATTCACTAGGTGCCTTCTGAATCCCTCCTTCTATGATTTGAATCAAATCAGTTCGAAGTTCGAACCATTGCATACTCCCGCTCGCGACATATCCCAAATAGGCATAATAAAGAGAGAGATGGCAAAAATATCATAGCGGGTGTAGGCGTGCGGTTAGTGTGGTCACTCGTCTGTAATCACAATGAAAGACGATGTATTGCACGTAGTAGTCTAGTAACAAGGGATGCATGGCAGGATGAAATGCAGGAAAATGAGAAAAAAGCGCCAAAAAACAAACAAATAGCCTCCGGTTTGCTATGCAGTAGTCGTGGCGGGTACAGGTGCTCGTTCTGTAGTGGTTTGAACAGAGAGAAGGCTGGGAACCACATCCCACAGGAAAAGACAGTCGTTCCGCATGGACCGGCGGATCTTAGCCTGTCGCAAGGCATATGCAACTGCTCCCTCGTGCTCCATTGCTCCATCATATATTCTGGAGGTTGCGCGTTCTTCCCACCAACCTGCATTCCACTCAAAGAACGCTAATACACGTCGCATCTCCTCCTGCACAAGTTCGACCTCCTCTGCCCACCTGTTGGCACGAGCTCGTGCCTTGCACCACTCAACGCGCATTGCTGTTTCCGATTAGAAAAAACTACATCAAATACATAGCGACTCTCACCTTCAGAAAGTTCTTCCTCACCCGCTCCATGGCGCTGCTTCCAAATCCAAGACACGGCTACGAATCTTCGACCTTCTGACACCAAACCTCCCGCCTGCGCCTCAGTCATACCACGAATATGCTCATCTTCGAGCTTTGGGAATTCAATTTCCCAATCAAGGCGTAGGAGTGCATCGGCTAAGTCATCAAGTGCCCTCCATGCCGTGCGATACTTTGTTGCGGCAGCGTCTATTTTCGCCTGGACAGTATCAATGACGGCACGGGATCTCGTGTGCGCTCGTTGGCCAGTTAACCAGTTCTTCTTGAACCCAGTGAGATGGCGTTTGAGTCGTAGGTGTTGCCGGAGCTCCTGGAGACCATCATGCGCCTGGGCACAGCGTAACTTCCACTCGATGTTACACAGATTCACATCGCAAGACATGCCCGCTTTCACCACTGCAGACGGCATCCACAGTTTGATGGTGTGAACAGGCTCCTCAAGGGTGGTATCCTCAGTATCAGAGGTGTACGCTCGAAGTCTGGCAACACTGGGGATATATAGCATTTGGATTTGGATCCACTGTTCAATCCGACGGCGCAGTGCATTGATGCGTTGTTGCATAGCAGACAGTTGATTATCGGTGGCGTGGATTCCAATGTTCGCAGTGTCCGTTGCGAGCCGACGTCTGAGAGGTAAAGCAACTTGTTAAGACCAGCTTGTTGTCAGTGCGAAAGACAGACATACTGTAAAGCCTCTAGGTCGATCCCAACAGCTATTAATACGCTAGGGGAGACATCTGGGTGGAGGGAGGCATCAATCCCTTGTCTTAGCTGCTGGGCTTCAAGCTGAGAGAGCTCGAGTCTGACAGACGCCTGGGTGACAACTGTAGTGTACATGTCAAAGATTGCAAATATCATACAAGCGAAAACATACCTGACACTTTAATCTCGAACGGGTTCGGCTTTGAACGATCACCCTCCCAATCTTCTACCAACTTCCGCCAGGCACTAAGACTCGAAGACGGGATAGCTTCCTCGAAGTCCCGAAGATCTACAGCATGCTGATAACATTCTGGAATTGCCTCCTTGAGTTTTTTGAGCAGTGAAGGACCTATTAAACTGTCAGAGACGAAGGCACAATCTATGTGTAATACATACCCAAGTTGGACACTTTACGCCAATTCCAGTCGCCGAAGTGGTCATCCAAGATGTCGCGTCTTGACCCTGGACCCATTTCACGCGTGCTGGTAGCGATAGGATTCATGTTTGACCATCCGCGTTCAATGGCTTCACCGTCAGTCCGCGCCATGCCTTTGATAAGGTTAAGAGAATACGAAGTTTGACATGCTGCAATATGCGCCGGCAGATGAAATTTGGGAACGAGGAATGTTAAAATTTTCGAGTCGCCCGAAAAATGGATCTGGGACGGATAGCGTGACATCCGCTCCCACAAATGCTTACTCCATTGACATGCAATATCATATGAGATATTGAGAACGAGAACCTCGCCAGAGTGTTGCAAAGTCGAGAAGAACAGGAAATCCATATTCACATATCTAAGTCCTGTGTGATTAGATGACGTCAAAGATATCAGAGACGCGTACCTTTCTCCTTTTTGGAGATCTCCAACTGAGGACGGACGTGTGAGGTTATGACGAGCACAAACGATGGCGCCGACGCCTGTGGCAGCCAGTCCCCGTGAATTCTTGGTGTCGGCAAGATTAACGGCGTTGTGACTGGCACAAGAACTTTTCTAAACACGATATCAGCGAATGATACACTAAACCATATATCAACCTCACCTCTTGTACCTGGCTGGCATAAGCGTCAAGAACATCTTTGAATCCACTTTGTTCTACGAAATAAGCCCAGCCTTGGCTAAGGCTAGGGTCTGCCTGCTCAGAGGACTTATTGCGGCGGCATAAGCGAAAGTTAGCGTCCATTGCCAGAAATAAAGCATAAAGCCATCTACATTTCTTGAGCATAAATATCCCAATGAAAAAAAGAAAAACTTACTTGTGTTGGGCCTCAATGGTCTCCCAACCCAAAGGCAAGTTTTTGCCAGGTTGCGGACAAGCCGGGCACAGTACGGCGAGTTCTCCTTCCGTTGTGCCGAGAGCGCCACCAGGGTCATGGCCACGCCCGGCACGTTTAAGAGATAGTATATGTCGAAATTGCCGACTCATCCGTAGGAAAGCTTCATAACGGTCCTTATACTCACGTTAGCTGTGAAAAATGATTCAATAGTCAATGCGCCTACCTTAGTCTGGTACCTCCTAGTATTATCCGTTAGACGTGCCAATGCTTGGTAATATTCAAACGCGGATCCTTTCGACTCAAAAGTGTACATTTGGAAGTGATCAAGGACCCGGAATGTTGCAGCAGTTCGGGGATCTGTGACGGTTGCTGGGTACCAGCGAGTGCGCAGGAGTTGGGTAGTGTGCGTTTGC